CGGTACATGTTCCTGAAGCGTCCATTTGCCTCGACGCACAGCGCTGCCCCAATGGCCGGTTATCCGCCTCTGATACTCGACGGATCCCTGATTTGATTTCATGACCCCTACTTCGCTTTGACCTCCTGGAATCACGCTCGTTGACTGCACCCGCGACGACAACGCCGTCTCCTCGCAGACGACGACACGCACGGCTTTGAGAGTCTGCACCGCGAAGCGTCTCCCCCTGGCCGGCTTGCACCATCATGTCGCTGAACGGCCTGGACAATGTCGAGGTAACACAGGCGTACCAGGGTGCGCTCGCCGAGGCTGGTGGTTGGTAAGACATGCCCAATTTCTTCTTCCATCGCGGACCACGTGCTAATGCTTGGGGTAAAGGTTCCTGCTCAGGTACACGTCAAGGGATGCCGTTCAAGTCCTGACACGGGGAACTGGGGGAGCCGGTGAGGCGCGCGCTGCCGTCGCCCAGTACGAGGAAAAGTCTCCGCTGTACGGGCTCCTGCTGTACCGTCGGCGCAAGGTCCTGGTCAAATACGTGCCTGAGGGGACATCGCGACTACTGCAGGGTGAGTTGAAGCGTCAATCCCGTCACCCTCACCACTAACCCTCGACAGCCCGCGTTAGTGTCCACTTCATCAACATCACCGAGAAGTTTGCGCCCCACGACATCGTCCTGTCCATTTCCACGCCAGAAGAGCTCAGCGATGCCGCCCTTACCGCCGCCTGCAGTCTGCACACTGCCGCCCCATCGAGCTCCTCGTCTAGCGGATCGTCGCGACAGCAGAAGCTCAGCTGGATACAGGAGGCCGCAGAGGAGGGAAATCAGCCCGACGGAGAAGGCAATGCAGCACGACCGGGCACAGCAAAGTCCAGCATCCCCACCATTCTGGAGCCTGCCACGGGCAGCGAAGACGAGCCTACTAGAAGCGCATCAGTTGCGTCGCAAGCAGAGACGGTCCCGTTGATGTTGGAAGAGAAGGCTGTCGAGCACAAGTTGTCACCACAAATCTCGCACGTCACCATGGACACGGTAACCGAAGGGCCGACGACGCCCGACGACACTGATCTATCCGACCTCCAGGACACGCTCAAGAGCTATGATTCGCTCTTTGAGAACGGGCCAGAACCGCGAGGCTCATCACAAACCACCAGGCCAAACTACGATGAGCTTTACCAGCACTACTATGAGCAGTACACCAAGCCCAAGGTCAAACTCGGACCACGACCGCGACCATCGCTCGAAGGCCGAAGACCATCGACCTCTGGCAGCGCACCCTCAGATCTGGCAAGGCCTGTTTCGTCGCTTCCCGCAGGCTTGCGCTCTGCAACACGAAAGACTGCTAATAAGAAAGAGTCCAAGACAAACTCCTCTAGTACACTTCCCACCATTGCTATCCCTCCACAACACGACGTCCCTCCTGTGCCTGACATGCCACTGTCTCCTGCTTCGTCCATGTATTCAACGAGAGCTCCGGCCAGCACCAAGTCCATGCCCGTGTCCGCGTACAAGAGTCACCTTCGGTCTGGAGGAACGACACAGGAAAGGACAAGGCTTATGAAGGCCGTCGAGATGCGCAAGAAACAACAACAGGCTCAACAGCTAAAGAAAGAAAAGGCCGCCGAAGCTGCTGCGTTGGAACCTGAAGCGCAGGCTGAGGACACCGAAGTTGTGACTGAAGCTGGCGACGAGAACCCGGCAAAATCTGCCATTCCTGCGACTGAGTCTGAGGAGAGCACTCCCACCGTACTGACCGATGACAAACCCGAAGCCGACAAAGAGACACTGCTTGGTGATGATCTGCCTTCAAACCGTCCAAGCAGCTCCGGCATGGCGTTTGCGGATGGTCAGAACGAGACAGACGACTTGAACTCCACTGCTTCGGTGTCGTCACCAATATCTGCACAAACTCATGGTTCTTCTGGCGCACCTTCAACACGACCATCATCCATCTCAGAAGACGAGGCAGGTACGGAAGAGTCGCAAAAGTCCGAGGAAAACGAAGAATCACACACTCCGGATTCCTTGGATGAAGAGCAATCGATCGACAGCGCACCGACTGTAGTCCCTGAGAGTACGACTCCTGTACCATCTGCAGAACTCCATCCTGAGCATACACAAGCCCCGGTCATCACCGAACGAGCACCGTCTTTTGATGAGGATGGAAGTAAAAGAGATACCCTGCGGCCAAGTGAGAACGATGCTCCATCGCAGCACCGCTCAAATCGGGAGTCCACAATTTACATGCCTTCGAGCGAAGCGTTCGAGCAAGACGACGGCCAGGTCAAGAAGCGAAACAGGGAGTCCATGCTTATGCCCTCGTCCCAGCACCAGAGTTGGTACGAAACCAAGGGAAAGCGACGTGCAGTATTGGATCCACTGCAAGTCAGCGCCGACAATTCCGAGACCGAGTACCTCTCGGACGACTCCTTCATGGAAGAGCTCCAAAGCGCTACAGTTCACCAAGCCAAACCCATGTCGGTGTCCAAGTCTCCGATCACGCCCTTCTTCCCGCGCAAGTCCTCTGCAACAGACCTGTCAACCCCTCCCAGATCAGCCTCTTCGAATTACCACGGTATCAGTCGCTTATCACCTGGAGAGAGCACACGTAAGGTTTCAGGCGGTTGGCCTCCTGCGCCAAAATCTGACACGAGCGCGCGTACGAAAATCAACGTTTCCTCTGGCATCTCGCAAAGAATCAAAGCACTTGCAGACAAGACTAATAGAGAGTCGGCTTCACAAGTAAGCCTTGCTAGCTCTGCTTTGAGCACAAAGAGCTCTACCCTCGCCCAGCGTAAATCCTCATTCTTTGCAACAACACCTGTCGAGACCTCACCCAACGGGAGGTCTAGCACGCGTCTTGGAAGTCCTGCGTTCTTGAGTTCATCTGCTTCAACGACGCCTGACAAAAAGAAACAATCGGCTCCGATCAAGTCGACAGTATACAACGTACAGCGAGGAGCCGAAAAGCCAGAGTCTGTGCAGGTCACTGCCCGCATCGTCCGGGATGAGCGAACCATGAAGCCAACACTTGCGATGCCAACTGAGGGCACGCCCCTTGATCTCCACCAAAGCCCACTCATCATCGACCACCAAAAGGCAACCATCACCCCCAAGAGCCCTACTCGTGGAAGACCTGAGCCTGCATCTCCTCCGCCCTCTTCGTCACACTCACGCGAGCCTAGCAATGCGCCCTCACGTGCATCGTCAGAGAGTACATGGAGGAGCTTCGGTCGCCGCATGAGCGAGTCCAAGTCGGTACACAGCCATGATGGCGAAGACAAAAAGGATGACAAGAAAGAGAAGAAAGACAAGAAGGATTCTCGCACCAGCAAGATGTTCAAACGCATGTCTTCTTCGATGGCTGCCATGTCCTTCAAGAACTCGAGCAGCAATTTGACACTTCCCGAGAACGACATGCGCTCTACTTCTTTGGCATCACTGCGGGAGCCGCCGCCACCTGTGCATGTTGGCGATCTAAACATCCAGTTCCCGGACACTCTGGTGAGTATTTATGAATAGTAACCTGTGAAGACATGCTAACCTGGTGCAGCTCTGGAAACGCCGATGGGTCGAGATTGACGCCCTAGGTAACCTCGTGCTCAGTCCTTCGAAACACAATGAGAAGGGTATTGTGAAGCGCTTTCACCTCAGCGACTTCCGCACGCCATACCCACCTGATCAGGATCGACAAGAACTTCCCAACAGTGTAGTCCTCGACTTCATGGACGGACGAACCTTGCAGTGCGCATGCGAGACATACATGGCGCAAGCTCAGGTTCTACAAAGTAGGTCTTTGTCCTCTACTTCCTTGTGTCAGGTGCTAACTATTGTCTAGTCCTCCGGGAGGCACATGATGCCTGGCTTGCGTACAACCAAGCGCTGTAATCGGTCACTGTCACGTCAATCTCCAACCCTAGGCCTCGACGGCATCAATACTCTCCTTTCCCTCTCTCGAATTTTCTTTGTTACGACGTACGACTACAGCATCAGGCATCACCTTTCCCTTGTTGTGTTGGATACAAAATGGTTTTAAACTGGGGTTGTATCTCTCTCCTTGCATCTTTTTGATTAAATTTTGTCTAGTTTGCCCATTTTCCTTTCATACCCATCGTGTTTGGGGAAGGCCATCTGGCAGGCTTGGAGCTCATTGATTCTCTTCTTCATGTAACACACATGGTTGATGTGTATAATATCTAATGCTGCACTGGAGGCAGCTCAGTTTTGCTGTTTCTGGAGTGTGGACGGATTGCAATGAAAGGCGGACTGCAAGATATAGAGATCAGTAACACAATTGGACTACGTGCCTGTTATTGGACTGTGTGCCTGTCGTTTTTGCTTGTATTAGGTGGCGCTCGTTCCAAGTGCAGGTGAACGAGAGGGGCGCATTAAATCTCCGGCTCAAAGAAGGATAATGTGGCAGCGATTGTGATGGATTTATCCAAAATGTTGGGCAAGATGGCTGGCGTCAGATCTCGCCCTGAGCTGTGCACAGTCGCGCATGGGGTGCTCTCGGCCGTAACAAGTTAGCGGCTCAGATGCGCAGGGGTTAAGCGACGCCTGCCGTCATACATGCATTCCCATGCATTCGACATGTGCATTCGATAGAGAGCTCGGTATGATAATGATGAGGTGCAAAAAGGGCCTTGGGGCCGCAAGCATGCCTCTAGCTGCTACCCGAGAGTCGCCCTCAACCTCGCTCTTAGCTCCACACCATAAGCAGCGACGACAAGAGAACGCGCCCCGAGGACTCCGCATCTGGGCATCCCAGAGCAAGTGACAGCTTGCTGCGCCGGTTTTCCGCCCCGTCTCGCAGCGCATCCTGCAGCCTCGAAGTAATCACTGCGAGGGTAACCCGTTCTGTTCACAGCAGCCGTCATTGCATTGTCACGAGCCTCGGCGCCGTGTGCTCGCCAGGCACGTCTACCAAGAAAGAGGAGGGCTGCGCATCGGTGTGCGCCTTGTATAAACACTGCCCGGCACCTCCGCGCTTCCCTCCACCATGCCGGCCACTTCCCCAAACCACCCTTTCGCCTCGCCCAACGCCATCCCGCCCCGCACAAGCTCCACGGGCATCCTCAACTTGAACGCGAACACGGGTGCCGCCAAGCAACCTTCCAGAACCAGCGTCCTGCGTCCCCTGAGCGAGATTGATTGGCTGGGCCAGAGCAAGAAAAGCAAGACGAGCCACTCTGCAGACCCTTTGAATGCGCCTTTCCAACCACAGTCGTTGCAACATCCCTGGCCCCAGACCATGGCCTCGCAGCTGAACTCGCCTCCCCGCACCGAGCACACAGACATGGATTCGCCCATGGACAATGCCCAAGCAGCCGTCAGCCTCGAAGCCACCACAAACTACCCGACGCCACTCTCTCCACCATCAGAACACGCAAAGGACATAGGCGAGGAGCTCATCTACGGGAATGGCGTCGCGTGGACAGAAGCCAAGGAGCGCATATTACTGGGGCCGTACGACTACCTCTATGGCCATCCCGGCAAGGATATACGGAGCCAGTGTATTGCGGCCTTCAACCTGTGGTTGAAAGTGCCATCAGAAAGACTGGAGATTATCACAAAAGTAGTGGGCATGCTACATACCGCGAGTTTACTGTAGGCATACATCCTCTACGCTCACCCCACCCCAACTAACGTCGCCTAGTGTCGACGATGTAGAAGACTCCTCTCTCCTCCGCCGCGGTATCCCGGTTGCTCACTCCATCTTCGGAACCCCACAAACAATCAACTCAGCAAACTACGTCTACTTCCGCGCCCTGTCCCTTCTGCTCTCCATGAACAACCCGAAACTCATCGAGATATTCACCGAAGAGCTTTTGAACCTGCACCGCGGACAGGGTATGGACCTATACTGGAGAGATAGCCTGACCTGTCCAAGTGAGGCAGATTACCTAGAGATGGTCGGAAACAAGACTGGCGGCTTATTCCGATTAGCAATTAAGCTCATGCAAGCCGAGTCGAAAACAGACATGTACCTTGTCCTTTCCCAAATCCAATCCACACCTCAACTAATCCATCTTTCAGTGACTGCACACCCCTCGTATCAACGATAGGCCTCCTCTTCCAAATCCTAGACGATCATCTAAACCTCTCCCCCACATCCGGCTACACAACTCTCAAGGGCCTCTGCGAAGACCTCACAGAAGGCAAATTCAGCTTCCCTGTCATCCATGCCATACGCGCCGATCCAAGCAACCAGATCCTCATCAATATCCTCAAGCAGAAAACTACAGACGAGGAGGTCAAGCGGTACGCGTTGAGGTATATGGAGAGTAAAGGGAGCTTCGAATACAGCAAGAGTGTTATTGAGGAGCTGAGGAGTAAGACGGATGAGCATGTTAGGGTTATTGAGAGAGAGCTGGGGCAAGAGGGGAGAGAGGGCGCGGAGGCTTTGAGGGTTATGCTGGCGAGGTTGGTGTTGAAATGAAGGACGTTTTTCATGCTCTACATCTCAACGCTCGTTGATACCATGATGACTGGTTGGTTTAATGTCGGCATGTTATGGCTTTACGAGGCTTACGTTAAATGATGGGAATGTGTATATGTCTGGTGGTAGGCGCCTTAATACCCAATGTACCGCTGGTTTGTGTACATGACAATGAGATGTGATTCGTAAGAGCTGGTGAGTGGGATCGGGAGGGCTTCCTATAATTCAACGAGACTTGACTCCATGTCTGGGCTCCTACTCATTCATCACTCGGTAAACGTGATAGTGAGAACTTCAAGCATGTGCCACATATATGTTTAGCTACAAGCTCATGATAGAACCTATCAAGCTCTGCGCCGTCTCCGTCTGCCCCTACCCGTCCCACCTTCCCCACCAATTGTCCCACCATTTGTCCCATATCATTCGTGATCTTCATGAAGTCGTCAGGCATGCTCCATCATCTCTTCCTGAACACTCACTGCTCGTCTGCCACCGCTTTTTTGGTGGCTTTGATCTTCTTGACCGCAGGCGCCATAATCCGCTTCTGTTGTGCACCAAGAGACTTCCTTAATGCTGCCGTAAATTCTTGATGCTTCTGTTCGTTGGACATGGCGCTAGATGAATGACGATAAGAATTTTGAAGGACGTCGAAATGATCCTCGCCGAACTTTATGATATCGACTACAGCATCGACTTTGCCTTGTGCTAAACCAACAGCTTCCATCCATGGGAATGCGTCCCGGTAGAGTTGCTCAGCTCCATACTTGGACGCTCGATACCAACCGATACTCGCATCAATATGGAAGGCGGTGATATTGGTAGCCCAGACCAGGGCCGCGAAACCTAGATATTGAAGTACGAGGTCAGTATGTATCCCATATGCAGTGGGCACGAGAAAAGTACTAACAGGAGTGATTGTATCCTTTCATTGCACGACCATAAAGCCAACCTCGAATGCGGAGAGTCTTAAGATGTTTGGCGCCTCTAGGACCAAGGTTGATTAAGAAGCTGTACAAGGCGAAGCTATTGTTGAATATGAATTCGTTCTTGCCATACAGAATATCGATACACTCTTGGTGGATTTGCTTGCTCACAGCAAGGAGCGACGGGACAAGAGCGGCCGGTTGTTCGTGTTGACTTCTAATATTGTCGTTCATAGGAAGTGCGTCTGACCAAGTTCCGTCGTGTGATATGCTCGCCTGGCACTTGGCTGAGATGCGTTCGACAGTACGGCGCTTGTGCTTGAACGTGCCGACAAGGTTGATACCAGCAGGATCGGTAAGAGTGTACTCATAGATCATGTTCCTGATCTCTGCAGGAAGCTCCATGAAGGGGAAGATTTTGCGTTTGGGAAGTGGTCTGGAGCTTGCCTTGGCTGTTCGCTTCTGATGGACGTTCGTTAGTCTTCCCACTTCCCGTCCACACAGAAGTGCATCGAACCTTTGCCTGTGGTGTGTCAAAGTCGGATTCGGATTCTGAGTAGTCTAGATCATCGAGATGGTATGTGACCTGGGTTCTCTTGCGCTTCGAGTAGCGTCCAGACGCAAACGTCTCTACTGGGGCGTTGATGTCGGTCATTGTGGATCGTTTTTAAGTCGATTGCACTTGAGTCAGAATATGGAAGTATCGAAAGGGAACAGAACGCGTATGGTAGTAATGAGATACGACAAGACGCGTGTTTGGCCTTCTTTAATAGATCTCAGCGATGAATGTCGCGTGGTCAGCTGTTGTACGCTTTGGGATTAGCTTAGGCAACGATACGGCGAAGCCAGGGTTAGCAAGGCATCAACCTGACGGCGTCGATATCTTCAGCAGATCTTGAGCATGATTCGCGGGCAGCTTATCAGATTCGTATGCGCCCGAAACCATGACGATGTGTGGAAAGCAGCGTTGAGCGTTTAGGAGGGAACGTGCAAGTTGAGAATGTCCCAAGATTGCGTCACCGCGCTTAGTCATTGGGCCCACTAACCGAAATGAGAGGCGGGCAAATTATCGCACACCATCCTCAGCAACATGTCTTCGATAAAATCGCTTACGTCTTTCAAGCTTGACCTGCCTCCTAGTTGTATTGAGTTCTTCCCGCTAAATCCTCAATATGCGATAGTCGGCACGTACAACCTCGAAAAACAGGATGAGAAGGAATCTGCGGGTAGTGCTCCGCACGATGGAAAAGTGAGCGCCAAAAATCAGCAGCGTAATGGCAGTCTGATATTGGTACAAGTTGATGGTGACATCGTGTACGTGAGACAGCTTGCAAGTTCAATGTAGCAGCTCGGACGCGGTCAAACTCGGTACTGACGTCGAGCAGTAACATCATCCAAACCCTATCTACGCCATCAGCTATCCTGGACATCCATTTCTTGACACATGTTACTAGCTCCAACTTTGGTGTTGCGACATCCACAGGGGCTTTTGCTATCTATGAGCTCCAGTCATGGCAGCGAGACCCCAAGATCGCCCACATCAAGACCATCCAGTACTTTCCAGAAAATATTCTCATCACCGCTTTTACCTGGCACCCGGAATCCTTCATGGTCGGTATGACGCTTTCGAATGGGCAGGTGTGTCTCGGCGTAATAGATACGGAAGACGAATCTGATGCGCCGACGAAGATGGAGGTCGCTTCACATGACCTGGAAGCCTGGACTCTCGCTTTCCTACCAGATGGCTCGGGCCTGCTGTCTGGCGGAGACGACAGCGCCCTTCGTTTTGCTGAGCTGTCGGATGGCTCTGGAGGAAGCGTACCTTGGATGGATGGGAAGATACATGATGCTGGCGTCACTGCTATCCTCCCAGTGCATCTTGATAGTGAGGGTGGCTTGATAGTGACCGGCAGCTACGACGATCATATCCGGCTTCTTCATGTACCCATCTCTGGCCGTCGCCAGGTTCTTGCGGAAGCCAATCTCGGTGGTGGCGTATGGCGGCTAAAGCTGTTGGAGCGAAACCCCAAGCTGCCAGCGCATCACGGCGTAGAGAAGTGGAGATCAGAGCCACCGCCAGAGGCTATCCTACTGCTTGTCAGTTGTATGCATGCTGGGACCAGGATCGTAAGGCTTACCAAGAGCGCTTCCAAGGATTGGCAAATTGAAGTGCTGGCCAAGTTCGAGGAGCATGAGAGCATGAACTATGGCAGCGACTCTCAACCAGACCTTAACAGTCAAGGCCAACGGACATTCATATCTACGAGCTTCTACGATCGTCTACTGTGTCTTTGGAGATATTAGTCGCCCGCAACAGGTAGTTGGACTCCAAGGATAAGTAAACACACCAAAGATTACGCGTGGAACAAGCTGACTATATTTGGGATGATATTGTTATTAAGAAGTAGCATACAAGTCGAAGAACATTGCCTAAAAGAAACCTGATTAGTAGAATCCATGCGAACAGGAAACCTATGCCTGACAACCCTCGCTGCTAAAACTCAATTCGGCCCACAACCCCGAGCAGGTACGTAGTTGTTATACGGACTATTGTCCGCGTAGGCAGGCATGTCGTGGAACTTGTCGTCGTGAAGCCTATGCTGGAAGCCGTCATTTAAGCCAGGGGCAGCGACATCGTTGTCGAGCGAGGACTTGATGCTATCACTGATGGAAGCGCCTAACGCAGGGTGGTCAGGAAGGTGATATAAAGAGGGTGATACCATCCTGACGGTATCAAGCTGCTACGGAGGAGTGATGGGTAGATTGACAGCAGAATCGGAACTCGGTGTACGACTTGGCCGGGGAGTCGAAGTAGGATTTACCTGGGGGTCTCCATCTGGCGCCCCGAAGAAACACTGTTGAGACGGATCAAATTGATCCGTCTCAACGGCTTCCCAGACGGTCTTTTTTTCGGCGTTCATAGCGACGCGTATCTGCTTACGCTGGTACACCACCACACCATTTATCGCTACCTTATTAAAACCAATTTCCAAAGGCTCCACCAAGACATATTTGAAATGATCGAATAAGTATTCCCTCTCCTCGTTAAACTGCGTTCCAGGAAGCCCAGAGACTACCGCTGGCATCCAAAGGTGGCCAGGTTCCAGCATCTCCTGGAGATCAGGCGAATCTTCACGCATGAAACCAGTATCTATCTGGACGATCTTCAGCAAGTCTCCGCGAAGGTTGCGGTAGACCCCAACAGGGGGCTGGTTTGGCAAAAATTCCCTGATCAGGTTTGAGTAGGCCTCGTCCTGCTTCTTGCGGATTTGAAGGTCCCACTGTGCAGCCATAGATTCTCCATGTTGTCTTTCTCCAGGATTGGGATACTTGATCCTTTGGTATCTAGCAACCATTTTGATGGCTACCAGGATGTGCTTGATGTTTGCGAGTGGCTTGGTATAGCTTACTTGAAGGCGGAACGTAAAGTGCTTGACTTTATTCTTGTGTTTGTGACGAAGAATGTGTAGTGGTTGTTGTTGTTGTTATTGTCGTCGTTGTGTTGGTGCTTTCGGTGGTGTATCAAAGAAATTTCAATATCAGACTTGGTGTGAGTAAGATTGGTATTTACTGAAGAAAGGAAAGAGAAGGAAAGGAGGGCACCTGCTTCGATTTATATGACGAAAGCCCCCGTAGGTCTCTACAACATTTGATGAGTCTTCTCAACATGATGATAACAAATTTAGGAACAATTGGGGCTTACGACGCGACGAACCACCGCATAATCATGGCTACCAAGGTGTGGGCGTAGCAAAAGGGAAAACAACTAGCCAAAACCCCACCTTTCTCAGTCGGCTCGAAGCTCGCAACCAGAACCGTATACCTGAGCAAGTAAGAACATTTCTCATTACTCAATCCCCACTAAAAAACGCCAGAAGGAGCATAGCGAAGATCTCGATGCTGGTTCACAGGTACACATTGTGCGTACCCAATCATCTCATCTAGCACCCCAAACAGATTATTGAACGTGGTATTATGATTCTGCCTCGCCCGGAGCTGTTCAGTCTTGCGCTTTTCACGTCCTCATAATCATGTTCAGCGCGTCATTGTCGGCAATTTAAGACGCGACACAGTATACATCATGAGAACTATAGTAGCAAGCTACAACAAAGTAGGCATGCTGTCCAACGTCAACCAAAAAGAATCTGCCAATCAATGTCATGTTTCAGGCTGCGAGTAATCTAAGTATGGCGTACCAGAGATGCGATGTTCATATGAACCAAGAGCACGTGGACCAAACTACAACGTCCTAAACCGGAGCCCATCGAATTCATATTAGGCTTATAGTGGTTAATGCCACAACCAGAACAAGCTGATATTATTGGTCATGAGTCAGAGAATCTTCCTCGTATCCAGATACCGGTACCAACGCCAGACGCTAAAATATACCATGGATGATAGCAGCCACGCCGAACGCTATGCTAAACTGCAGAAGATAAAACTAAATGGGTATCATGGCAAATGACACGGAAGAACAACAACAACGACACCACTGGCACAAGTCTTTACCTCCTAGCCGGCGGTGATAGCAACCCGCTGTCAATCGTCTGTCTCTTCATGTCTTCCTTGTCGCCCAGCAGCGCCTTGACTCTCTCCACCCTGCTCACGGCCTTCTCCAGACGATCCAGCCTCCCCATCTTCTCCCTGTCCCTGCGTTCCAGAGTCTCAACCCTCTCTTCCAACTTGGCTCTCGCCCGTCTCTCTTCGGCAACCATTTCGTTTGCCTGACTGAAGAGCTGAACGCTCAGCTCTTCAATCTCCGAATCCACCGTCTGGACGCGTGCTTCGGCCTTGGCGCGTAGGGCACGCTCGCGCTCCAGCTCATTCAGTAGCGTGTAGTCGACGGGTGGAGCGGTGGATGCTTCTTTGGGTGGGGGAGGCGGGGGCATAGATGTGGCATTGGCGGGCGACGGGAAGCGGCTTGTGATGAAAGAGAAACGGGAGGCCTTTGTGGAGCTTGACGTTGTGGGACGTGGGGGATCGGCGTCGACGGAGGGGCGAGAGGTTGGGTTGACGATGTCGGATTGCGAGGTTTGGGTACGGGGCAGGCTAGGGGCGTTGTGGGGGGTTGCTTGGAGGCTGCGTATCTGGTCTTCGTAGTCGGCGCACCTGTCCACTGTGGGTTGTTAGTTTGGCCTGGTGACGGCTAACGCCCACGGGAGCATACCAGCTGCGGTTGCCTTCTCCTTTAAGCGCTCCATCTGTGCCTCGAGCTCGTCTATCCTTTGCCTCGCGTCTTGGAGCTCCATCATGTCTATACTGCTGCCACACGAAGGACAAGTCGGCGTATGCGCATCGTTTGGCACGTGTTTCGTCGGTAGTGGAGGCGCTGGCGGCGATGCTTGGACTGTCGCTGCCATGGCGCCGGTCCGGTGGGTTTGGACGTTGCGATAGTAATGTTTCGATTTCTCAGTTGACAGGTATCGGTGGTTTGAGCAGGAAGAACAGCGAGACTGTGGGGTTTGTGTCGTGGCAGTGAATGACCGAGTTTAGCTGGCGCTTGTTAGGTTTCAGCAGTCAAGTGATGATCTCAGATCCCTGCGTCAACTCGCCTCGGGAAGGTCATGCAGGGCACGCGCGCGATACTATTTTCGGACTGACTAGTAGCTGACACCCGCGCCCATCACTTTGCTTTTAGCCCCGTTCATGGCCATGCACGTCACCGAGTATTCCTGTCGACTGATACCAACATCCAAGCTACGCAAATGACGCCTTGTTCTCCTTCACCCACTCTTCAAACTGTGTCGGCTCCCGTTCCGTGTACCTCCTCACATTCTCCGCCCCCTTCTCATAGATCTCACTGTAAGCGTCGCTCCCCGCGTTGCTTTCTCTCATCCCCTGCACCAGTGTGTCGAGTATCGGCCTGGGAATGTAGCCAAACTTCTCGAAATACCTCTCCTCGTCAATCTCTTTGATCTTGATCTCCTTTCCCAATGCTTTGCTAACAACACCAAAGCCTTCACGTTGGTTCATAATCTTTGGACCGCACAAATAGATAGACTGTCCCGCTTCCTTCTCAAAACGTGGCACTGTGAGAAGTGCACCACACACCGTGCCGATGTCTGAAGGGGCGAGGTAGTCATACACTACGTCGGGATAGAGGAGCTCGACTTCGCCCTTCTTAATGTCACCAAGGTTCCAAAATATGTTGGTGTTGAACCACGCGGGTCGTACGGCCGTGTATGTGATGCCCGTCTCTCTCAGTGCGCCTTCAGCCGCGGCATGGAAAGCGGCTATCTTGTCCTTCTTGTTGGTCTCTGAGTTTAGGGGATCTTTGACCTTGAACGAAGACAAGAGTACAACATATGTTATACCGGACTCCTTCAGCGCTTCGAAGCTGCGTCGCATGCCGTCCTGGATCTCATGTACGACATACACAAAGGCTGTCTTTGCACCGGATGTCTCGACGGCGTGTTTGATCGTCTCGGGCTTGGCTAAATCAGCTTGAACGCGGACGTAGTTGTTTCCGTCTCCTTCAATTCCCTTCAACCCTTTCTTCGTGTCCCGCATAGCAAGATAGACTGTGGCACCGCGCCTATGTGCTTCAATGGCAGCAGCGCCACCCACCCCTCCAGTGGGGCCGAAAACGAGAACCGGAGAAGTCATGACAGGTTATGGGGTTGAGTGGTGGTCTTTCGAGTGACTTGATATGATATGAGATGAGAAGTTGTCGCATTATAGTAGCCGATGTTGAGTTGCTTTATGTTACCTTGGAAGCATACTGTTAGGCGTGCCGTGTCGGCGTCCGCGGCCTGCTGTACGGTATCTCGGTGACCCGGTATACCAATCACAACCGCGACAAGACCAAGTGACTAGTCGTGTGCTCTAAATACGAGCAGATCATGAACAATACGTCTACCTTTAGTCGGCATTCTGAATTCCCGGGTCCCCATTTGCGGGCAAAGATAGAAAAAGAAGGTGTCCGTGTCAATGTCGATGACGTCAGGAGCGTACAGATATCCTGAATCATGCGTTGCCTTCGAGTATCACGAAGGAGTTCATCAAGTCTGATAAGCTCTGAGCTCCAGAAGCAGATTACTCATTTTTGAGAAAGCTCGTAATGAATTAGAAGGCATTTGCGTTGAAGAGTGCGACAATCATCGGAGCTGCCTACGAAAAAACACGCGCGCTAGCGACGTACGCGCTTACAGTTTTCACTGCATATTTGGAGTAGTACATATGAGATTATTCGCCGTGCTTGATATCCTGGGTCGTGCAATGATATGCAATGGAAGGATAGGAGCTCGATTAGTATGCACGGAGGCTACGCTGCCATCAAGGCGCCTGGATCAATTTCGCAAAGTTGCCTAGCTCCATATCGGCTTCATTTATACTCAAGAGTCCGATCCGGTTCCTGTATACTGTCTCTGTCCTCGCTTTTCACCTCGTGCACCACTGTCTTCGTGATCTCGCCTTTGCCATGTACTCCCAATATTCGCCGTTCACTATCCCCGTCATCATCTCCATCCCCTTCTATACGAGTTTTCCGACGAGTTGTTTTACTACCTATGGTGACTTCGTAGAGTGGTATTGCGCCGCTGGCCGCACGTGTTCTAGGTCTGCTGTTGAGGAAAGTGGAAGGCATGACACGTCGAAATAGCGAATCGAACTGTTTTCGTAATGGCGGTAGGGCGGCGATAAGAATGCCTACGGAGAGTTCGACTCCGGACCAAATCACCAGATCAGTGCTTTCCCATGACGGATCTCTGGTCTTGAGGAGAGCGGGAAGTGTAGTCGCCTTCACGATCGAGCAAGTCGTCACCCTAGCGAGATGTTAGCGCGCTGAACAAATATCTGGGGCGAGTAGCATACACCAAACCCAAACAAAAAACCACCCGCAAACCCCACTGTGTCCGTCGACATAGCTGAATTGTAGAGAGATAGAGTAAAGGGGCAAGCACATATACGATGTCTGTTATGATATTTGAAGCCGCCTGATCAATATCAGCAATTACGTCTCGAGATCGGGAGAACTAAATACTCACCTGTGTATATGATAGTCCCGTAGCCCCCGTCGAAAGGAAACACCTTCCAGGCATGGCTTTGTTCCAATTCGCTTCAAATGGCGTGTAACAGAACACGCTCATTATCGGAATCAATAGGTTGAAAGTGAATACCATAATGATACTCGCCCATACGAACCCCAAGTACACTCTTGAAAATTTGAGGACAAGTAGGTAAGCGCAAATGGAAAATTTGAGGATTGCAACGCCGATCAGGTTTACGATTTGAATAATCCAGAGATAGTAGCTGTAGTTCAGGAAGTCGCCTGGCGTTATGCTGGGGTCTTCCATGTGACGTCCTTGACCGTATTGGACTATCTTCCAGCGAACGTACGCTGAAGTTATGTCCATCGACTAAAGGTATAGTTGTCAGTACTCTCGCAGTGGCATGGGTTGCGTGCGTCGACTCACGGCAGCGATGAGCAGAAGATAATCGCATATTAAAAGCTTCCGCTTAGTTCGGATACCGTACACGATCCTCCAAGCAAGAGTAAAAATACTGAGTGAAGAGAGTATGTAACTTGAGACCAAAATCTCGAGTCCACGATTCGGCCACACTTGCTGCTTCGTATCCGCCATGTTGGAAGTTAATCGATGGAGAAGATTCGGGATAGGAGGACGAGAAAGTTCAACTTCGATGGCACGAGTACTGCTACATATGACTGATAAAAAATGCGGCTCGTTTGGCGCCTGCAAGCTTTCCAAGGTGCTGGGTAGTTCTCAACTAGCCCACTGCAAGGGCATTCATACTTCAGTCACCAACAATGTGACAGCCACTCGTCTCGAACGGGATGCGTCCCGAAGCCGTTCTGTGAGTCTAAGCTTTCAAGAACTTCGGCAACGGAACAAGTAGTTTGATTCCTTTAGCAACCCGGTCCGCTAGATCGTGTGCCGTGTGGAGCTTGTTGTGAGTGGTTGAGTGATATAGCAAGAACGTTGTTCTATGTCTTCTTACATCTTATTAAACTGTGCCGCATACATAAACCGGAAGTTCTTACGGTCCAAATGCTTGATCTGGTGATCTCGTTGCGCGGGACCCGTGTAGGATTTATTCCAGGCATCTTGATCCTCACTCCCATCCACCTGAAGTCATTGCTACTGATATACATCACAAAACCAACGGTATAGACCATCGCAACATTTGACAATCGCTTATATGCATATAGTATGACTTGCACTAATCCCCAGGTCAGATGGCCATAGATATGGCTTGTAAAACTAGTAGAGTATTCTTAGTGGCATCTCTTGGCTCGCCTGTGACTGCTGGGGGAATGCTTCCTACTGGTCATATCAGAAAGTCGTCCAGGTGGCTTTGAGATAATCTCTCACAAGTACAAGTGAAATCGCATCCGAGCTTTTGAAAGCGACTTGGATGACTGGGTTAGCGAGCAACCGATAATGGTGAGGCCCGTGGGGGCTTGGATGCAGTTCGTTTCTTCGAGACTAGTGGTAAACAAATTGTGGTCAAGTCAACTTAGCGATCTGCTCGCTTTTTGCTTTGTTATCCAAGCAAATACGTCCTCTGCTTAATGTTCATGCCCTTTTGTACGTAATGTGAAATAGAGATCATGGCATCTTGCTGAGCCGTCCCCGAGCGATGCTTGCTGCAGCGTACATAAGTCTGAGACGAAGGATCGCGACATCTCAAGTGCCACTGCATTACGCTAGTTACGGTGGGGCCGAGTATTGGACGCGGCAGGCCGAACTGGCAATGTTCGACCGTCAGCCGACCCGTTCCTTCCCCCCGTATACCCCCGACAGGGGTAGGAGGGTTCTGTAGACCCTGCTTATGTTGGTGTGAGCTTACCCAACTTCGCATTGCATGTGTCAATCTCAAAGGATAGCACATGCTATACAATCGTGGTTCGAATTACCGGGTAGATGGAAAGTATATGGCGTTGCTTGAAGAGCCGCGGTAGAAAGCGTTGGTTGATGCGGCGCAACCACGCCGCAATGTATTTCCGACATCCTGCACGCTGCGCCGCTCATGCGCGAGTTTGGCACAGAAAGAGAAGGAGCAAGTACCTTGCCACCTCGATCCTCCAATGAGAACCTGTACGGCGAGTCTGTTCGGATATCCAACATACTGGTAGTTAGCGTATGGTGCGCACTGGAAACGGATCCTTCAGAATGCTAGCCGTAGATAATGTTGTGGATTTTTCCTCTTCGCGTCTGAGCTTACCATGCCAGATCTCTAGATGGACCTGTCCTCTCAGACATCAAATCTAAGCTCATTTCCTCTATGTGTATTGCGATTTGAACAAAGTTGGAGTGAGAGGACGATGGTGTAATATAGGGTTGGCGGGACGGCAGCTGGCGTCCGCCGGGGGAAGGCATTACGGGATCTGGAAGCCACCCATGTCGGTTAATCTCGTGAACTCATCATCGTCTACCGGCCTCGCTCATGCTATTTTGCAGAAAAAGCGGCGCGGCTATCGATCTCTCGCGTGGCCGAATTCATATTCTGGTGCCTGTCGCCGGAGCTTTGATACCGACATCTGCAAGGGACGTTGCGGCGACCCTTTGATGTATACACACGACTCGTGCATATCGAGGGACTGGAAGGACGGCAGATGCTCGCCATCTTTGCTCCCTAGATTCTCTTATAAGCCCACGAGACTTCAGCGAATATGGCTGCACTCCACTGTCATTTGACATCGTCCCTCGCTTGTCCTGGTTCTCGGAACGTCTCTTCGCAATGTTTCTACGAACGACTGTAGCAGTAGTCGCCTTGCTAGGCGCTGCCAGTGCTCTTCCCAGCGATGCCCCTCAAGTGCACAAACGTGCTGGCAAGAACACATACGACTATGTGATCATTGGTGGCGGAATCTCTGGGCTTGTAGCGGCAAATCGTCTTTCTGAAGACAAGAAGAGTAAGTCACTCATCGTATCGGAGGTTGCCGGAAGCTCGGTTGAGCGGTTACCTTCGAACTCAGTGACAGCTTCCAAGAGCCTCAGTAATGCTGACTTAATTCATAGAGAGTGTTCTCGTCATCGAAGCTGGCGGCGCTGATGACAACATGAACATCCGCTTGCCCTACGCCGCCACTTATCCAATCAACACAACACTCTTTTGGGGTTTCGTTGCCGAACCAGAGCCTTTCCTCGCTAATCTTACATACGCTGGTCTTGCAGCGCAGGTACTTGGTGGTGGTTCTATCGTGAACGGCATGGCGTATGATCGCGGTTCAATTGCCGACTTCGATGCGTGGGAGGCGCTAGGAAACAAGGGCTGGGGTTGGAGTGGCATGTATCCCTTCTACAAGAAGAGCACAACGTTCATCCCACCACCGGCAGATGTAGCAGCAGAGTTCAACATAACCTGGGATCCTACGGCGTAAGTTAGCGTATTCTTCTCAATGCTCCAGCCTCGCTAACGTACACTGTCAGTTACGGGAATGGTCCTTTGAAGATCGGTATCTCAGACTTCCAGTATCCCGATACCAAGGACTACTTCAAAGCCTTCCAGGGTGCGGGCGCGAAAATGCAGCTCGACGGTAACAACGGAGATGCGTACGGCGCGTCATGGTGGGCGAACACAATGAACCCTGAGACTGGCGAAAGATCACACGCTCGTAACTCTTACTATGAGCCTGTTTCGACTCGCTCGAACTTAAATGTTCTTCTAGACACACTTGCAACGGAGCTCGTGTTCGACAGCGGTAAGGAACTCACTGCGAAGGGTGTCAAGATTACCAATAAGAAGACGAACACGACCTCAGTCGTTTATGCGAAGAAGGAAGTTATTCTGGCTGCGGGTGCATTTAACACCCCGAAGCTTCTCCAAGTCAGTGGTATCGGACCAAAGTCTGTCCTTCAGGCTGCCGGTATTCCCGTGAAGCTTGAGAACGACGCTGTTGGTTCAAACTTCCAGGACCACCCGTATATGGGTGTCGCATTCAACATTTCCAACATGAGCACACCCAACCCGACTTCTCTGGATACCGATCCTGCCTTCAACGCTTCAGCGTGGGCAGAATACCGCGCAAACAGGACAGGACCATTGACACTGGCACGAGGCAACAGTCTGGCTTTCATCCCACTTCCCGAAATTGATCCTAAGAGGTACCGAAGCCTTGCCAAGCAACTGACGGGCCAGAAAGATGATGCGTATCTGCCTTCTATCTACAAGAACAACAAGAAGCTGCTGAAGGGTGTTCGCGCTCAGCGGAAGATTCTAGCTGGTCTGTATCAGAACCCCGAGGCTGGTATGACGGAATACGCGATCCCAGCATCTGGTTCGTACGAGCTCGTCGCTCTTGAGAAGCCAGTTTCTCGTGGCACAATTATGATCAACCCTGCCAATCCTCAAGGTCCGCCAGTTATCCTGTACAACGCTATGAGCAATCCCCTTGATAAGGCTATTCTTGCATCTTCCGTGCGCTGGATTCGACAGGTCTGGGCTCGTCCAGAGCTTGCGAAGTTTTCGCCTGTAGAGCTTGCGCCAGGTCCTCAGTACACAAGCGATGAAGACATCATTAATGTTTCGATTCAGTCGCAAGCCATTACACCGTCGCTCGCGCATCCTTCTTGCAGCTGCCCTATGATGCCGGAAGAGATGGGTGGCTGTGTTTCCGATAAGCTTCTCTTCTATGGCGTCAAGAACCTGTCCATCATCGATGCCTCCATTATGCCTCTCATCCCCTCTCAACATATTCAATCGACAATGTATGCTATTGGTGAGAAGGCGGCGAGCATCATCAAGAGCCGCGGTTGAAGAATGTTCGATACTGCAGATGTAGATAGAATGTAGATTAAAGGACATAATCATTCGTTGAACTTACCGCATATAGACTTCCGGTCATCGTGACGTTTGCTACTGCCTGTTCAGGCAAGAAATGGTACTGTCACCTGCTTATACGTATGTAAGCAGACTGAGGCCATAGTGACCTGCAGCCCAATGTAATGCAATACGATGTAGTTGATGGAAGTCGAATTGCGAGGCTGGGCTGGATGGAGAGAAGACGTGTCAAGCAAAATACGCTAGTCTAGCGTAAACCATATTTGAGTCTCGATCATGTCTAAAAACACAGCATTCGAGATTGGTAGGTATTGCGTTAAGTTGACATCATGAGGAAGTGATTCATGGTAGGTCTGGTAATGGGCATATACATGCTAAGAAGCTCATGTCTGTTGACGTGTTGGATTGAGTCTGAACGGGAACGGACTTATTTGTGAAGCGTTTGATGGGCGAAAGAAGAAGACGAAGGAGAACAGCACTATATAGCACCGCATTGGCTCTTGTTCGGAATTCTCCCAAATCCTGATAGTGTTTGGCTCTTTGATCATAGGCTCACATTTGCATGCGGATATGTACAATAACGTCTCCAGCTACCCTCTGTATAAGTAATCAATGCGATCCGCTGCTGAGTAGAAATGTCGCATATCCATCGAGCATATTGCGTGCACGTCATCACCTTGGACATTCAGACTACGCCTCCAAGAGACCCCATCGATAGCACCGCTTTACGCATTACTCGTACTTGTCTGACTATTGTACAGGATCTTTGGCATTGCAGCCTTTTCTCAGATCGTGGTATCGTTCCACAATACGCGCCTCGCTATGCATGTAAAAAGACAAACTTTTGGGAAAATAAACAACCTCACCGTTATGCACCATATCGCTCCGTGTGCATAACCCATCACGCGTGCGGTACTCACCTGCTCAATATATGTCATCGTCGATCTCGCCTTCGGCATCAATGTCCTCCTCGTCTTCAGCATCCACGTCCGCGTCCGCCATCTCCACGTTATCAATGGGCGCGCCCGTGGCCTCGGGGGTGTGAGATTTGCTTACTGTCGGGTCTGGAGTTGGTACTTGCTCGGTTTGTGGAGTCGCAGAGCCGGAAGGGGGTATGGTTTCTGACCGGTTCTCCTCTGCCTGAGATTGCTCAGAGTTGAGGGCTTGGTGTATGATCCTGTACTGTTGTTTCGGGTTCTTGAGAATCTCGCGACTCGTGCTCGTCTCCATGGCGCCAACCTCCGGATCATTCGCATCGCCTTCTTCCTCGACGGGGGCTGCGTCAGCGCCTGTTACCTTACGCGCTTGTAACGTTGAGTGCCTCAAGTTGTAATCGACGCGCCAACGCTGCTTCTCGTGGTTCTTCGCTTTACGCTTGACATGCTCACCAAACCAGTCGTCTTCCGTATCACGCAGCTGGTCGCCGAATGCAGCCCAAAATCCGGGAAGGGTAATGTAACCGCCGCCAACCGTCTTGGTGACTACCTTGATGGACTCAAGCCAGTCTAAGACAAGCTGAATCTCAAACAGCTCGGTGGTATGCTCAGGACAATGGGAGTGAACATCGGTAACAGTTGCGCCAGCTAAGAAGATCAAGGGCTGTAGCACCAAGTTCAGAACCCGGTGCCACCACGGCCATGTAACGGATTGGCCGTCAATACTGCTCCAAATGGGTAGCAGTGCGCCAGCATCGTGTTTGCCAGGAAGAGGCGGCTCAGGTAGCGCCCGCCAGACCGCAGGCTCATCCTGCATAGGCGAGAGCGGAGTGGATACCGGCTGCAGTGGGTTACCAAACTTGTAGTCTGCTGTCGGCACGACATGGATGTCCCAGAACAAACGGCTTCTGTCTATAGCTCGGTGGTTGTAGCCGCCTTCACAAAAGCCCCAAACGGACAGCTTTGGGAGCGAGGCGTCGAATTCGTTGTTGACAGGCGGTAGCTGAGGAGCTAGCTTAACTGTCCCCTCGTTTACCATGGTCATGATTGCTGCAAAAGCGCCATCTTCTTCGCAGCGTGACATGTTGTAAAATCTCTGCCCTGGATCATCGTCTGCAAACGCAGCGTCCATCTTTTTCTTGATCTTGACGGCGTTCATGAAGTCGTCGAGCTGGAACAAACGTGTATACTTCTTCGCCAAGGCTTGCGTGAAATTATAGTTGCGGCCGGGTAGGAGGCGCTTGAGCTTGCGCATCCTGAGATGCTGCTTGTCCACGAGATCACCCACAACATTGACCAATACAGTCTCACCAATGTCTTTAAACTTCTCGTGTGCTAGGTTTGCATCATAAAGCGCCTGCGGTGTAGCTGTGTTCGCGCGAATCCATGATCGTGCCTTGAGAAGCTTATCGTCAGGTGACCAGATCGCCTCACGCGATCGATGGAGTGGAGCAGTAAAGGATTGTTGTAGCTGAAGCATTGTCCTGGTTCGATCTGCTGTCGCAGCTTTGTACCATAGCACACGATCTAATATCTCGTATTTTGACTCATCAACAGTGAACTGTTGGAGTGCTTGCCTCAAGACGGGGAGAGGAAGATCTGGGTAGGCACACTTTCGCATGGCCCATCGTACCAGACCCGTCCAATCGTGCGTCTCAGGATTCTCAATAGTTGCAACTTTGCCAGATTCGTAAGCTTCAAGATAAAGCGACTGGAAGGTAGTGGTAAGCTCAGAAACCTGCTCAGACATGTGCTTCTGCATCCAGTCCCAAAGCTTCTTGGTCTTCGCCAAATCGAAGAATCTGTCACTGTCGTATATCCTCTTGAAAAGTCTCCAGTCAATCTGCCCGTCCTCTCCAGATAGAGAAGAAACAACGATGAAAGTATAGAAGATCTTTTTGAAATCATCCAGCGAGTCTGTAGCTTGAGCATACTGTCGTTCCTTCTTGAACCTGTTGATGCGTATCCTCTTCCGCTCGCTCCATGACCGAGGTGATTTTTCAGGTCTAGGTACACGCTGCGGGGGCTGGTATATTGGATCGTTTGGATCACCAGTTAGACCAGTGAGGCGTTCCAATAGGGTTGGAGGAGGACCCGGCTTGCCTCGTTGCCGTCCATGGAAGTTTCTCATCCTTCGCTTCTTCGTGTTGGAATGTACAGCGTTGTCGCTGTCCTCAGACTCGTCGTCTATCTCCGAAGCAGATCGTACATCATCATCCGTACCAGGGTGATAGATAGATTCCACATCTTGCGTTGTTGTAGATGTTGCTGGGATGATACGGGTTCTCTTCCTGGATGACTGGTCGCGCGGAGCTATGATCCGTACTCGCTTCTTGCCCTTCTCTACGGCAGCAGATTCGTCTACAGACTTCCCATCAGAGGCCAGGGGACCAGTGTTTTCAACATTGGCAGAATCAGGCTCCGCAGCAGTCACATTGTCGGAAGGTTCTTCGACGATGGACTGAGTTACATCCAGCGGGATCTGTTCATCTACTGCGTTGCTTTGCTCCTGTTGCTCGACCCAGTCAGTTACTTCTTCATCGCTGTCATCGTCTTCGGGCGGCTCATCATCGGAAAGTTGCTCGCGTTCCGGAACAGGCGCGACGATGGGTCGAGTCCAGATGAGCGAGATCTGTCCGGATTTGGCGGTAGGTTCATCATCTGCCACGTCGTCGGAGTCTTCGTCAAAAGCTCCCATGCTGGCAGCATACAGAGGAGCACGACGTAACTTCTTGCTTTTATCATTCAAACTAGCAAGTCGCGCCCGCTTTGTATGCGGCCCACCGCTACTGTCTCGAATCTGCTTAGAAGATACTTGTTCGACCTGAGCGTTCTGGGCCTTGCGAGCCTTGGCCTCCAGCCTTTTCTGTTTCTGCCATATGCTGCGCTTTCGAAGCTTAGCTTCCGTGATTTGCTTTTCTAGCTCAGGATTTAGCTGATTGAGAATGATGCTCTCATCCTTGGGAGCAGCTTGGATTGGTTGGTATGATACAACCTCGCCGATCAGATCGCGGATCTCCTCTGGGTAATACAAGAGTGACTTCTCTGACACACGGTGAACGTTTTCTTTTTGTTGGGAGTATTGCGCCATGTTGTGCGCCAACTTGAGGACTTCAGGACTTCTCTCGTTCAGATGTGCCCGTGTGTACATCCTTCTGGTCGCAGTACCTGGCATGTTCTTGTGCTGCGAAGCAAAAGTCCAATGCTTCAGCCTGAATCGCGGGTCTGCAGACATATTCCTCAGTGTCTCGGTAATAGTGCTAATTGAAGGCTCTGCGATATTTGGATACGTCTTTTTCCAAAGCGTAAGAAATGGTCTTGACATCTCACCACCGCCAGGGAAAACACCGTGGCATGTGTCGATGATCTTCTCGATAAGTTTTTGCCTCAGCGCGCGCTGAGTGCCTGTTATACCACCGGTTTGAGCTTTCCTGGGCTTGGTACCTGGAACACTAGGTGCTGGAGTCTCTACAATGAAGCTATGAATGGCATCGGGAGGGGAAGTGCCGTTGTCGGTCCCAGGAGTAGGAAGTGGCGGTTCGGCGGTGCTGAGAGTGGGTTCTTCACCAGTCTGGGTACTAGTTGGAGTATCTGGTGACAGGCGAGCTTCTGAACCTACAATGGCAGCATAAGGGCTCTGATAAGGTGTCGTGCGGGAGCGCTCAGTCGCATTGATGGGAACCCAGCCGCCTACCATGCGTGGTGTTGGTGAGACTTTCGGTGGTGACCGCCTCGGTGCAACTTCAGAAACATCGTTGACCTGCTTTCCAACGATCGTGTCGGTTGCAGTTGTTGCCGGCTTGGCGTCCCTGTCTTCAGCAATAGTGGATTCTGGTACGGACGATAATGCTTTTGCCCTGCTAACCTCGTTGCCGACTAGCGATGCTCCACATTCTGGCAAAGTTGAGTTTTTGGTAGGGAGAAATGACACTTCGTGATCCACAACAATCTCCTGTGACTCTATGACACTCGGTGACTGGGGTTGCACTGAGGATCGTGACCTTCCAGCGAAAGGCGTTTGTCGTGAAACAGAAACCTCCGAGTTGACCGGTGAATGCACCTGCGTGTGTGCCTCGGGTGATATCCCGACTGGAGGTTCTCGATGCGGTTCGATCACGTTATCATTCTGCTGAGCAATGACGATGCACCCAGCTTCAGGAGTAGCAGTAGGATCAATTCGGTCTACGGCCTGCTCCTGAACCGACTCCGATGTAAACCATTCAAGGTCTGCTAGATGCGGTAGCTTGAAGGTAGCCATTAGAGCCTTGCGTGGTCGGCCTCGAGCAACCTTCTGCTTCATATAAGGATTGAGAAAGAGACCTGGGCCGCGTCGTTTCTCGTACTGGTCGAAGGCTATTCGAGCATGGGCATCCAATTTCGAGGTATCGGGTTGAACATACATCCACGTCGTTACATGTTTTGGAGACTGTTTGGCTTCTACGCTTGGGATGATAAGATCTCTCACTGGCGAAGGTGTTGCCAGGACAGCTCGAATGGCTTGCGCCGAAGTCGACTGGCTCGTATCATCGGTACGGTTTTCATCTGGACAGGCCACTGAAGTACCGTCTTCCAGTGGACTTGTTGCATCAGTGGGCGAGGGAGACCTTGACGTCGTAGATCTTGAGGTTGACCTGTATGGTACAGTGTCTGTGTTACGTCGCCTCTTTGACGTCTTTGGAGTGATGATAGAGTCTTCCGCCCTTCGCTTCCCTGTGATGATATTGGACGATAGAATCTCAGCCTTGGGTTCCACAGCGGCAGGATTCGGCGTATATTCGGCGTCCGGATTCTCCATATACACATCGCGATCCTCTGTTAGGGTGGTCTGCTTCGGGATGGGTTTAGCGCCCTTTTTCTTGTCACTTTCCTCTTTCCTGCGCTTCATTTCTGTGTCCCAGCTCGCAATGACTTTTGAATCTTTCACGGAGATACCATCTTCGCGCTCTTGGCGTAAGCCTTCTATGATCGCTTGCGGTAACCGACCATGATCTGTCCAGCCCAGAGCTATTCTCTGCGACTTGCTGAGAACAGTAGGTTCGCTCGTGGCTTTTGTCACTTGCTTCTTCTCCTTTTTAACCAGCTGGGGTAGTCCACGTTTTGCCCGAATTTCGTTCTCTGTCGCGATACCCAAGCGTCCTTTGGCTGCCAATCCTAGTGCCAACCGCTCCTCTGTTGTCAGCAGTGGCTGAGGTAGCTGACGCTTTGCTCGATTATCTACAATCGCATCAGGCAGAGAAAACGGGTCACCTGTTTTCTGACGATGGGCGAGGATTTGGGCCTGGACGCTTTTGCTCAACCGGGCATCGCCATCAAGCCCTAGCGATGTCTTCTCCTCAGGTGTTAGTATGATAGTCGGGCGTTTCCTAGAAGCTTTGGGGGCTTTCAATGTCCGAACGGGCTTCTCCTTGATGACTTTCTGTCTCTTGATTCGGCCTGGTGTTTTGACTTTCAGAACGGACGTTGCGAGTTTCTTGTAGCCGGCCTCCTCCGCCACTGCGTTATCCCATCGTGGACCATTCTTCCGCGGTTTCACGATGGCTGAACCCGCCTCAGATAGTGTTGCCGAACCAGTCTCCCGAACCAACTCTTCTGCACTGACAGTTGGAAACCCCCACGCATCCAGGACAAGCTCGTTATCCGAACTCTGACCAGGTTCTTGAGGCACCATAACACCCTCCCAGACAGCTATCTTCGCCTCGACAGCTTTTTGAAAATTTTCGTATGTGCGGTAGAGGTAATGAATATACTTTTTGGGCTTGGTAGTACCCGCATCTCGAATAACTGCCAGGTGTCGTAGATGAATAGGTTGTGTCTTCTCCCAGTCGCATGTCACACGAACTAAATATGACTCGATCGGGCGCCTCCAGAAAGGGCCAACGATCCGATTGCGCAGAGCCTCAGCGTCCCAGCCCTGAGCACCACCCAGAGCCGTGGCATTGAAGATGATGTTAGGAAGAAAGCGGTCGGGTATCCACTGAGGAGGAACGCTATCGGTGTTATTTGCAACCGGCTTAGCATTGACATGGTTGTCCACATTGGCGTCTGCGTCGTCTGGCATATCTGCATCGAGATCCTTCAACAGCGACTCGCCATTGATGTCTTCATCTGGAAGCTCGTCGACCGAGTCATTCGGAAGGTCAGCTACGCGTCGAAAGCCAAGGTTCTTGAGGTCCTCCTCCTGGGGTTCGCGCAGCACCTGAATACAAGTAATCCACTTGTCGGAAGATGCCTTTTTGAGAACTCTACGTCGCTTAATCATTCCGCTTTGATCGAGTCGAATGAGTGCACCCTGCGTAGCTCGTTTATTCCATCGAGACATAGGTACCTCCTACTTAATGTTAGAAGCTACACCATTACATCAGCGCAACAGACTTACGAGCTTTTCCCTGATTGACCGCGTAGGTACAATACCGCCTTGGCCAACAACGTTATACAACAGTTGAGCGAAGTTTCTAACCACAAATGTACCGTCCTCTTGATACACGTCTTCCATGGCACTAGACTTGATAAAGGTGTTCTGAGAAACGAATTTGGCATGGATGCAGAGACTAGTGCGCATCTTGTTTGACTGAACAGAAATCTTGGCGATGTAGTTCTTGCGAGCCAACTCATCTGTTCGTTTAGGGACAGACCTCTTGTCTTGCCCGCTGATGTTGATCAATTCAGGTTGTGTGATGCCAGCCGCTCCGCGAGCAGCAATGAGAGAGAGCAATACGAATTCCATGCTGGGAACCTTCTTCAGATCGATACCGTGGCCTGTAAGCGCCTGCCAAACTCTGCTCTGGCTGGCATACAAGCGAGGGGCAGTGATACTAGAGTCGGGTTCATCGAAGGCTTCCGCGGTGCGACACGCTTCGCTTGGTAGGTTGCGAATTGGTCTTGATATGGATATGTGAGCTGGAGTATTAGACGGCCGAGTCACAAGTTCTTTCTGGTCGTATCCGTCTTCGAGGATGCGTTGGCGCAGGGAGTCTTTTAGACCACATAGCGCTTTAGAAGGTCGCACTATCCCCTTGATTGTATTGGTGGGCGACTGGTTCAGATTTGTTGAATGCGTCTCTCCGATCGTACCGGTCTCATGTAGCTCAGCCGCTTCGAATTCGGAAAGAGTGAACTGACGAACCTCTTGCTGGTAGACTATGCGAATATCGGAATGATTAGTGAGCCATTGCCATAGGCGCTCATAGAACGCGCGGCCAAGCCCGGTTGATAGAGCAACCCTTTGGCCATTCCTGCTGGTTGCAGGCTCATCATTGCCGACGGCCTGTTTGTAGAAGACATCAATAAAGTGACGAAAGTCTGCGCTGCTAGCACCTGAAGACGCGTTAGTACCTAAGAAGTGGTAGATAGATTTCGAAAAGGCGACGCTATGAGCAGCGCAACGACCAAGATGACGGGAGCGCAACAATCTCACTTCCCAGCCAAATTACGTTGTAGCTCATGGAGATTGACAACGTCGAGTAGCTCGAAAGGGCCAGTGCGCAGATGGAAGCAACAACTACACGTGCAACGAGTCATGCATACCTTGTACGCCTCGGAGTGCAATTTCTGACAGCAGAAATTCCAGCAGCTTGTCATAACCCGTCGCCATGGTGCTCTCAACCATCCCCGTTCCACTCGAGCAGCGTGATGCGAATACAAGGAAACGCGCTTAAGGCATGTCAAAAAGTGGCGAGGCGGCGATTCGAACGCGCACTGTGGAAGATGCTAGGGTGAGATCGAGATGTGAGTGGCTGCAGCTGGTAGTGGGAATGCCTTGAATCGCGAAAGTTGGTATCGAATGTAGCAAAAATCCTAACGCGCTCTTGCGGTAGATGATGCAAGCTGTTGATGGCGGGTTTCGAACGCGTGCAAAAAAGATTGCTGTCGAATCGGTCGATACTCTGGCTGCTTAGTGGGGTTGGGAGCTGCAAGAAGGCGCCTAAGAGAGAAAGAATCTTGCCCCGCGTCGGGTCTTGGCAACGCGGCCCGCGCTCACGCTAATTGATATGGTAAGTGCACTTATCTGATAGCTGTCGTCCACATCTTCAACGAAGAGAACTGCTGTTCAGTAAAGCGCCTCTATGTCCGCGCTACCTATGGCTCCGCCACGTTCATAGCATCGCTGTCTTGGTAGACCATTGTATATGTTCAGAGCCAGAAATTGTAGAAGATGAACATTTTCAAGCTCCGATAACACTCCGTCATGTCCTTCATCTCTCCCTTCGGCACATCAACGTCGAAACCCGGCCATGGATCCATCGTCCTCGAGATACTTCCTCCGAATAAACCTGTCCTTCGAACTGTATCCTACCAATATCCCCTTAAGCTAGTTGCGCCAGATCCGTTAGCACCACCCAACTATGGCACGGAAGTGGACCACTACACAACAACAGCAGTACCTTGCCTCATTCACACAGTCTTCCTATTGACTTATGGTGGAGGGATTGTTGCTGGGGACAGCATAGATTTGGACGTTGAACTAGACAGTAGTACACGGCTGATACTATTGACACAAGGTTCGACTAAGATCTTCAAAACCCCAAGTCCAGACCTAGTCTCCCGACAGCATATGAACATATACCTCAAGCAGGACTCTGCGTTGGTATATCTCCCAGATCCTGTGCAACCTTTTGCGCACACAGCTTTCTCCCAGTCTCAAGTCTATCACTTGGACAAAGAGCAGGGTAACTTGTGCATTTGCGATTGGGTGACAAGTGGCCGTTCAGCACGAGGAGAAAATTGGGATATATATGAATATAAGAGCCGGAACGAGGTGTGGACTGTAGGTGATGCAGGGAAGAGAAGACTACTTCTACGAGACAATCTCATTCTGGACAAGCATGGCAAGACCGGAATGCCACTCGCCTCTCGTATGGATAACTACTCCGTGTTTGGGACTTTGATCATTCGCGGTCCAATCTTCTCGTCAGTAGCCAAATTCTTTCTAGACGAGTTCGAGGCACTACCGCGTATTGGAGGAAGAAACTGGGGCGACGTCGTGCAGCCTGAGCTTCAAGCACACGAGCAGAGGCGGTACGAGAGGCAACAGCGAGAGAGGAGTGATGGCCTGGTATGGAGTGCTGCAAACGTGAGGGGTTTTGTTCTGGTCAAGTTCGCTAGCAGGGAAGTGGAAGGATCAAGGAACTGGTTAAGGGATATGATCAAGGAAGAAGGGTCGCTGCTAGATGCATTTGGGGAAAGAGCGATTCTGTGTCTAAAGTGAGGCTATGGAGCGTTGATACCCGGGTCCAGGTAGATCTGTCGACGAGAAAATTTGTCACATGTCGTGTCTCGATGCTGTCGTGTTGCATGTGTTGTCCATGTACTTGCAGCCCCACGCCGAGGTGCTTGGGCCATGGCCGCCAACCGCGTACCAAAAGTCGATGTGTGACGTGCATAGCCGCACCTCGAACGCTCGTATAATCTTCGCAACCACCTAGCCTGTCTGATCCTATGCTATACCAAAGACCTCACGTGGTCTTTTTGTCGTCAATATGAGCGGCAGGCTCGTCGCGGGCCGCCTTTCCACCATCGCACGCCGTTCACCGCTGCTCACTCCACGCTTCTACACGACGCATTCCCTCCCCGCCGGTGGACTCCTCCGCAATGAAGCCGGCCTGCGGCTGGTGAAGCGACGACCGTGGCCGCTCGGTAGCTACGCGCTGCACAACGTCCCCGCCACACGCTCCATCTCTTTTGCCAGGGTGATACCAAAGCTGGTGGGCAAGTTTGCGACCGTGGGTGCGGCTGCTGGAGGGGCTGTCGTCGCAGGGGTTTCCTACATCCAGTACCAAGCCGGCCGTACGTATACAGGAAGAACCATCTGCATCGGAAAGCTGACATCAAACAGAGGCGGGAACATTTGCGCTCGATCTCTTCCACCGAACCAAAGACGGCGCGACCGAATTTGCGGGCGGCGCCCTCAGCACGGCAAACGGCTTCTTCGACCAGCTAGAAAAGGGCTTCAAGTCGACCAAGGATGAATTTGAGGGCGTAAAGGCTCCAGAATGGCTGCAGCGATTGCTTGCCAAGGACGAATCTGGTGGTGCAGGAGGCGACAACGGTAACGGCGGTGGCAGAGGCCCAGAGAACCCCAAGCAAGGTGGTGCTGGGACTGCTGCTGCCGGTACGTCAACAGCAGCAGCGTTCGGCTATTCTCAGGAAGATGACGAGGACAGGCCGCAGGCGGAGAAGATCGCAAGAGACGACCAGATGATGATGCTCACTAAGAAGATGATTGAGATCCGCGGGCTCCTACAGACGGTAGGACAGTCCGACTCCCTCACACTGCCGTCTATCGTCGTTATCGGATCACAGTCGTCTGGAAAGAGTTCGGTTTTGGAAGCCATCGTCGGCCACGAGTTCTTGCCAAAGGGACACAACATGGTCACACGACGACCTATCGAGCTCACACTTGTCAACACGCCAGAGGCGCACGCTGAGTACTGCGAATTCCCTGCCCTCGGTCTTGGAAAGGTCACAGACTTCAGTCAGGTACAGAAGACACTGACAGACTTGAACCTGGCTGTGCCGGCGAGCGACTGTGTGTCTGACGACCCTATCCAATTACGAGTCTACTCTCCGAACGTTCCTGATCTCTCGCTGATCGATCTGCCCGGCTACATCCAAGTCGTTGGTCGAGACCAGCCCCCGCAGCTGAAGGAGAAGATCTCGCAGTTGTGCGAGAAATACATCAAGGCACCCAACGTCATTCTCGCCATCTCGGCAGCTGACGTGGATCTGGCCAACAGCACCGCACTGCGAGCGTCTCGCAGGATGGATCCCCGGGGCGAGAGGACTATCGGTGTTATTACAAAGATGGACCTTGTAGATGCTGAACGTGGTGCCAGTCTGCTCAGCGATCAAAAGTATGCTTTGCGTTTGGGATACGTCGGTGTTGTTTGCCGAGTGCCAGCCGGCGCCGGTGGTTCCAAGCTCTTCAGTCGCGGCAACGGCAACATCACGAACGCGATTACGAAGAACGAAAAGGCATACTTCGGCTCGCATCCCGAGTTCTCGGAAGGATCAGAGCTCGCTGTTGGCACCCAGAATCTCAAGAAGAAGCTCATGCACGTGCTCGAGCAGACAATGGCTGGCAGCCTCAAGACAACAAGCGAGGCTATCCAGAGGGAGCTCGAAGATGCACGTTACGAGTTTAAAGTTCAGTACAACGAGCGACCTATCAGCGCAGAGTCGTACCTGGCAGAATCATTAGATGCTTTCAAGCACTCTTTCCGTGGTTTTACTGAGCAGTTCGGTCGCCAGCAAGTCCGCGATCTGCTGAAGCATGAACTCGACCAGCAAGTGCTTAATTTGCTTGCACAACGCTACTGGAACAGGCCTTTCGATGACCTCAGCGTTCCCTTCCCCGAGACTGATCCTCTTACAAATTTAGCCAAAGCCGATATCGATGGGGAAGACCAAATTTGGCAAATCAAGCTCGATAGCTCGAGCGCTGCGCTCACCAAGGCTGGTGTTGGACGTCTGGCAACCAACGTTGTCGCAAGCGCACTCCAGGCACACATTGATCGCCTCATCACGAACTCTCGCTTCGCAGCTCATCCATTTGCCCGACAAGCCATCACTGATGCTTCAACCTCCATCCTTAAAGATCTTTCCTACGACATCTCTGATGAGTTGGAAATCTGCATCAAGCCCTACAAATATCGCATTGAAGTTGAGGACAATGAGTGGGCAAAGGGCCGGGAGAACGTCACTGCCGTGCTCAAGGATGAACTAAAGACTGTTGAAGCCGCCGTTAAGCAGCTCGAAGAACAGGTCGGTGGCCGCAAGAGGGTCCGGGACGTAATGTCATTCATCGATCGCGTACGTAGCGGACAAGTTGTCCTAGAAGGCGACGGAGTCGGCGGTGCTGGTGGCTTCAGTTCCGCACTTCTTGCCAAAGGTATGTCTAGTTTGTCTGTACAGTAGCTTGTTTGTATTCGAAACTGACAAAATCACAGGTCGAGAAGCAGTCTTCCTCCGCGATCGTATCGACGTGCTCAAACTGCGCCTCATGGCTATCAAGAGCAAGCAATGCGCCACCAAGAAGAACAAATACCACTGCCCTGAAGTCTTCCTCGATGCTGTCGCTGACAAGCTCACGACGACTGCCGACCTTTTCCTCGACGCTGAGCTCTTAAGCAAGTTCTACTACATTGTAAGTAATAACCTTAGCCCTTGCTCACACAACCATTGATGACGATATTATAGTTTCCACGTGAGCTCGATGCCCGTCTAGGTCGCGGCCTCTCTCAAGAAGAAATCGACCGCTTCGCCAAGGAAGACCCCAAGATCAAGCGTCATCTTGACGTGGTGCGTCGCAAGGATCTCCTCGAACATGTGCTCAAGGAGATGGAGGGTCTGCGTCAACTAGAACAAAGAGAGAAGCGCATGATGGGACGCGGCCGAGATGACAGATATGAGAGGGATGAGCGAAGAAAGAAGGGCTGGAGTATGTTTTAGATGCCAGAAATGACGGAGTGGCGAGACTTCTTGCTGGGTATAGACTGTATGGCGCTATTGGCGTTGCTGTGAAGCGAAAAAAGCAGCTTCCTTGTTGATGTTGACGACGACGACTTCGCTACTCTGTTGGTTTTTGTTGGATACGTATATATGACTCCTTGATTGCGCTCTCATCATTTGGTCAAATACACACACACGTATGATTATCCGATGTATAAGAAAGATGGTATTGTTGTCTCATCTATCGGGTATCTTCAGCATATTCCATCAAGAGCTACGATGTTGCAAACATAGAAAGGATTCCCTTGTAACGCCGTACATGCCACATAAATCATGTCATCGTCTCCACTCTCGTTCCATCTTCTTCTTTCACGACACTGTCAATCAAACAATCAAGCCCCAGTGTCGCTTGACACCCCAATCTAACCTTGTCATACCCTGCAGGTCATCTCCATTCAGATACCCGACACCCTCTTCAACAAGCAGCTTCCATACTCTGTTCCGAAGTCCAATCGGAAACTTGGGCGCGCTCCAGTATCTCGCCTGTAAGCCCCTCTCTTTTGCACTCTTGATTTGCGCTCGGATTTTGAGGACCTGGGCCTCCGTGATGCGACCGAACCACAACGTACCGATCGATTCACCAAAGTTGACAGAGGCGTAGTAGGAGTTCGTGCTGTCGAAGTGCGAGCTAGGGGTTGTGCCGACCGTGCCTTGACCGCCGCGCTGGCCAACGGAAGTGCCTTCCTCGAGCTTGTCTAGAGGGGCGTCGAAGAAAATGTCGCGGTAGGTAGAGTTTGCAGTGATGAGATCAAAAGGCGCATTGCCAGTTGCAACGACGGTGATGGCGCCCTCGATGGTGGTGTTTCCATCGAAGTAGGTCAGGTAGCCCTTCTCACGTAGCGCGGTGAGCTGCTGCGACACTACAGGGAAGATGTCATGGCCGTTGTTCTTGAAATCCACGAGCAGGACTAAGGTCTGTGCAGGCTCAGTGATGAACACACCATTTTTGACGCTGGACGTGGTCGCAAAGTCTCCGAACTCGTTTCTGTGGTCCAGCATCTTTACCAGAGGATCGACATACATCGACGTGAAGGTGCCATCACGCGTCAAGGCGTTAGTGTTGTGACCGACGTACAGCTCCTCGTCGAATAGCCAGACATCGGCTTCTACGCCTGTGCAACCCCAACGTAGGGCGTCGTACAGCGGAACCCTGCGCCAGTAGTCATTATGCGAGTGGCATTGGACCGGAGTAACGTCGCGCGTGACGTCCAACAGATCCGACTTGTCGTGTTGGCTCCAGTCAAACGTAGAGACTATGTGATCATCCAAGAAGGTAGGCACATAGCCCAGGAACACATTGACAATGTGTAGGACACCACTAAGACAGTCAGCATACCGATGCTTCTTCCTGGAGAACATGACAGGATGACAGCTGCACAAATGCCGAGTGGCTGTCGAATGAGAGGCTGACAGGATATCTCGCACCGGAACCGGCGGAAGCTAATGTCTGACAGGCACTTACAAGAAGATGAGCACCAGCAATGGTATTATTACACAGGCTCTAGCGGCATGTTTCTTCTTCAATCGATATTTCTTCGATTGCGTCTTTTCATCCGGTAGCCTCACACGTCCGAAATCCTCGTCAATCTCCGACTTCCCATTCCGCCTTCGAATGCTCATTTTTAGCCGTCGCCAGAACCCGGGCCGCGCACCTAACTCCTCATCATCGGAACCGAAGATCGAGATGTCACCATCTTCTAGCTGGCGCAAGGAGACATGTGATGATTTTGGATCGGAGGAAGCCTCCAAGTCGAGAGAGATACGTAGGAGAGGTTGAATGGTGGGAGAGATGGGTGTTTCGGCGGCCATTCTCAGGCACGAGCCAATTGCAAGCGGAGATTTGGCACGGCCGCGATCCTAGATCCTAAGAGGTGGGGCAAGTGCAAGCGATATCGATATGTGCAGTGCACTTGTTGTCAGAGGTTGCGACGGAAGGTTAGGACTTTCAAAGGTCTTCGCTGGAGTTTGCACCTCGAAACCAAGGCGCACGCTGCCTTAAGACACCTTCCTCTTCGACTTTCGCTCCCGGGCGCCACGAGTTGTTGACTGGCGATCCAGACTGCCCAGGTGGCTATTGTCCCGTCCTCGAGTTCGGGGGAGGCTAGACTGGCGCGATGCACCTCCGCGGTTCAGTGCACAAAGTCGCGCAAACGCAGGGTCCAGTTTCTTGGGTGAAGGTCTGCAAGTTCCAGATGATACTTGGTAGTGGGAGTGAGACTTTGGAGCAGTCAAGAACAATTGGGATTCGCCGCTATTTATTGCGAGACAAAATGTGGCCGGCCAGTCCACCTGCGAAACGAGCTGCAAACCGCGAGGATAGAGTGCGGGCTATCGACATGCAAGCCTTTGAGACAGTCCCAGCGCCCAGCTGCGTTCGAGAACTGGTGCACGGCCTGGTGAGCGAGTTCGGGCACGCAACACAACCTGCGGCGATGATTGGCTGCAGGAGGAGGAGAGGCTAGCAAAGTAGCAGGTGAAGGTGGTAGCGGATGATCAAAAAGGACGATGATTCCAAAGAGCACGTTGTCGAACTTGCGCACTGAGTGGTGTATTTGAGTGAGTGACGGTGGACTGGTATCGATAGAGCCTTCCCACGTTGCACCTCCCTGGACGTGCGGTTCTCATGATATCGGTCCGAAGCAGTCTCTATGGGGCCCAAATATTGCCATTGTTGCGAAACACTGCGTCTGGTTTTCATAGCGTCGTATTCCTAGAAGTGATAGTCTGCGTGTTGCGCGTCTCCTTCGGAGCTTATTGCGTTCCAGTTTCCACCATGGTGCGGCAATTTCGAGCACTCCAGTCGGGACCTGCGCCATAGTCTGTGGCTTGCACATGAGGCGGTAATCCGGACGTTTTAAGCAACGTCAAGCACCGGCTCGGTATGCTATGCCTCATCCTACAGCATCTCGCACAGCAACTCCACACGCAAAAATGGTGGGGTGAAGCCTGGTTCCACGTGCACGCGGTGCCAAGATATCCGAGCCCCACCTCTCCGATTATCCTTGTCGCGTCTCCGTAACTTTTTTGCGACATCGACATCGACGCATCGCTGCTTGGATTCCCTGTCGCATGCGACACTACGGCCAATATCCATCATGCCTCACAAACACAGAGCCATAGAAAAAGACGATTCGCAGTACGTCACCACGTGTTCTCGCAAGCCTAACCAAGCATGGACTGTAACCTGACTTATTGCCAACAGGTTCAATCTTCCGCCCGATGTTCACGCCGCTCCTCTCCCTGTCGGCAAAGCGCGCACTTTCAGCACAGCACCCAAAGGCAAGAAGCGCAAGGTGAACCAAATCGATGGATATGGCGCGGACGACACACCCAAAGCCTTCCAACGGCTCATGGCGTTCTCCAAGGGCGGAGCAAAGAAGCGCTCCGGTCTCGACGATGGCATGGTGAAGACCAAGAAACAGAAGAAACAAGAGGCAGCCGAGAACTTGGAAAAGGACGAAGCGAATAACAAGAGTGAGGAGCAGACACAATCAAAGGATGTGCTGAAGATACAACCCGGAGAGTCAATGCAAGAGTTCCGCGCTCGAGTCGACGCAGCGTTGCCCTTGTCAGGTATAAACAAGAACGGCAAGAAGATTGCAGGTCTCAGCGATCACAGGGTTACCAAGCACGAGCGGCATCTCAAGCGTCTACAGAAGGGATGGAGGGAAGAAGAAGCCAGAATACGGGAAAAGGAGCAGGAGGCTAGGGAACTGGCTGAAGAGGAGCAAGACGAGCTGGATGCTATGTGGGAGGATAAGACAGCCGACATAGAAACTACAAGAACGGTGAACGGCAAGAAGAAGAAGGCAAAGAAGAACAAGCGCAAATTGCTAGCGGGTGAGGTAGACCATGGCAGCGAAGACGAGTGGGAAGCTCTTCAGAAGAAGAGAGAGGAACGCAAGGGCTTACACGATATTGTGCATGCGCCGCCAACGTTTGACAAAGTACCGAGGGAGATTTTCAAGGTCAAGAATGGAGCGGGTGCCAAGGTTGGAAACGTGCCCAAATCAGCCGGTAGTTTGAGTAAGAGAGAGGCACTGGGCGAGGAGCGTCAAAAGATGATCGACACATATCGTCAGATGATGGCTGCGAAGAAAGAAACGCATGCTTAGTTCGCGCATTTCGGTTGAGCTTGAGATACCCTAGATACGTAAATGAACCACGTCATGCTTTGGATATCGAATATCTCCCCTAACCAGCAAACATCTGAGGCTTGACGCTTTGGTGTCCTCCTAAACAGGCAAATCCGTAGCTTTGTTGGTCGTAGCAACTCTCGATTCACTATGCCTCCTAACCCTACCTGCAAGTACAGCTGTGTTTCTTCATCAGATACTAACCAACCCTTTGCTCGAACCTTACTATAATCGAGGGCATGCTTGTCTTGAAACCCCTAACGTAGTAATGCAAAAAGCCAATCCTCGATTGCAGCAAGTTGTGACAATATTTTGTTACAATCACAGAGTGTATTTCCTGTTCCAGTAATACTAGGAAATCCATTAGGAGCGACTCTTCGAATGCTACAAGAAACATTGACATTGCCTATTACGGTAGGTCTGAATATCCGTAGAACACGGTGAGCAGTGAAAGCAATGGTGTCGTGGATAGCACAGCGTCATCTCGCTGGAACCCAATCGGGTAGGTTGGACACAGCCGTCTAATGCGGCAATTTGCGGATCTTCGCGAACCCTGAGTGGCTAGGCTGGGCGGGTATCTCACGTGATACCACACTTCCTATTGTGGTAGGTGATGTGATAGCCGTGGATGATAGCAGATTTTGCAAAAGCAAAAAGTCGCGAAGCCAAGGATCAGGAAGTGAAAGTGGGACGACATGTGACAGCGATAATGTGCGATGCCTCGAGAGTTTGATCGACAGCAACACGCAATCAGAGAATCTACGCTTGTTTGTTCTGCTTCCTAATATTCCGCTACCAAATATGTTTCCTGTAACTAACGTACAACGTCTTCCACTGTTCAGTCACTATTGTTAACTTGCGAAAGTATCATCCTCCATGATAGTTCTTCGTGACAATGGTCCCAATATGCTAGGTGAGTTCGAGACGCATGTACATCCGTCCGAAACAGCAGTGCCTACAACCAAGGTTTCTGTGAACGCGACAGGATGATGTGATGAAGGCGCAGCGAGGAAGCGATCCATAGGATCCATATTTGCGAGTGTGTTTAGCGTGGCCTTTAGTTGAAGTATCGAATGATGGTAGGAGCATGATAATATAGGTGGGCGGTTCGGGATAGTATGTGCTGAACAGTTAGCATCAATGTGTCCTTGATTGATAGAGAAGGCATACCATCGTTAACGGCAACTGCAACAGGACCTAGTCGGTTGATCTTGGTCGAGCGCCGTGGAGCTCGAGTCATAATTCGTGATAAATAATATGGCGGTGTCTTAGTTGATGGAAGCTCTAAGAAGTTCGCAGTGAGGCAGTATTATCACAATAGTGGAGAACTGCATGCGATTGGGGTGATGTTGTTGTTGTGACGGATAAAGGTAGTCTTAGGATGACACTCGATCTACGAGGCAATTGATATACATAACAGCATGCGGAAACGTGGGGTTGCAAAAGCTGCGAAGCAAGCCACGTTCGGCGGTTTAGAAGTAATAAACTAGTCAATGCTTGAGCAGTGCGCCTTGATAGCAAGCTGTTGTGGTGGGAAGCTCGCATGACCAGTGAGCAAGCGGTATCTGATATCACGACGTTGAGAAGCCAATGGGGTCAAGTAAGCAGACGACGAGGAAGCGTAAAACCATCAAGTGAAGGTAATGTGGCCGCGGCCTCTCGTTGGTCGTGTTGGCTGAGAAGTGAACGGTGGACAAGAGAATCGAACCTCGTTACAATTGGATTTGAAGGATATCTGGGGCGACGGCCAATTCGTAATGGTATTCAAAGGCGGTCATACCAGCACTTTCCAGTTAAGGAATAGGCTGACATGGCGACAGCCATGTAACCATGGTGTTTTCCAAATTTGGCATCCCATCTTTTCAAAGCGTGCGCACTTGAGACTGCTACGCTAAGTGGGCAAGGCTCAATGATCGACGCTGGGTTATTTGATTTCAGGCCCTTGACCGATAACTTCTCCTACTTGGTTTCCTTAGACGCTTGGCCCGCGTGATATCAACGCACGGGCATGATGATATAACCCAGCTCTTTGGTCCGGCACCAGCAGCATGGCTCATCCGGCGACGTTTGGGATATCCCACGTGGGTTGTATGCTCATTCTCGTCCGGGAAAGAGTAGCAATCCCGACTAGAGGTCTGTTTATAGTTCCCAGGAACTCTCGTAGGGGGTTTGATCATGTTTTAGAGATTTGGGTCTTGGGAGAAGACCTTGTGATCTTGGCCTCGCGGCTGTCAGTAGTGGGCGAAAAAAACTTACTGTCCAATCGACTCTTACGTGACGAAACTTGCAAAATCTGGTAGCTCGACCAAAAATGAGCACAGAAAAGGAGAGCTGGTAAGCCAAACCTGCATCGCGCCTTACCAGGGACAGGAGTGTGATGTTGCAAGTGATGCATGCATTCTGTAAAAGGCTAGACTTGGGCGCTCTTCAGCCTTTCGGCGTCGATGCTTGTGACACTACAATAGCAACAAAGAGACTATTATTGGCAGCGTTCAAGATCCACTGCAACGCACAATCGCTACACGAGGTATGTTCCGCGATGGCGGGTACGGTACGAGAACAGTGTCTCGTTGTATGTGGGGGGTTATGACGATGCTCCTGATCAGAGCTCGCGTGCGTACGGGTCTCCACAAACGGTAACCGTCCTGGAAAAGCGGATGCCCCACAAGCGTTGCGTGGGGGCATAGGTCAACGTTAATTACATTGTGTCGCTACGTTGGCAACTCCATGTGCATGCTGCCTGCCAAATTGTAGCTGGCAAATAGATAACGCAGGAATTTTTTGGCCGTGTAAACGTAATGAAAAAGATAGGGGGCGCGTGATAGGAATAGAGGACATGATTCCAGCGAAGGAATCGGCGAGTGTTCGACGAAGGAGCGGCCAAAAGGTGTGCAGAAGGCTGACCCCAAGATTTCAGCCCCAAATCCTTGTGATGGGTGTCAGCCTAGAGTATTTCAGCCGGAATTCACATCAGTCAGGTACGCGCTAGGGAACAGATATCTGATAATAGAATGAGCCCGATGGCAACCAGCGGCCGCACATAGCTGTTGAGTAGGGTTGGAGTAATGGATGAAACCTGCTGCGATTGCTAACACAGACCAGCCGGCGGCGGCGGAAGCGATAAGTGATGCCACAATCACATGCTGACAAGTGTGCGTGGAGACACGATGGGTGGAAATGATCTTGGATAACTGTTGTTGGTGATGGTGCAGTACAGGCGTACAGGCTCTAGAAGCAGGGAAGACATATAGCGATTTCCCGCGGTCTCTCGCACTTAGCCAACCGCTCAGGCATTTGCGGCACAGTATAGAGCACTGGTGTGGAGTCAGGATTTGTCGAATACAGATGATAAGTCTGCGACGTTGGCGATGCACGTGTGGCAGACGTCAATGGCTGATGACAGATGTGCGGCACTACGCACAATACATGGTCAACCATACAGTCGTACCCAGGAGCCTCAACGTCGCGCAGAAGCATGGTGAGACAAATGGTTCGCATGTGTCGATGTACAGCTTTGGATTGTTAGAGACTTTTCAACGTTGAGGTGTATCCTTCCGACTGCCATCGCTATCGATATCGTCATTAGTGAGCCCGAAGGGGAAAGGTCGAGCGCGTCACTGCCATCGCCGCGGCTTTAACATATCCAGCTCCGCAACTCACCACTTCCGGGTCTTTCCCCACGTCCGCCCAATGTCCGCCAATCCAGGTGCACTCAAACGGAAGCACTCGGGCAAGACCATCAAGGAGCTCTTCACCACACAAACCAAGCCGAAGCTCGCTCCTGCAGCGCCGCTATCGCCCTCGAGCAAACGCACACGACGAGACAGCTCTCCGATAGCTAGCACTGAGGTCGCCACACCTCCAGCCCCGATGGCCAAGATGAGCACAGCCGACATGTATCACTTCCCGAGCAAGAAGGCGGGCGTATCGAGCAACGCCGATGTTGTTGACATCACGTCAAGCCCCGACAACAGTCCCGCCAAAGCAAACGGCCAGCGAAATGGCATGCGCAAAGCAGCGCCCAATATGCACGCCAACAGCGGCCCCAAGCGATTGGTCGTCAAGAATTTCAAGCCCACAAGGAGAGTAGACCCCAGGGTGTTCCTGGATCAAACATGGCAGAAGATTGACAAGGCCCTGGATACTATCTTCCGCCAAGGCGATGTCGACTTCAGTCTCGAAGAACTGTACAGAGGTGTAGAGAATGTCTGTCGCCAGGATATGGCAAAGGACATTAAGGAGCGTTTGATCACAAAATGCAAGGACTACGTGGGCGGAAGTCTGAAGGCAAAGGTCAAGGAGAGTCTGGGTAGGCCAAACGTTGACGTGCTGCGAGCGGCATTGCATGCCTGGGGGATTTGGAACAGTCAAATGGTCAGTCAAGTTCATGCTGAGGAGGACGCTGGCACACTGACAAAGTATAGAAATACCTCGATTGGATCTTTTGCTATCTCGACCGCGCCTACCTGCTCCCACGACATGAGTCTCTCCGCGAAATCTCGATAAACCTCTTCCGCTCCGTCATCTTCGAACACGCAAAACTAAATTCCCGCATTGTGGATGGCGCTTGCGATCTCGTCACTGCTGACCGGACGGGTCGAGATCTTGACAGCGAGGTGTTCTCCAAGACGGTTAACATGTTCCACGACATGCAAGTCTACACACATGCTTTCGAGCCGCGCTTAATGGAAGTCAGCCAGGAGTACGTGGTCAAATGGGCTGATGCCGAGAGTTCTGAAAAATCGTTACCCGAGTACGTCCGCAGTGCAAGGGCGCTGATGGATCGTGAGATGAAGAGAGTCGACATGTTCAGCCTTCCCAACACTACTAAGCGAGAGCTTCTCACATTACTAGAGGACCATTTGATATCGAACAAGGAGACCCGATTAACTAACCAAGACGAGCTTGCCGATCTCCTTGAGACCAACGCCGTCGAAGATCTCGAGCTACTGTACTCATTACTTGAACGTAGGAAGCTGGGCGCAAAGTTGCGACCAGGTTTCACTAAGTGGATCGAGGACGAAGGCACAGCTATTGTATTCAACGATAAAGAGCAAGAAAACATGATCATACAATTACTTACGCTGAAGCGTCAACTAGACACCTTATGGAAGGCTTCTTTCCACCGAGACGAGGAGCTGGGTCATGGTCTTCGAGAGTCATTCGACAAATTCATGAACAAGACAAAGAAGACGTCTGCAAGCTGGGGCACAGATAACTCAAAGACGGGCGAGATGATTGCCAAGTATGTCGACATGCTGCTGAGGGGGGGTGCAAAAGCAATACCAGCTCAGCTGAGTCGTAAGGCCGACAAGCCTGCTGCTGTAGAGGTCGAGGAAGATAATGAAGAAGGTGTTTTTGATGAAGATACAGAAGTCAACAATCAGCTTGATCAAGTTCTCGATCTGTTCCGCTTCTTGCACGGCAAGGCTGTGTTCGAAGCTTTCTACAAGAAAGACTTGGCTAGACGGCTCTTGATGGGCAGAAGTGCGAGCGCAGACGCTGAGAGAAGTATGCTGTCGAGGTTGAAGATCGGTATGTATCCATGCAATGATTATCTGCTGAGATACTAATGCCCTACAGAATGCGGTGCTGGCTTTACTGCCAACCTCGAGCAAATGTTCCGCGATATCGAACTCTCGCGAGAAGAGATGAGTTCGTACAAGAATATCAGCGAGGAGCGCAACGAAAAGCTCAGTCTCGACCTTAATGTCAACGTCCTCTCTGCGTCAGCTTGGCCTACGTACCCCACCGTCCCTGTAATTTTGCCCCCAGAAATTCAGTCTGCGATCAACAAGTTTGAAGCACACTACAAAGTAAAGCATTCTGGTCGTAAGCTGGAGTTCAAACACGCACTTGCCCATTGTCAAATCAAAGCCAGGTTTCCCAAGGGACTCAAGGAGTTAGTTGTGTCCTCCTTCCAGGCTATCGTCCTCTTACTATTCAATGGCCGTAAAGAGGATGAGCATATCGACTACGACTACCTCAAGCAAGCCACTGGACTGCGTAAGTCATGCGATCGATTCAATTAATTAGTATTACTAACACCTGACAGCAACGGCCGAGCTTAACCGCACTCTGCAGTCCCTTGCGTGCGCAAAGGTCCGGCCTCTGACCAAGCACCCCAAGGGTCGAGAGATCAACGAAACCGACACTTTCACACTCAACGCCTCATTCACGGATCCTAAGTACCGCATCAAGGTCAACACCGTTCAACTCAAGGAAACGGCAGCCGAGAACAAGGAGACACACGAACGCGTCGCTGCTGACCGTAACTACGAGACACAAGCTGCCATTGTCAGGATCCTCAAGGCGAGGAAAAGAATCAGCCATGCCGAACTGGTCAGTGAGACCATATCGGCAACCAAGAACAGGGGAACACTGGAGGTCAGCGGCATCAAGAGGAACATCGATCGCTTGATTGAGAAGGAATTTCTGGAAAGAGAGGACGACGGATTGTATGCTTATATCGCTTAAGCTCTTTGTATTGCCAGCGGATTTGATCTCAAGATATGCGAGGCATCTTTGTGTAAGCAGGAATTCGGTGTACAATACCGCTGTTGTTATCGGGGTTCGCATTCGACCCTGGATATATCACGATCTTATCTCTATGCACACCTTGTTCACTCAAAGCATGTTGGGTGAGTTGCGTGGTCATTAGTACTAGAGAACAGTCAAGACCGCAACCAGCACACTGAGTACAGCAAACGACTTTCCCTCGACAGCTAGCGGCCGGCTTCGCTCTACTCACCACCTTCTATCCGCCCTTACCGTCGTTGTAGTCGATCTCCTAGTCTATCCCTCCCACACCCAATGCCCAGGCCCACCTTCCAGATTCAGCACTAGTTGCCGAGTTTCCCTGTCGATCCCTAGCCGCACTCAGCCTATCGTACACCCACATGCGCCCGACCACGAGATTTCCGGCGATAAGCAGCTTGAAACACATCATCTTAGTCCCGGGAGATAACCGGCGAATGGTTGTCCGTACCTTCCTGATCTGCGGAAGTCGCATGTCTTGGAGCATGGGATGGCGCGAGGAATGTCGACGGTCCGGTCATCTTGGTAGCGGCTCTTCATGCAAGATGTTACTATCAGGACGAATGAGAATGAGCAACGTGAGAGGGTGGTTGATGTATGTAAGGACCGAGGGTCTATGCTTAGTATCGTGTCGTAAGTGCCACGCCGGAAGTGGTAGTCTGTGATAGGCCGTTGTACCCCAGCTTAAGAGACGCCCATTGCCCGTTGTCGCGGAGCAACTGTTCCTTTCGGAAGGATGCCAACGACGTCTGCGTCCGGAGTTAATTAATTTCGAGTTATGATCTTCCTTTTTAGGGTCGTGATGGTTCGGAGGCGACCGCTGGACTGCCACTGGACTACTTTGGCGACAAGCAGAATGAGGGTATAAAGGTAACATCGTGTACCATTCATTTGAAAGGCAGGTCCAACAGCCCCGTCGATCCCTCGTTACACAGCGTCAGACAAGACACTCGCTCGTCTTCTCATTTTCCTCCAACCGCCACCATGAAGTTCCTCATCAACGCCCTCCTCTTGATCGCGCCCGTCGCCCTCGCTCTTCCTACTTCAGCACCCACTGAGGAGGCAGTTGAGATTGCCGCCGTCGAGGCCAGACAATCTTGCTACGTCCGTTGCGGCTCAACATGCTACACCTCCGCCCAAGTTACTACCGCACGCAACGCGGGTTATAACTACTACCGTCAAGGTGATGAGGCTGGTAGTTCCACCTACCCACACACGTACAACAACTACGAGGGCTTTGACTTCCTCGTTTCTGGACCCTACCAAGAGTTCCCGCTGAGGACTTCGGGTGCTTACACTGGTGGTAAGTTGGTCATCAATTTTATCACACAACATATGCTGACCATGTTTTCAGGCTCTCCAGGTGCTGACCGCGTTATCTTCAACACTGCTGGACAGCGTGCGGGAGAGATCACTCACACTGGTGCAAGTGGCAACGCCTTCGTTGCTTGCTCTGGGTGGTAGATATATTTTTGAAACATCTCAATAGGGGTTTCGAAATGAATTGTGGTGAAGCCCATGGGCGAAGGGCTCGCCATGGCTTCAATATGCTGTCAGTGGGCGAGTCGTAACGAGAGATCGATGTGTCCTACGAGACTTTCCGTCCCAGAGTGACATTTGTGGTCATAGAAGTAGTTTGTTCATGTATATATTTATGAAACGTTTGAACAAGTCTTGCGGTTTCTTCCAGCACAGTGATCAGTCGAAATCGAACGCCTGGAATAGGAGATTTGCCCAGATGGTGTCTTCTCACGTGGTAGTACATATCAAAATCACGCCATCTCAATTTCGTCCTATTTCGGTAGCAAGCGATTCTACATGATCCGCCGTCTTCTTATCAAAGAAGACGCGTGAGATGCGTGAAACCCGCAGTTCAACTACAACGATATCATCCCTTTATAATGTCACACAGCCAAATGAAAGTACGCACTGTTACCAAGATGAATCCTCCAGTGAATGTAAGGACCTACCAGACATGGTTTTGGGGAGCATTACGGTCAACTACGTGGGTAGTCCTAAATGTAAAGGTAAGCACCTGCAGGGTTCTTGACTTGCACCCAGACGCAGTAAAGGCTGAGTCAGGTATCTTGCCATCATGCTGATACATGCGCAATCAGAAAGCTCTCAGGTCTGCAGTGCACCAAAGATCTTACCTCCTACAAGTTCATACCGGGCCAGCATTCCATGTCAACCTGTTCCTGAAAAAGTGAGCTACAAAATCACCTGCTAGACTCTCGCTTTCGTTGTATCCGTGGGGGATGGTAATAGAAGAAGAGTAGATGGAGTTGGCAACGACGTGGTAACATGGACAGTCATTACTGCTTCTTTGGTAGTACTCTGCTTAGCCCACTGAATGAGTTGGATCCAGTATGTCTTGCTTCCTGTTCAACAGGAGATAGAGGCGTACCTTGAACTATCAGATCAACTTTATCAAACGCGTTTACAATGAGCTGGATGACCAGACATTTGCTAGATAACGTTACTCAAATGATAAGTCGTGAGGAAAGATGCGTAGATTTGAGGAAGACGAAGTCGTGAGCGTTCGAGTAAGATAGCCGGAACCGACTAATCTCGTCTTTGTGTCCTCCTATCCTTTGCTTTGCTTAAACCTTTCGAAATTCGAAGCTCCGACGGCCACAGAGGTCAGACGCGGAGCCATTTCTCTCCTAAAAATGCAGCCACAGATTATACATGACTTCTCATGGCCAGATGCAGTAGTCACACACTCCTCCTCCATGCATCAGCCAAGTTTGCTCCACCAGCAACCATGCCACAAGCCCCAACACCCCAGTCACTCAACAGTCCTTTTTCCATCGACCAGTGGACAGTCATGGGCGCATATGCCAGGTTGGATGCGAGGTCTTTCCACCAAAGCCAGTTCTCCAGTTTCTGCGCTCTCATCCGCTCTTCCGCCTGGATCTTATCCTCCTTCTCCCGGTCACCCTGACTCGCTAGTATTGATGGCGATGACGAAGAGTAATACCGTTGGACACCCAGACGCACAAGCTCAACGCCGACATATGCGGCCCAGAACCTCGAACTCCACAGCCACCATGTGTTCTCTCGTGCTTTACCCACATCTCCTGTCCAGCTCGCTGTCGTCAAAGCTCCTTTTGAGCTAAGATATGCGCCGTTTTCTAGGACTTGGAAACCAACACACGATGTTATAGCCGACCACGTCAACACCCTCAGTATCTTCTCTTTCCCGCTGACACTTTGTGGTAATGGGTCCCGATAGGTCTCTCGGGCCCAGGTATACAGTCCCAGCACTCCCCACAGCCTCACAAATATCCTAAAGTCTGATATAACATCGGAAAGAGCTTTCGAACTTCCGACGACCTGGGCGATGACTTTGGTGGTGGTGGGTGCTGGGAGGGTGGCTATAAGAGTTTCGCCAGGGAGCAAGACACCCTCTGCTTTCTCGGCTATCTCTGTGGCTATAGATGCGAGACGTCGTTCAAGGACGCGGGAGAGGACGGCGTGTACGAGAGTCAAGGTATAGGATGTTGTGCAAAGAAGGACGTCGGTGCCGTTTGGTGTAGAGAGGAGTTTTGCGAGGCGGACGAGCGTGCGGTCCGTGGTACCGGCGGTTTTGGCGAGGTATTTGAGGAGAAGGAACTGCAATTTTCGCAGGAATGTAGGCTGTGAGGATGGTGAGGGTGAAGGTATCGCATCGGGTTGTGGAGTCGGTTGGCTCGCAGCGGTGGAGGCAGGAATTGTGGTGGTGTTTGGGTGTGGGTCTTCCATTGTAAGGATATAAATGTGTGGTAAGACACTTAGGGGAGGTCTGGAAGCGTGCGGGAAGGACAGTCGGTGCTATCGAGGTTGCATGGTGTTGGTATTGAGCTGTAGAAAATAAGTCACACGCGTTTGGCCGAGGTGTGCTCGGGAAATGCTTATCGCGTCATCGGCCCGCACGTGGGTCTCACGCTGTCAACCCGTCTTCACATGCAGCATGTGATGATAGACCCTGAGAGATCAACACTCGCTCCAAAGTATCCATTGCGTCTCGTGGACAGCCTTAGCGCATCTGTGCTTGGACGCCAGAAGCTATGCGCGCCGACGCATGCTATCGTTTGAGTTTCGTATAGAAAGCTTCGACTCGGTCCACGGCGCGCATCCCTGCCATCTTTACGTCTTCCCCATACCGTCCCCACACTTACCGCCTCACCTCTATCGCGGGGAGATACGAGAGCGGGCTCTCTTTTCACCTACATCAATTCGTCCTGAGCGCGTAAAACACTGTTTCTCTAGCTTCCAGCTTCCAGCCGACACCGTCAACCATGTCGTCGCCTACCCTCCCTACTCGCCGACCCACTTACCCTCTCGCTCATGCATTCCGCCGTAAACCTCGACGTCTGCCTCTCGTTCTCCGCTTCTCGAAGGGCGCTATACACAACATAATCTTGATGCCAGTACTGCTCCATTCGCTCTTCACCGCCTTGATCGTCTACATCGACACGCGCTATGTAGACAGTATATCCATCCCTGCTACCATTATACCGTCGCTCTCCATCGTGGTTGGTCTAATGCTGGTCTTCAGAAACAGCACAGGCTACGACCGATTCTGGACCGGAAGAAACTGCCTCACGACAATCGGAACCTCCGTACGAAACCTTGCTCGAATCTGTCTGGTGAACTCGCGAGACAAAGACGGACATTCCACAGAAGAGGAGAGGAGAGACACAGAGAAGATAGTACGAGTCCTCGTAGCAGTTCTCTACTCCATCAAGCACAATCTGCGCGCAGAATTCAACATCCCACCTGCGAGTCTCGCTTCTTTGCCCCCACAACCAAGCGTCTACCCGCAACGCTCTCGCCCCGTATCCAGGCGTCCCAGCTACATCGACCGCACAGGTTCCAACTTCGGCACGGTTTCGTTCCCGCCAACTCTGGTAAACAGCACGAGTACCACACCTCTTCTCGGATCATCCACCGCCACGCTCGAAAACGGTGATGGTACAACGCCCATGAAGAAAGATGAATATGTATCACTCCTTCCAGAAGGCCTGATGGGCTACGAAGATCAAGGTCTCGGTTTACCTTTACAACTTACAATCCTCTTGGAAGGTTACATCCGCCGAGGCCACGACAGAGGCTGGTTCCACGCGCCCCTCTCCTCTCAGATGACCGTTCAGCTGAACACTCTCGTGTCTGCATATGGCACCATGGAAACTATTCACAGCACACCCATTCCCGTCGCGCATCTGATCCACCAAAAGCAGGTTCTGGCTCTCTATGCTTGTGTACTGCCGTTTGCCATTGTAGATGATTACAGGTGGTGGAGTGTACCTATTGTGGCTATCATCGCCTTCACACTCTACGGTATTGAAGGAATTGGCGTGCAACTGGAGGATCCATTTGGGTACGATAAGAATGACATCAAGATGGACGGCATCATCGAAGATACGAGGCAGGAGGTTATGGTGCTGTTGGAGGAGTGGAGGGCGAGCCATGAGGGGAGGGCTATGGGGGGTATGTTCGAGTGTGAGTGATGATATGCTGACTGGGAATATGGGAACAGGTAATGTGTGATGTTAAGACGTTGAACCCATGTGTACGTACGTAATGATCGTTATGGGCCTTTTGTGAGTTATTATCTGCAGTCTTATAGCGTAGATACCCAATAGCACAACTACCAGAAGGTTGCATGTTTCACGCGGACACGAACAGAGACACAGATGTTTAGTTGACTTTGGTACAATACATTTACCGGTCTTCCACCACCTGTATATCTTGCTTACTCTTGAAGTATATCGCATTGCAACATGATCCACCATTCCATCATAACATTCGCTTTGATTACGCCAGAACTCCCAAAAAGATGCAAAAAGACCCCGATACGAGGGAATAGGACAAAGAGTTGGTCAAGGCACCTCGCCCACTTAGCGATTGACTAGTCGAAGCGTACAGGAGGTAGAGTCGGTGCACCGTTATTGCTTCGCGCTCCACTGCTATCGGAGTCGGACGGAGATGTGTCGCGCATTCGACTGCCTGCTGCACGTCCAGCGCTACCATCGAGAACAAACGGCCCAGCATCATTCCTTGGAGTCATGGGACCATCCTGTACGCGATCAGGCGTTAGGCCACTGCCGTGAGGAGGATGCAGAGGCGACAGTCCCATATAGTCGTTCGCTCCATTAACGTTGATAGAGACCGGCTGTGTGACGGACGATGTTGGAGGTGTAAGCTGGCGACCTGGAGTTTCCAATGCTGATTGGTTCTCAATGTTTGTGATTTGGTGATGTAGATCCGTAAGATCAACGCCGCCATCAGAATCGGCACCGTTGAGAGGGGCAACAGAGGCACGGGGTGTGATGTGGCGGTCTCCTTGCTCTGCGCTGGCATCGGGAACTGTGGCACCATTTACTACTTCCTCATCGCCTTCCCAGTCTTCGAACTCGCCCATATCTTCTACATCTTCTTCAAGGTCCGCTACCGCCCTACAGTTCGGGCAGAGGAAGTTGGGCCAAGTGGGACCGTTTAAGATGGGACGAATGCACTTGTAGTGCCAGACGTGGGAGCAGGGTGCTACGAATAGCGACTGACAAGGCTGTATACTGATCAGTACAAGTCGGCTGTGGAATCAGGCAAGACCTACCGCTATTGACATCAAACAGATGGCACACTCGGACGTATGCGTAGATGAAGCATCTCCCGTGACTTCCTTCTTGTTCTTGGCAAGTGCTCGTAGTCGCTGATGGGTTTGTTTACTGTGAGAGTTAGTGGCAGGCTTATAGCACGAGTAAACAAGCTTACTTGAATGTGTTCAGCCCCTGTTGCCAGCCACGATTGCACTCAACACGAATCTTGACACATCTGAAGATCATCTCCTCTCCTCCACGGAAATCGATGCCCAGCTGAATGATATCGCCATCCTTTATCCGGAATGGTTTTGACTCGACGTTGGGCTGACTTAGACGAATGTGATTCAAAAAGGTACCCGATGAACTCTTGACGTCCTTGATATACCAGCTTCCGTCCTTGCACCACAGTTCGCAGTGCTTCCGACTGACGACCTTGGACTTGAATCCGATGGCGGCAGCCGATGGGGCGTTGGTCTGAACTTCGGGTATGTTGTCGCGCTCCGAATACCTTCCCACGCGAAGGATTGCACCCTCGTCGGGCAGCGTACGGTTGATGGTGGGGAAGATCAACGAAGGTCTTCCGGCTCGGGGGTCCTGGTGCGGGATAAAGCGAATCGACGGCAGGTGCTTGGCCGCGCCTGTGCTATCGGAGGTGCCTTCCATTGGGTGTGCGCTGTTGGGTCCTGGCGTTGAGGTCGGCGTTGGCCCCGTGTTGTTGCGCACCTGGAGCTGAGGTTGGGCCGTCTCTGAACGGGTTCTCGTCATGGTCGGTTTCGGAGAGGCGGGTGGGGAGTCGCTCGGCGGCAGTTGACTGTCGGCTGTCTGGCTCCTCGATAGCAACTCTCGACGGGGGGCAGTGGGGTGGGAGGACGAAGAGGCAAAGGCAGGCGAGGCAGGCGGAGTGTGTGTTGAGGCGCGTGGTCGTGTTCCCGTTCGGGAATCCTCACGTGGAGGGTCGCCTTGGCTGTTTGAGTGCAGGTGTAGATTGCGCAGGAAGCTGATGCCTCTGTGGACGCCCGTGGGCCGTGGGGAGGTGGAATTGGGGGATACAGCAGTCGCAGTCGGGAGAACTGGCGTGGTTGTTGTGGTGAACATCGCCTAGCGGCGCAGGGCGAGGGTATAAGCGTTCAGCTGGGGTATGGTATGCGGGAAAGTGTGAATGCGCGAGTTTCGACAGCGTTTGACAGACGACACGGGAAACCCGTTTACAAGAGCTCACACGGGTGGGTGTGTGAGGCACTGAGGCACTGAGGCAAATGCAGCAAATGCAAATACAAATGCAATGCAAATGGCGCACGAACGGGGCCAGGGCCGGGGGGCCAAGCAACCAGAACGAGCTCTGTGAGGAGTAAGCCACCTCTAGACTTGCGATGGGGTCTTCCAAGACCGCGGGCCGTTAACGTATACGGGTAATAGGGTTCTAGAGTCGCGATAATGAAGTCATGTCTTGTTGGGCCTCTCGACCAAGATTCAAAGGTCATGTGGAACGGTCCGGTTGGATACCTACCCTCGGACAAGGCCGTCGACAGCTGCCAGAGATCCATGACATGATGGCCCACCGCACTCTCCTAACCCCCATGTCTGCACGACCACCGCAGTCGTCGGACTAAATATAGTTCCCCGCAGACATATCAAAGCATTGGAACCAACATGACAGTTCAGAGCTCATGCTGATGCGCTCATGCGCTGATCGCGGGGTGGGGCCGCTCTTGTTCCCGACCTCGTGGGAACGCCCACGTGACGCAGTATTATGTCAGGGCCATGATTGCCAATGGAATTTTTCCGAACGCCGTCACGGCAGCATACACCACCAGAAATGTTAAGACCACACACATACCGACCATTGTCCCGGGGACTGTCCAAGACGTCTGTGTCGCTCACACGATCAGCAGCATGCGCAGGTAGAAGGAATCTCGCCACGGCAGTTGCAGAAGAGAGGGTTAGCACTGAGTTCACGTAGCACGCCGAAGCCTTTCTAAACTGCCATCCAGGACCCCACCGAACTCGACCAGATCACCACCCTCCCCAATGGCATCCGCGTCGCTACCGAAGCCCTGCCGGGCCACTTCTCGGGTATCGGAGTCTATGTCGACGCCGGCTCACGATATGAGAACGATGCATTGCGCGGAGTCAGTCACATCATCGACCGTCTCGCCTTCAAGTCCACACGCTCCACCACCGGCGACCAGATGATGGAGAAGATAGAAACACTGGGCGGCAACATACAGTGCGCCTCCAGCCGAGAGTCACTCATGTACCAGTCTGCCACCTTCAACTCCGCCGTACCCACCACCGTCGGTGTCCTTGCAGAAACAATCCGCGATCCACTAGTCACCGAAGAGGAGATACAGCAACAGCTTGAGACAGCCGACTACGAGATTGGCGAGATCTGGAGCAAGCCAGAGTTGATCCTGCCCGAACTAGTACACATGGCAGCTTTCAAAGACAACACTCTAGGCAACCCACTGCTATGTCCCAAGGAGCGCCTACCATTCATCAACCGCGCCGTCGTTGAGGCGTACCGAAAGGAGTTCTACAAGCCCGACAGGATAGTGGTAGCCTTTGCTGGCGTAAACCACAACGAAGCCGTCCGCTTGACAGAACAATACTTTGGCGACATGGAGAAGGGCACCGGTCCATCGCTCATCGGTCTAGAATCAGAAAGCACAGTTTCCAACTCTGCACCTCAACAACAGGTCTTCACAGCCGACCACCCCACACCCACCGGCGCACCGCCGCAATCCTCGAAACTCCTTTCAAAGATACCCTTCTTCAAGAACATCTCCACATCCGCTACTTCCAACGCTTCCGTCAATACATCACTCGACTTGAACTTCCCACCGATCGACACATCACTACCGTCGCAATATACCGGTGGCTTCCTCACCTTACCTCCGATACCGCCACCAGCAAACCCTATGCTCCCCCGCCTATCGCACATCCACCTCGCCTTCGAAGCCCTCCCCATCTCATCGCCCGACATCTACGCCCTCGCAACTCTGCAAACACTCCTCGGTGGAGGCGGTTCCTTCAGTGCAGGTGGACCTGGAAAGGGAATGTACTCGCGTTTATACACCAACGTCCTAAATCAGCACGGATGGGTAGAATCTTGCGTTGCATTCAACCACAGTTACACCGATAGTGGCCTTTTTGGCATCGCGTCATCATGCGCCCCCTCGCACGTTGCCCAAATGCTCGAGGTCATGTGCCGCGAACTCAAATCGTTAGGAGACGAAACCGGGTACGCCGCGCTCAATGAGGTTGAAGTCCAGCGCGCAAAGAACCAACTCCGCTCCTCGCTCCTCATGAACCTCGAAAGCCGAATGGTAGAACTAGAAGATCTCGGCAGACAAGTCCAGGTTCATGGCCGTAAAGTCGGCGTCAAGGAAATGTGCAAAAAGATCGAAGACGTTTCCGTCAAAGACCTGAGGAGAGTCGCTCGTCACGTCTTTGGTGGACAAGTCAAGAATGTTGGAGGTGGGTCTGGAGCCCCGACTGTTGTGCTGCAAGAGGGTGAACAGGAAGGCCTCAAAAGGAAGGAGTTTACCTGGGATGATATCCAGACACGCATCGCTAGGTGGAAGCTTGGTCGCAGATAGGAAATTGCAACCCCTCTGAGCCTTTTGCTGGTGACGTGATTGTAAATGTAGCTTATGTATTATAGGGCTGGGAAAGAAATGATGAAACATCATGATTATGTATTAGTGGACCAAAGATAAGTGTCAGTAGCGTACGAGCCCTTACTCAAGATACTCCATTACCATGTCCGGGAAGAGCTCCCCATTTCAACTAAGGATACTATCCTAACCATCTCTGAACGCATCGGACAGGATGCGGGTATCAAAAGAAGAGCTACCACGTACAGATGCCATTACTCTTTTGGTCCCAATCTTCATTACCAAATCGTGATCCTCTTTGGACGGGCATAGTTCGTCTGCTATCATCAAGTCATGAAAACACGTCTCATCCATCTTGTGGCTCGTCGTCCTTGCACATGTTCTGTCCAGAGTCTTCCGACCCGTGATCCTCACAGCTGTGCCATGATGCTTTGCAATCCAACGTCCGCATCCTCTTTCACCTCTGCGGTTTTGACCATAGCCCCCATCTTCTGCGTAGCCGGAACACTGAGAGCGACAATGTCAACTGTGTGCGTCTCGACTGCTTGCTCTGTAATAGCGACCCCCTCGATTTTGATGTTCTCGTTCCCATCGGTTGTGAAAGAGGATGCTGAAAAATCAGAATCGGTGCCGTTGTTGTTTCCTGCTGATCCATCGTCGATCGCTGTGGTATTTGCAGCGACATCTTCGAATCCACCTGCATACGTCCCGTTTCTAAGTTCATTGCGCTCTTTTTCTTTTCTAACGCGGCGCAAGGCACCGAGATCGAATTCGCCGACGGTTGGAGCACTGGTGTTGTCACGAACTGTACCGGTTCGCGGGAGTGGAAGGGTAATGTTGGATCCTTCAGAGCTGGATTCCCGGCCTGGCCGGAAGATGCCCTGAACTGCTGACTTGAGACCTTGGGGTGTAAGGAGGCTGGGTGCACGAGAAAGAGAACGGGCTATGTCGATGGAAGAACGGCGTCCCATTCTGTAAAATCTACGACGAGGGTGGCGCTGTGCAGAGATCTCATCGATATCGGTTTGCGTAGTCTTGAATGTGATTTCACTGGAATCGGTAGTGTTGGATGACGCTGTGTGCGGAATGCATGTAGACGTAGCAAAGGAATCTGAAGTGGGCAGCGTCGAGGGGGTGGTGTTTAGGGTCATGGAGGACTGAACTCTGGTGCCAATGGTACGCATAATCTGTGCAGATTTGACCGGGAGTTCTTCTACATCATCTTTTGTCAAGGGCGAGAAGTCCCCATTGACAACTGCTTGGAACGCGATGTACAGACGTTCTCGATAGTACGGGCGGCAGCTATGACAGGCTCTGAGAGCGCATGCTCGAGAATTCTTCGCGTCATTAGCATCGCCTAGTGGGGGCCTGCTGCTTTCACTATTTGGATGATACTCACTGAATCTGTAACGGGCAGGCTACTGAAAGTTCCATCGATGTTGTACGTCGCTCCCGCCAGAGCTGTAAGCCTAGCCACGACATCACTGGCTTCGGTAGCCTGACGCGTGTCCGATATGACCTGCTTCAGCTCTAGCTTGAGTTCCTTGAGCTTCTTCAGTTGCGTGGCCGTGTAGTGGCCGCTCTCCGCATTACGAATGATGCTCTCGCTCAATCCAATCCTCTCCAGCTCCTGTCGCAGTGTCGACTTGACCGGCTCGATTCTTCCATGCTCTTTTGATAGTATGGTGCGAAGCGTTGTGATTTTATGATCCTGTCTGCATTCGTAGAGGAACCCGATGGAAGGTGAGCGCCCACAAATGCTGCAGTGTTGCTCGTGGCCGAAGACGCGATCCATATCTAGATGGGTACAGTTTGGAACTCGCATGTGTCTCCCCATGGTGGCGTGGTGTTTGGTATTTCCAGCAAGCCCAAGGGTACTGGGATCGGCTGTTGCTAGGACAGGGCGAGCACGCGACAAAGAATCTAGAGGGAGGAAGAGAGCGAAAGGTGTAAGAGTGTAAGGGCGTGGTGCAGGGTTGATGTTGCTGTTCTGAGACAACGACAATGACGGCACCTAGGTAGGCAAGTGCACACACACTTAGCCTGTGAGAGTAAGTGAAGGCGTGGAAGGAACAACGTAATAACTCGAGGCAGTGGCAAGACGAGCACTCTGGTGAGTTTCGGTATGTCTCCAACAAACGAGAGATTCACGTGTAGAGGCGAGGGGAAAGAGAAGTCGGAGCCAATTAAGACCTCGAGGAGGGTCAGTCTACAAAAAGGGTCTGTCACCTGTCGAGCAATGCGGATTCTGGCAGCTTTGCACGTTGCGAGTTTGGTCTGGCCGCGTAGTTAAAAGACTACCAGTACTCGAGGCCTTCTGACGGTCTCTGCACATGCATCGACTGTTTGTTGTTGTCTTGGGATACAAACGACGAAATGAACAAGAACGCTTTGACGACGCTTTGGAACAAGACAAAGGAAAAAACATACAGAAGGAGGAAATGACATGCGAGGTAATTTCAAAAGCCGACGTAAACAGCAAGATGGAATTGTACCATGTATAGGGGGACGATTGCGTGTAGTTGCATGTGGTGAGGAAGTTGAAGTAGTACACACAAATGTGTCCGACTCCACCCTGTGACACGTCAAGCTGTCGCAGTGAGCAGACGAATGATGATCATGATGCCAGCTGCATTGAAAGATTGTTCGGTTTCTCGTTGAAGCGGTGCACACTCAATGCAAGTTCATCCGTATCGGAGAGGCTGGGGATGTAGTCGGCGTGAGACGATGTCAAGATCACCAGGCGATAAGAGGTCGATGGAAGTGACTTCAGGATCGCGCTTGCCAGCGTAAGGATACCCTGCCATGACGACGCCATCAACCTTGTGCATGACTGTACTCGCCATGGCCCACGAGAATCACAATCTTGGTTGGGGAAAGAGCCGGTAATGGGCCGTGTGAGCGCTGGAGCGAGTCTCGAGGTGGCTCGGTGCAAGCAACCACAGGCGGCGAGTCCCGACGCGCTCTTATCCGCTGGCAAAAAGCATCAGGGCGAACAGGTACGCAGTTTCCAATGTAGCTCAGGTGTCTCGCATAGCACCACCGCAGGCAAAGAGTCTGTAGAGACAGCAGGCTGGACAGCAAGAGGTTTAATCATCCAACCGAGGTCGTTGTTGTTGTCAGATCACGACACCTGCTTCCGCGTCTTGTCGGCGCTAAAGCTTGGACCCGAGGTGTTTACCTCCCCAGCCATCCGTCGCCGTCCAGCTCGTCGACACCCGCACTCCCCCACAAACATCTCGTCGACTGCAGCATCATCTTCTACACGCGCCCATCTGCCGTTTGCTGCTGTCGCATCGCATTGAGGCGCCATGTCGGTCAAATTCGAGAAGGAGACGACGACCAAGACGACAGCCGCTGTTGCCGACGCTCTGGAAGGAAAGGATGGAGTGATGCACAATCTCGGGCAGGCTCTGACCAAAGGCGGCGGTCCCAATGGATACCTCGCTGTGAGTGTGGTGCGATTCAAACATGTCATGGGCCAATTCACTGACTGTGGGCGCGTCAGGCATACCTCAAGCAGCTGCAGAGCAACCCGTTGCGCACCAAGATGCTGACTTCGGGTACTCTGTCTGGTCTCCAAGAGTTCCTGGCCTCGTGGATCGCCCACGACAGGAGCAAGTCGGGTCATTACTTTACTTCGCGTGTCCCCAAGATGGCCATCTACGGTGCCCTGATCAGCGCGCCCCTTGGACACGTCCTGATTAGCGCCCTCCAGAAGGTCTTCCAGGGGCGCAAGAGCTTGAAGGCAAAGATCTTGCAGATTCTCTTCAGCAACTTGCTTGTAAGTCCAAGCGCAGTCGGCCGTTATACGTCAGCGCCTCGCTAACCAATGCAGATCTCGCCCATCCAGAACAGTGTGTACCTCGTCTCCATGGCCCTCATCGCAGGCGCTCGCACCTTCCACCAAGTCAAGGCGACGGTCAAGGCTGGCTTCTGGCCTGTCATGAAGGTCAGCTGGATTGTCTCGCCCATCTCTTTGGCATTCGCTCAGCAGTTCCTGCCTGAGACCACCTGGGTGCCCTTCTTCAACATTGTCGGTTTCATCATCGGCACATACATCAACGCGCATACCAAGAAGAAGAGGTTAGCTGCTCTCAGGCGAAAGCACTACGGTGACGGCAGCGGCAGGAGTCAGGGTCCGGGTTCGCGCCCTAGTTCGCGCCCTGGCTCGCGTCCCGGCTCCGTCAGTGGAAGGCCTGTCGACGAGTATGGCCGTCCCGACGACCGCCCACGCTACTAAATGACAGGCCTGGTAATGACAGCGCGATTGTCCGGAGTCCTGTTCGCTGTTATATACCGATCGACCGTAGGAGCCCCAACGGTCAGAATGAGGCATCACCCGTCTTTGCTCATGTGTTACGACAAACTCGGGGAACGAGATTCGGCTACCAGTCAGGCGCTTCACCATCTAGTGCGCTTTCATATTCGGTCCCCTTTACGTGCTTTGTATATCCCATCTGTTTTTCTGTTAAATCACTGGAACCGCGACTGGCGTTCGTTCCGGTTACCACTAAATATACACTATTACTTCCACCCACTATGCGACCGCTCCCACCTGTATCATGTCGCCATCACGTCCAACTTATACAAGAACACGTCTCCGTTGGTACTGACATTTGTTAGGCTGAGCGAAGAGGCGGCGTTGGAAGCTGTCCGCCTATCAGAACCTCAACTTCTGTCCCAGCATTCGCGCTGTGCAGCCATGTATTACACTCGCCTACCTAGTACCACGCGAAGTTGACCCTACGGACGTGGTACAGAGTCGCTGTGCCAAAGAAGGACTCTGAAGTGTTCAGTGTCGATCTAATATTGCTCCAATAGGATTATGCCAATGAACCGCGGGCCCATACCCACAAATTATCCACGACAAACAATACGTGATAGCGCATGTGTTACGCTGGGGTCGGTGATCATTCGTGCTGAATACAAAGACTTCGAACGAAGATGCTGTGAACGACTATGCCACGCCACACACCAGCAGCGGTGCTCCCGCCTTGCTCAACTATAAGAGAAGGACGGGTTCAACCTGGCGCAGAGGTCCACTAACTTATGACGCTTTTGACGCTCTGCCAAGACCATCAGCCATCCACGTAACCCATTCTGGTCAATCAGATGACTCTCGATTCTGCTGATCAACTTGCGTTGTTGCCTTACGATGATCGCCTCTTCGGTGGAGCAGGGCTTGCTCGATCCAGATCTTACCCCTCTGATTCAGAGCCAGATCTTTACGTCCCCTTCGAGTCTTATGGCTACCGGCGTCCGCTATCGAGCGTTGCTGTGCGACTTCAGGATCCCTTCCTGAGGTGCGAGAGAGATCTTGGATGGAACATCGACTGGGCAGTTGCTTTCGTCGTTGACCGACTGGAACAAAGCTGGGCTAATACAGCTGATCAATTCAAGAGCATCAGGATACGGGCTGCAAGTCTCGAGAGGGACGGACTAATCCAGGAGATCCCATATCGTATCTTCAACAAGCTGGACGAAGTACTCTTTGCCGGCCATTTGAAGAACGCTGTCTTTCTCGATATCGGAAGCCTGGGCTCTGATGTCTCGGGAGCTACCTACGCCCCTAGACTGGGACCGAATCCTGATGTCAAGCGCATCTCAATCGTCCTAAACGTTGACGCGCTCGAGTACGCCGACGCGAAAGACATTATTGCGATTCTGGTTCACCACATGATACACGCATACTTCCTCGTTGCTTGTGGTGGTCAGAAAGAAGATGAGGTGGACTACGGACGGTTGAATCACGACGTGCATTTCGGAAAGATTATGCTTACTGTCAAGAAGCTCTCAGCTGTACACGGTAGAGAGTTGTCGCCACTGAACTATGGGCACAGCTTGTTCACCGTCCGCTACGTCGAGGATGAGTATCACAGTCCACGAAGAAAAGAAGCAATTGAGCGTGAAGATCGAGAGCAGTGGAATCGCAGTCACTGCCATAGCGATACGCAGGGGCCGTCCGAAAGCGAAGTGCATAAGTGGTACGGGAAGGTTTGCGAGCCTTTGTTCAACCAACCTAAGTGTGCGCGAGAGCTAGGAGTTCAGACATATAACGATCGGTGCCACGAGCTCGAGACCAGACACCGCGCACGTCTCAGACCGACTGCTAAGTCGGTCGAGTTCGTGTTCAAAGACAGGCCTGTCCTCGTCGATGCAGACAAGTTGGAAGGCTTTCTAAGTGTTGCACGAGCTTTTGACAGAGTAGGTAGCCGCTTTCTCACGATGCACAAGGAGGTATCGGAGGACACTTTCGTCCGCTTATTGGAGTTTCTTCATACCGGCTCCTACCGTCCTGACCCACGCCCATTCACCGCTGCTGCTGCCGGGTTAGGTATCGCGCGTCGAGGGTCACCGATCATCAAACCTCAATCAACCACTACTGACGCTTGTGTCCTTGTCGATGTGCAATTTGCCAAGCTTGGCACATTGATGGGTTTCGATGACTGCAAGAGCTATGCGTTGGATAGGATGAACGCCTATGGCATACTCAACGAAGATCCTGTCGCCATCCTTAAAGAGATCTACCAGGGGTATGAGCCTGATTCAGACCTCAAGGATTGGGCACGCAAGTTCCTCGTCAGAGCACCAAGTACTTCAAATCCAGAGTGCCGCACTACAGCGATTAGTGTCACCACCGTAGAGCCACCGAATCTTATCAAGCTCGAGAGTGAACAGAGCTCGCACCGCGCACGTTTTCTCGATGCCGTTGACGCAAGTGGAGCATTAGAAAACGATGTCAACAAAGCTCGTGCTGAGCTCAAAGCTGCTGGTTGGTACAACTGGCCATCACTTCTGCCTCATGACGCGCCTAGGCTCCTCACCAACCGTTCTACGAGCTACCCGACTCATCCACTGGCAGTTGATTATCGCTCATCTACTTCAGTCCCCTGGTCCAGCGTCCACGACCTCACAGACCAACTTTCCTCGCTGGATATCGAGCGCCTGCGTAACTTGGAGCGTGAGAAAGCTCGCGACCGTGAACGAGAAGAAAGGTTGAGAGATTATGAGCGATTCAAGTACAGTGACATCGAGCGTGATCAACTTAGGAAATTGCGTCGAGAGAAGGAGCGCGAGCTGGAGAGGGAGAAAGAGAAGCTGAGGAGGTTGGAAATGGAGAAGGAGAAGGTCAAAGAGACGCATGCGCAGTTGCAGGCTAGCGCTGCGATTGAAGCGCTTTTTGGGCAACGTGGGCATGGGTTTGTAGAGGACTTTGATTACGAGTAGATGAGAACAGACGGGTCATAAACGGATATCGAGGAATAGATCGATGTATCACGATATTCAAAGAGCTTTAACATGCAGTCGCAAATTCTTGAATTTTCGCTTTTTCAGTCTGCATACACATCATGACCCACGGCTGCCAGTGGAAGGGCTGTTTCTATCAAACATTCGTTTTGTTCCAGGCCTCAATAGTTCCACCAGGTTGAGCAGTGGTTTCCAAGCTGGACACTGCTTTTATGAAGTTTCTAGGTCCTTCCAAATCTTCTACACCTAATACTACTGTACTTTTCTGAAGGTCACTATTGTGTATCTCTATATCTGTTCCGTTGGGCATAGAAGGAGATCACACTATGCTGGTATTATTGTATGAAGGAAATACGGACGCAAATCAAGAAGATGCTGCTAAATAGCTCAAAATAAAGAGCACTATTGATCCTGGTATTTCATGATGTTCCTGAGTATTATACGTGCAACAGACATGTGGAAGGCTTTACATCTGAGTTGTGGAGCTGTAGCCGACTTTTTCTATGTTACGGATAAAAGCCGAGCCCACTACCGTCCATTCGTGATCGTAACAAATTTTTGCAGAGCCTTTGATTTCCCTACATCTCGCACATATCATCAACAGTGCAGCTCCGAATCGTCCAAACCAGCGATACGAAGCAATTTTGAGGCCAGAAAACTCATGTGAGATCGCGGACCGGTGCGTAATTCCAACAAAACCTGTTGCAGAATGGCTCTTCAGATTGTTCGCAAAGAATCCTACCCAATCCTCCTGGTAGACCTTCTTGATCATAGAAGCTCCATGCAGCCTTTTTAGGTGGGCGATCGCTAGATCAGACTGCTCATCCGTTAGGCTAGATGCATCAATTCGATGCCCAATGCCATTGTTTTCTATGGCGGACACAGTCTCTCTTAGAGAGCCCTTGATGAGAGCTGTGATGGATGCACCGTCGGAGGGTACACACGCCGCGTTCCCTGGGCAATAACTGATGTAATCCTTTAAGGCTTTCATACACCCTGCCTCTTGGCCCATTATGACAATCGTTTGTGTTAGGCCTAGAGTTGGAGGCGTGCACACAGTGATGAGATCGTGCCGATCAAAACACCCAATAAATTTAGGCCTGGAGCCTAGGGCATACATCTGCCGTTCCATACCAGACGTAATGGAGAGAACAGATATATCGAATTCCCTACGGCTTAACCCAAGTAGTGTGCAAAGTGAGTCTATGAGTTTCCATGCATCTTTAGCCTCCTCAAGTTTGTGTCCATATTGGTTCCGCACAACATCTACGGATAGTTCCACAAGTGATTTGTCGTAGTTCGGAAGTATTGGGTAAGGCGATTCCATACCATCGGTCGCAAGCCCTAAGAAAGCATATACTTTATCGTGTAAAAGACTGCACCGCGAAGCAGAGAATGATTGCAACAATGGTTGCAGCCTCATCATTTTCCGGAATGCTTGAGAATCGTTGTCATTGGAGTACCGCATTCGTTGATACCTTTCCCTCTGATGTAACAAATTTCGGCCAGGGGTATTCCACAAGAGAGGGTATCGTGGATTGTCATGCAGTGAAAGTTGGGTCATGTTCCAGACGACTTGGCGAAAGTCGTGTGCTTTCACGCGATAGCCGCCCCACCAAATGTTCAAGTAAAAAGGCATGAGGAATTCTTGTACGACCCAGACGCGCGACCAGTACGGTCGATTTAGGAGGTCCACCAGCGCTTGACGTGTCGCATCATTACTGTATCTAAGACAATGTCGCGTCGCCGATAAGACATGATATGCTAGATCTGAATTGTCGGTTGCTTCGCCTAACCACGCGATGGTAAATGTAGCGGTGGAGAACAACCCGCTCATCTGAGCGACTTGGTGGTTGCGCTCAAAGACGTCTTGTTGATTGATACCTCCCAGCGTTAGTCAGCTAATTCGAAGACTGTCTCCCTTAGCGCTGTGACGGATACATACATAATGCGTCGACCCACAATCGATTTCCACGACCCTCATCCCATACTCGGAAACGATGGAGGAAGTCCTTGAGGTTATTGCCGACTTGGATGGTAGCCCCACAGCATTGGATCTCACCAGATCCACCACTTTGGTCCCAAGTATACGAGAGGGCAATGTACGAAGGATGCTTATCGAGATCAGCAAGTGTGAGCTCGCATCGAATTGGATCATCTAAATCGCCAGGGAATACAGTGAGAAGACGAATGCTCTTCCTGGTGCGATCTAGCTGCCTGTAGCTCAAGGGCGCCATACTATCCCATGATCTTTCGTGCGATAGTGCCGTAAAACAGTACTTGACCTGAAGCTTCGTTGCTAACCATCACTTTGCTATGGAGACCTAAGTCCGATAGTGCTGTTGGATTTAGAGGGCGTATGTGTCGGAGAGACAGGACGTCGGTGAGATGAGAGTAGAAACGTTGGTAGGCTGGGCTGATAACCCGCTGGTTGGTTTCCTAAAAAAAGGTGTCATCACACAACATACTCTGGGCGGTGGCTGAGCTTTCAGATCTGTCAGACGTACACCCGTGCTTGATTCCACGGATTATCAGCAAATAGGAGCGTATAGAGAGAATGCGGGTAGAATCAGACAGCATACACATGTAAATGGCTTGCGCCTGTATCGCACGCCAGGAAAGAAGCCGTTACTGGCATTAAACACGGAAGTGCCCCGCAACCCCGCACAGCATCCACGTGTGTATATACCGAGACTGATCGCGAATAACGCACATTGGTCTTGTCTTAGAACAATCGATGTATAAGTCTTTCGTGTATATTTGTTAGCATCAATCAATCCACTTCAAAAGCACTCAAACCTCCCTATACACTTTTCAAACACCATGGCCACCAGTCAAGAGATCAACAATGCGCGTTTCAGTAAGGAGGCCCTGGAATGGGATTCAAATCAGAAGCATGTAGAATCGACTTCGAAAGCACTTGAAGCCATCAAGCGCTACGTACCTGCGTTCAAAGATGGTCGTAACAAAGGTATAAACAGCCCATCTACCACTAGTCGAGGACTAACAAGCATCACAGAACTCGACGTGCTAGAAATCGGTTGCGGCACTGGCCTGCTGTCTTTTATGCTAGCTCCCCACGTACGCAGCCTTATTGGCGTCGACACAGCAGACGGCATGATAAGTGCCTTCAACACTAAGCTGGCGGATCTTCCAACAGACCACCCGAATCTGTGTTCGATAAACCACTTCCTAACGAACCCAGACTCGCATGAATTGCAAAGCGCAGCAGCACTCCTTGCCACGAATCGAGGGGAAGCTACATCACCGCCCTACTCGTACCGATTTGATCTCGTGGTATCTCATTTGACCCTGCATCACATTCCTTCGATGGCGGAGATTCTAGAGACGATGAAGAAATGTCTGAAGCCAGGGGGTGTTGTTGCGTTGACGGATTATGAAGATTTTGGGCCGGAAGCTGTGCCGTTTCACCCGGTGAGTAAGAGGCCAGGAGTCGAGAGACACGGAATCAAGAAGAGCGAGATGGAGGATTTGTTATTGGGGACAGGGTTCAATGAGATTAGGGTCGACGAAGCCTTCGTTCTGCGAAAAGAAGTTGATGCTGAGGACGGGAAGCCGGTAAGGGAGATGGATTTCCCGTTTTTGCTGTGTTTCGGCGTAAAGAGCTGAAATACTCGGTCGTATGTAGACGTTCACGAATAGTGTTCTGTGGCGTCTGCGAATGATTCGGAGTAGTGGAAATCAATAATCTTTTAGTAGATCGTTCACTGCTTTCGCAGCGAAACGTTTTCGCTCGGCCTCTTCCATGCCCTCGCCCATCTCCTTGATAGCAACCATTTTCTGCATCATCACCTCCAGCTCTTCAACCTCTTTGTCCCCTGATTCCGGACCTTCATCGTCGTCAAACCCAGCCAGCGCACCTTTCATGCCAAACAGCTCCATGTTCATCTCCGCCTCTTCTGCTGCAAAACTGCCTTCGAAGCCGTCTTCGTCGCCGCCCATGTCCAGATCTGCCATGCTTTCCCATTCCCCAGCCTCGAGCGCTTCCCGAACTCGGTGTACCCCTGTCGCCTCCCCAAACTCGTTCTTCCCCTTCTTCTCAGAGTCGACGTATTCAAAGCCATAGTCCATGGCGAGCTCTTCCCATTCTTCATGACTCTTCTCAAGGTAGGGCGTGATGGATTGCGGCATCGCAACAGCCAGACACACCATGTCGCCGCCGTAGCCACATGCGCGCTCGATGACATCGGATACGGCCTGCATGGTCTCTTTGATCACATCTAAATCCTTTGTTTCGACTGGCTTCTTAAAGCAGTATATCCATGCACCGAGCGCGGTGACGACTTCGCGAGCTTCGGGCTTGGTGAATTCGGTGCGCCATTCCGCTACGTTGGCGAGCTCATCGATCCAAATAGGAAGGGTTGCAGTGTAGTATTTGGTTTCCAGACGCCATTCGTGCGTAAGGCCGGCAGTGGTTTCGGACGTTGGTTCGGGGGCGGAACCGGTGAGCTCTAGGCAGAGTCAGTGAATGCGCGCCATGTGGGAAAACAAGAGGTACCTTTCAGCAGTGGAAGTACGCCTGCCTCGGGCGCGCCGATGGCAAGAATACGCCGTGGGTTCTTGATGTCCATGTTGTGTCGGTGGAAAAAGTGTCTAGTTGCGGAGTTCTCGGGGGTCTCGCCATTCAACGTGGGGTAGAAGCCTGCGAATATCAAGAACGTTCGCGACTACGCCTGGCTGTATTGTGGTCCTTCGTATGCCGCCAAGCAAGTTTAGATAACACAAGGTATCTTCGACAATGTAAAAAATTGTGCATTCATCCCATTCAAAGGTATCATCAATTTTGGAGCTATCCCAGTTCTCAGCGTATGTCCAGCAAAATGCGATCTGGTTGCATACCTGTCCTTGCCTCCATTGTCTATTTCCCGCAGCCGAGGGCGCGCGTCCTCGCTGGTGTTGCGCTTCTCGTGACTTGCTCTCTGCTTATGCCGTCTTTCCGCTACCATTTCTCAACTCGTTCAACGACCACCACCGCCGCCACGAGTGCTAGCCCTTGCCCTGTTGACTGTTGCCCGACCACGCGCAAGACCGACACCGCGACCCCTTGTGCCTCTCGATCGGAACATGGGGGCGTTCCTATATTCTGTTAGCGCCTTTCTTGTTCGACAGGTGTAACACATCATACCTCAACATGTCGGGAACAATGAAGTACCGCACGTGGCTTCCCCTGATGTACACTTGTTCGAGATGTGAGACGCGACCGTCGCGGGCGGTGACAGTGATGTCCTTCAGCTGTACGTTCATGTTGTCCTCGGCTACTGTATGTTAGCACGAATGCAAGGGGCTGGGAGACGAGTACAGTGCAGACCTTCAATTAGCTTGCCACGGTAGACTTCACCCGATGTGATCTCAAGCGTGACAATGTGACCCTGCGTTCTGTTAGCGCAGGTTTAGAGACCAGTATCCAGCGGTGAACGTACTGCTGCCTCGTTGAGGAGCTTGATAGGGATACCGATAGTGCTCGTCATTTTTTCTGTGTAGACTCTGAACCAATATGTCGAGTATGTCTAGCTCGATCTCGCGGTGGGACGTTCGTGTAGGTTGCGAGAAATAGGGCTTCGTGTCGTAGGCGCAAATCGCACTCGTAGCGCGGATCTGCTCCAAGGGGTTATTTGCCTGTGTTCGTTACGTAGTGGTTGTCGACAACAGAAAAGAGCGCAAACTTGGGCGTCGTGGTTGCGAAGCGCGTGCGCGATGCTAATATCACTGTCTACAGAAAGTTGAGGTTGAGCTCGGACCAAATCTTAGTCATCATGCCCTGTCTCCCATACTATACTCAATGTTCCCTTACCTTTGATCACCAGAATCACGACCAACATCTAGGCGTCACTGAACCCTTCTCACAATAGCATTTGTTAACTCCTATACGAAAGTGTGCATGGATGGCTCATGACACACGTTGCGTTCATCTCAATGGTACATCGCTGCGATATTATGCTATCTCAGCGAAACCCATGAGCATTTCCGATGTGAGAAGATTGTGGTTTATAAATCCACTTGAAACACATGCAGGTAACAGCCAAAGTCTACGGATGCTCGGTCTCTGTTGTTGGCGTGTCGCAAAGTTCGGAATAAGATCGGAATCATCGGAAAGAACATCTTTCGAAAGGCGTCGCGCCACAAACGCGTCACCACTCAATCCCGCCCCTGCAACCACGTCGACTAGCATTCCCAATGAATATCTCGGGTACCCTAAACGTCTTCCGACTATTGAGAGATCCGACTCTGTGTCTACCTCAACATACTGTCTCAACATTTAATCATCTCCCAATTCCCTTGTCCAAAGCTTTCAGAAAAGATGGGGTTGCTGGGCAGAAAGAGGTAGACATTCAAGCTGTAGTACTTGACAAAGACAACTGCTTTGCTGTGCCACATACCGATGAGATTCACAAACCATATGAAGTACTAATACACGTGTCATCTCGCTCAGAACTTCGTTGACCACCTTCATAGGACCATTTCCAGCGCCTTCGACGCGCTTATCCGGGTACGAAACTTCTAATAGTTTCCAACACGGCTGGAACGTCTTCAGATAAGGGCTATGCTCAAGCTGCTATCTTGGAGGCCAATACCGGGGTCAAAGTTTTGCGACACTCCACCAAGAAGCCTGGCTGTGAGGAAGAGGTCATGGCTTACTTCAAGGCGCATCCAGACTCTGGCGTAACTAGACCGGACCAAATCGCTATCGTAGGTGATCGCTTGTCCACGGACATCATGATGGCAAACATGATGGGTGGATATGGATTGTGGATCAGAGATGGAGTGCAGGGACGGGGATTTGTAAGTACTTCCGCTCGGTGAGAGCACCGTGGAGAGTGTCTTCACAGAATCGCATGTGAAACATTTGGGGCTAACGAAACCACAGTTTGCGAGAGTTGAAGACAGGCTACAGAGCTTCCTCTTCCGAAGAGGTTATGCTGCGCCTGATCCTAGCCGAAATCAATTTGAGTAGTACATCAAATGGATTGGTCGACCTTAAGCTGAAGACATTGGTATCTGCTTCTTTGGCAGACAATTCACTCTGGACGGCAAGTCACTGTCTCGTCTGCTACAAGTTGTATTGAAGCCATGTTTGTTCTGTATCTCTACGAGATAGTCATTTTAATCTAATGACATGTCCAAAACTTCGATCTACTTCTAACCCATGACACGCATACATTCTCAGAGCTTTGCTGTGTGGTAACCCAAGGTACGATTGGCGGGCTCTGCCCCTCTAAGTGACGCGCTTTATAACAACAACCACTAAACGATGTTGTAAGGAGCATCCTTTAATAGGCTTCGTCAACCGTCAACTATTGGATGCATAGCCGATCGTAAAGATGCAAGACTACGGTTAATGTCAACATCCCTGTACGCTCGGCTTCGAGATAATCCTATAATCGCAGACCTTCCATCCCTAGATCTCTCTGTCAAAGCCAAAACTCAACGTAGGCAACTAGACAATCCAAATTCGAGACCATCTATTACAATGTCTACCTCGCTCCAACAAGCTTGCCACATAGGGCCGTGGCTGCTTGTCACTAATTCGCCTCCATCAAGCTGCGCCGCATAGTAGCATAAACGACATTACACATACTGCGTCTCCCTCCCTTCCAAAGTTTAGCCTGCAGGTAATATGATCTGGTAGATGGCTGTGACGTGGCTAGCAATCAATATACCTAGACGACCTACATGAAAGGATGTGTTCAAAGAGGAGCAAATTACTATGAAAACAGCTCTTCTTCACCTTCAATAGCTCTACTCCATACTCACTCACCCTCCGAGCACATAACAACTCTTTCATCAATCCGAAGTACCTGACACAAGCTACCTGCTCCTATCAGTCCTCATCAAGTATGTAACAGTACTGAGATGTTCTCTTTAGTCCAAAATGAGATATGCAAATATATCTACTCACCTCTCGATCGCTGACTTCCACTCGCTGTATACAGTCAACACCATGGTCATCTACTCCACGATTCTAGGCGCAATCATCGGCTCCGGCGTCCTCGCAGTACCAGTACTTGGCGTACCAGCAGCCCTCGCGCCAGCATCTGTCCCAGCGGCAGCTGGCGCAAGACTCGGCGGTATAGACATGAACCGGGCCTGCCGCGACCAGTATGGCATGGGTTACCCCGCTGGCCGGATTGGAAGTTCATGCAACGACTGGCAATGCATATTGTATAACACGAATTTTGGTGATTTGTACTATCCTGTCGATACTCCTGCAGCATGTAAGAGGCAGTATGGAAACAATGTGTATGCTTGGTGCCAAGGCGGATGGGACAAGTGGTCTTGCTATAGGACATAGACGGACATGAGATCAACATCCACTTTGAGAAGCAAAGCCCTCCTATCGTACTTGATTGATATATCGCTTTCGAGTTGAAACTTTCACGTATTACTGCTCCATGAAACATATTTAGTAAGGACTTTGGGAGTTAAGATAGGAGTTACATAAAAGACTTTATCCATCGATCTTATAGCTTCTAAGACCTCTCTGGCATAATATTCCTGCTTCTGCTAATCGTGGGATAGTGTGTGTGTGTGTGTGTGTGTGGCGGACGGTATAGTAGCACCTGCGCGATGTCAATATAACCCCTTCAACAGCAACAACCTCTGCACATACTATCTCGTCCTTTGACTGTTATCTCTCTACTACTGTCTCTTTAGCATCAACATTCTGGGCCTCGCTCTCCTCCTTGCCGCCCACTTTCTGCTCAACCTCGAACATCGGTTCCTTGTCGCCCACTTCCTCTTCATCGCTCATGTCTTCGTCGCCCATGTCCTCATCGCCCACGTCTTCATCGCTCATCTCCTCTGACCACGTCTCTTCTTTTACCTCGGCAATCTCGCGATCCCCTCCCACCCCGGTATATACTGCTATCGCATGAAGCACATCTGCCTCAGGATCTGGGGCGTCCTCAGGTCGTTCATCGTCTTCGAATAAGATTTGCCTCAACGTATGCAATTTAGTTCCTTTCTTCAAAATGTATAGAGCATACCTTGGTACTCAATTTGCTTCTTTCAAACACTCATGAAGATGATCTGGGGACTTGATTATGACCGGATTTGTTTCGTCATGATGCCATTGCTTCGCAATACGCCAGATGGTTTCAGCCTTGATGTAACAGGAGTATCCCTCATTCCAGTCATCTAGGAGGCATGCAAGCAATGCGAGGCATTTAATGCGGTGGTATCTAGGGATAGCGTCATCGGCGAGTAAGTTGCGCAGTGCCTTAATACAATCATCGAATTCGTGTTGTTTGTGGAGCTCAACAGCAGTGTTGAAGCCTAGGCTAGACTGGCGATCGATTTCTTCCATAGTGACTGTTCAGAATGTGTATAGGGTCGATGTGGGTGTGTGGGTGAGAGAGAGACCGTTTCAGAGGTTTGCGAAGTGTTGGGTAGGTAGCGTGGCGATCTACAGATACTGGAATCTCTAGCTGCACGTGACAAACAAATGCGCAAGGGATTCTTCAGTGTGTATGTCATTCCATGGCAATCGAGATTGTATTTACGGTGGGCCAGTTAGATGGTTAGCATACGTCACAAGGCGATCCTCACCCAGTAGACAGATCTAACGCGTTTGCTCACTTGTGCGGCATGAAATATCTAGATGCATCACATGCATCCAACAGCATTTGCACATCACTACGATAACGATTATGCTTTTGCTGTTGTACACTGAGGCATGTTCCTTGGCTTATCAAGTTTAATCGTTTATACGTAAGGTCTCTTCGTCCAACTGAATTCTCCTTTACCTCAGTCCTGTCTCAATTCGGACCATTAGACGTTCTCAATTTTGGCGTGGACATCGCCGCCTGCTAACCCTTTGCTGCCTTTGCTACTGCTAGTTTTGTACAATGACGCAATGTATATGTGTGTGCCTAATTGCAGTCCAGTGTTTGGAAGGAGCACCGCGCCAAGCAAATTTACCTAGGTAGTCACTGCAAACATCCGCGGATTACACCAACTCTGCTAATGAAACTGTCCACGGACTCTCCACTCCGACCATCGGCTCTGTCTCTCTGCGTATATCAGCAGCAAGTTGACTGTTTCAGAGCGCGATCATCAACAAGATGCTACCAAAGTCGGATCAGACTCCGGCTCCATCGACGGACACTGGCGACAAAAGTCCAGGCCGGCCTGCTAACAAAGCAAAGCAAAAGACCACCTCCAAGGATGAGAAAGGACTATGAGCCAAGAGGTTGAAGAGTGCCGTCCAGCCCATTCAACCTTTGTCATCTGATCCGACCAATCGCGCTTTGGGACCATCATCGCACCTTGATCTGAGCAATCTTGGTATCACAATCGACTAGATAACGGAAAACACATCTCCTTTCGTGGACGTGTTCAAGAACAAAGATTTGAAGCTTGAGGACACTACGCGCAGATCCCCATACGTTCTACCTACGATTTGTAAGTGTATCAGGACATCGGACTCATAAACGGAATAACAAATGCTGACAACATCATAGTTCACGTACAAGGCAGTTGCTCCTTGCCTAGAATTAAGAAGTTCCCTGGTTTTTAGCCTTCTTGTCACCACAACTCAGCTTGGTCAACCAAACAAGTTGCCTATCTGGGATTATCGCCTGTGTTACTCCAAATAGCTTTATCTGGCTCGATTGGGGCGCAGTAAACTCGTTGACCGGCAATTCATATACCTTGAAGATACTTGGTCAGTACCTGTACGGTTGCCTGGTTGTGCCCCGCTCGTTCGTGGCGCTATACCCTGCAAACGCAGAACGCATTACCGGTTTTGCGACGACACGCTGGACACAGCCACGAGCGTTTCCACAATTCACAACAAACACGCGGTACGCAGATGAATCATAGCTAGGTGGCTTGGACCAATGAGGACGCGATAAGGTCATCAGGCGGTGCAGCGGGGCTGGGCTGAGCTTCACAGCTTACTTGTCATCTTTCCGGGGCTCCTTGTTCCAACGAACAGCGCAAGGCATACATTAAACCCATCTGACCGGCCCTTTCTCTACACTTCAACTCTATCTCAAGAATCAGCCTTGTCCGGTTTCTTGAACACTCGATCTACTACTACAACCTCCACACACAAACAGTAAGATGGGTGTACGTTGCGGCCAGCTCCTTGGCTGCCCCTCCATGCCCCGCTGCGTCATAATTGGGCTGACATGTCTCTATGGAACAGCTCGCAAGTAAGATGGCGGCGGCTTCTGCGGCGTCTGGGTATCCTCCGCCGCCAGGTGGACAAGGTGGCTACGTAAGTATTCAAGTGGAATATCGATGCTGGTAATGATTCACTCATGCAACGTAGCCTGGCCAGCCACAATATCAAGCATATCCAGGTGCCCAAGGTGCCGGTGCTCCCGGGGTAAGCCCAAAAAGCTCCTTCTTTCTCTTGTCACTTGCTCTGCGTCGTCATCGCCCATTTCCTACCCGCCACCTAAGACTAGGCATTCGCAAACCTTTTACCTAGTCTCCACTTTGTTTTTGGCTCCCAACTGCAATAAACCCCGCGCCCGCCTGTAATAAATCCACCCTGGACTTGACGCGCCACACTTTGCTCCCGGACCTAGCCACACATGCCTCTATCAAGCAAAATGGCCTCTAGCTACAGCGCTTATCAGCCCAACGCTGGGCAGGCGCCAAATCCTTATACGCAGCAGCAACAGCCTGCACCTCCCATGCCCCCGCGTCCTGGTTCGTACGCGCCGCCACAGTCACCATTTGCGCAACCGACAGCTCCAATTCCCTATGGCACATCTTCACCGTATCCTCAAGGACAGTCGGGGTATAACAGGCCTCCTCCGCCACCACCAGGACAACAGCCTCAATCTCCATATCCTCAGGCGCAGTCTCCGTATCCTCAATCACCATTTCCCCAGTCGCCACAGTCAAACCAGGCGCCTCCAGCGCAGTGGAATCAACCCCAGGTCCCACCGCCCTACGGACAACCACCTCCTCAACAGTACCAGCAGCAAAACCAATGGGGCCAACCACAACAATCCACTTACGGACAGCCGCCGCAGCAATATAGCCAACCTTACGGCCAACAGCCCCCTTATCAGCCAAATGTTCGTACTAATCTAGACTTTCTCGATTTTTTGTCTCCACCCTTGAATTTTCTATACGTACGAGCAGAGACGCAGAGCTAATGGTATTTGTTCAAATTTATATACATACTAACACAATGTCAGGGTGGCCCTCCAGGACAGCCTCCGCAGGGCCAGTATGGCGCACCTCCACCACAGGGAGGCTATGGCGGCCCCCCTCCTCCTCAACAGGTTCAAGCTGGGCCAGCTGAAGTTGCAGGCTACAAACAGTTGCTGCAAGCTTGTATCCAAGAAAAGGGTCTTCAGAACTTCCCAATTTGTCAGAACCTCGACCGGATCGCCCAAGATGCACCCTCAAAGATCAACCAAGTCATCCAGCGCTGGCGTATCCAAAAGGAGATCGCCAATGACATTGTCAAGCTGGCACTATACGACATCGTTCTATACATCGGTAGGTCGCAAAGAACTAAGCTGCTGATCAAGCTGACACCTTCCAGACGACAGTGGTTCCATGCAGTTTGAAGAGGAAGGCAGCCGTATCAAAGACTTGCGCCTTATTCTGGAACGAGTCTCCTTTGCTGCCACGCTCTTTGACAACGACGGAATCTCAGTCCGGTGCATGAACACCGACCTCTCCAATGCTCGTAACCAACAGGGTCGACCTCTCCAAGACGGCGTCGCCACTGAGGCTCAGATCGAAGAGATCATGCGTGGTGTGAACTTCAAGGGCCTCACGCCCATGGGCAGCTCTATGGAGACAAAGGTCATCAACGAGATAGTACTTCAAAAGGCACGATCCGGACAGATGCAGAAGCCAGTACTCGTCATCGCTATAACTGATGGACAACCGGCGGGTGAACAGCCGAACAAAATCTTTGATGTCATCAAAGGAACATACAGACAACTCCAGTCAACGCCCTATGGCCGTGGCGCTGTCGCCTTTGAGTTCGCCCAGGTTGGAAATGATACGACTGCCAGGGCATTCCTCGGTAAACTTGATGAGGACCCTGAGGTTGGCCCTATGGTTGACTGCACATCCAGTAAGTTTCCCTATTTACGGATCGAATTCGTGCTAACACGAATTTAGACTTTGAAAACGAACAGGAAGAGATGATGCGTGCCAACCCACCTGTCGATCTCACACCGGATCTTTGGATCATCAAGCTTCTTCTTGGTGCTATTGACCGAAGCTACGATTCCAAGGACGAGAAGACCAACCCAGCGCCCGGAGGCTACGGTGCACCACCTGGTCAATATGGCGCGCCTCCGCAAGGCTACGGTCAGCAGCCACCGCAAGGCTATGGTCAACAGCCGCCCCAAGGCTATGGCCAACAGCCACCACAGGGTTACGGTGCTCCACCTGGTCAGCAACCCCCTCAAGGCTATGGTGCTCCTCCACAAGGCTACGGCCAACAGCCACCCCCACCAGGTCAGTATGGTCAGCAACGACCGCCTCAAGGTGGTCCCGGCGGATACCCAGGTCAACAACAGTACGGCCAACCGCCGCCAGGTGGCAGGTACTAGGAGTGGATCCATATATCAAAATCCGACGGTCTGGATTCTGAGTCAGACGAGGGCACGGTATGGGATTTGAATAATCCGTAAGATCTGGGAATCATTGCTAGTATTGAACGGCCTCGTGCCATCATGCCATTATGATTTTCCTTCATCGGCGAGAGTTGAGCAAGCTTCATAACTTTTCGGTAAGGAAGGTCTCAATGAAAGTCTAATGATTTCTCTTCATTCTTTTACATGGAAACAAGTATCACGTCTCATCGCGCGTGATCTCTCACATGTCAGCAATTTTTCACGTTGATCGCTAGTGGTATGATGCGGCCTCTGTCAGACATCAAAGTCGCGTCCGCATAGCACTCGCGATACTTCACCTTTCATTCAGTATCGCGACCATTCATGGAGTGCAGGTCGTATAAAATGCCGTGGCGCGGAGTTCCTACAGATTAAGACCAACACACATTTATCAGGTCTGAACAAACTCACACAGACCCAAAGACCATATCTCTTCTATACATCATATACCAAAGACACTAATATACCTCTGCCAACTAGTCTTGCAAATCTCCATGGCGCCGCCTTGATAGCTCCAGCTTATCACATCGTCGTCAAAGTCACAGATCCTTCCTCTTATAGTTTTTACTTCATACACATCCGTGCCATCGACAATGCTACGGAAGTACCTCTTGCTCGCGCTCACCGTTCCATTAGCACCGCAATAAACGACTGGAAATACGAAAACCTGCAATGGAACTCCACTGACCTCAATCGCGGTCTCTGCGTGCGGTTCAGATTGAAATGCGAAGAAGAAAGAGAAAGGGAATGGGAAGACAAAGAGAAGACGCGTGATATACAGAATCTAGCGCAGCAAAACGGTGAGAGGATGCCGGACAAGCGGGAGGCGCTAGCTATGGCTTGTATGATGAAAGTAGCAAGGAGGGCCGTTGGTAAGTCGATATTCTACCAGTCCCGGTGACTTGCCTGTGTTCTGATGAGTGTTTAGGCCACGTGCTCCAGGAAAAGGACTTTGGGGCAATGGGTCAGAAGGAGTTCGTGATCATTAGTACTGAAAGCGAAGGGACAGTTCAAGCGAGCCTGTCTGTGGACAGTAAAGAGGAACAGAGGGTTGTTGCGGGAGTCATTGGCAACGATTATTTCGAGGCTGTTTACGCGCTCAATGATGCAGTAGGTGTTGAGCATAAGAGGCAGCGGAGAGAGGAGCAGCATCGGCATATATCATGATGCTGCTAACAGGCTCAGGACCAGAATCAGATGGTGTACTCTTCCTGTTAACGAAAAAAAAAAAAGCTTGGTCTTGTCCTGCATGTGGTGCCCACATCCGCCCACCCTCCACTGTGACAGTATGTAGGTACATAGGTAGAGAACAAACCCCACTAACGACATCGGAAGAATTCTATCAACGACTCCACACCCGCACAAATGCCCGTGTGACAAGTGCGACTTGGTATTTATACCGTTTGGACTCCATTCGCTGCCCTCTCAGTGTTTAAATTGGTCGCTAACGGCACTTCACCTGAGCTTTCCGGGGAAAATAGATTGGTTAGGCGCACGAAAACCGGGCTCGCCTCCGTCGCGAAGCACGCCGCTGCACGCCACAACCACACTCTGGGGTAGGTACAATATCGCGATAATATCAGCTTGTGCGCCTGTGATCGGATTCTGAGCGATGGAAGATCTTGGAAGTCATATGGTGGATGTCGTGTGTGGATGGAAAGCAACACAAGCTATGTCTCGCCTTGGTGACCATGCCCATTGCTGCTACAAGGCCGTAGGCAAGGGGTCCATGGTCATTTAAAGACACTATACGATGCTTGACTTACCAGATGTAGTCGGTCATTGCGCTCCGTTCCTTATTGAGGAGAACATGAGAAGTCAGTAACACCATCTCAAACCGTGGAAGACATATAAGAGAAGATTCGAACACAGCATATTTCTATCAAAGCAACGACACTCGCTATCTGAAGCTTCACAGATCTTCTCTCCTACAGTCTCTATCATGTACACCTCGGCGCTCTTTCTCGGCGCTCTTGCCGTCCTCCTCGACACCGCATCCGCCCATGGCTTCGTCAAGGGTGTCAACGTGAAGGGAACCTTTACCAACGGCTCTGACCCAGTCTGGTACTACTATGCCAAGGATGCTCGTCCTCAAACTGCAGGCTGGGATGCCCTGAACCAAGACATCGGTTTCGTCGAGCCGAACTCCGTCGGCACTGCTGATGTGAATTGCCACAAGAGCGCCACAGCCGGACGTCTCTATGCCAATGTCAATGCCGGTGACACTATCGAATTTGAATGGAACACTTGGCCCGACAGCCACAAGGGCCCGATCATCAACTACATTGCACCTTGCGACGGTGATTGCACCACTTTGACACCAGGTGCTCTTCGCTGGTCAAAGATTTCTCAGTCGGCTATAATCAGCCCCGGAACCTGGGTCACAGATAAGCTCATTACGGACAAGTTCAAGGTCTCTACTGTTCTTCCAGCCAAACTTGCACCTGGCAACTACGTCATCCGCCACGAGATCATTGCACTCCACGGCGGTCAGAACGTCAATGGCGCGCAACTGTACCCTCAGTGTAAGTTTTTCCACTGCTCAGCACTTAGAAGATGCTCATGATCGATCTAGGCTTGAACCTCAAGGTTGGAGGTAGCGGTTCCGTTAAGCCGTCTGCTGGTGTTCCAGGTACTAGCTTGTACACAAAAGACATGCCTGGCATTGTGTTCAACATTTACACCAACCCTACCACTTACACCTTCCCTGGTCCGGCTCTGTGGACTGCCGCTAACTAAGTCATGGTGTCCAAACGCTGTGTTGGAAACAAACAGGATTGGAGAGCTCTGGGACGCGGGTTGGTGATGTTCATGGTAGACGATGTGTGCTGACTTCTCTTCGTGTCTATACTTGGTCCTCTTGGTAATTACGTAGACCTAACAATCGTTTCTATAGTCTAACCTTTACCCATGCTGGCTGTACTGTGTACGGGAAAGTTCTTGTTTGTTTTTTTAGTTGTACCTAACGCTGAAACAATGTCCTAGAGGCATATGTATCATTTATCAATATGTTAGTGTCTCAACAAAGTTACAAACGCCCTGGGTGCGGTTTGAAGTTGGGGACAACTTAGAAAATATCAAGAGCTTTCACGCACAAGAACTGTGCTCCCTTGAATCGAATTCTTATTGCTACAAAGATGAGCGATTATTAGGGCGATGAGATGATGTTTCGGATGTGTTCCTGACAGGTAATTGTGCAAGATCAGCAGCCTCTACAGGCGCCTGTCTTTACGATGCCTACAGAGTCGAGATCAGTCAAGAAGTGGCCTGAACGGATGAACAGAGTCTTGAAGTTTTGTAGAGGTATATTGCAAGCCTAGCATAGTCCCTAGAACTAAAGCAATAACAGTAGGAGGACTAGTTAGCCAACCATGGGGGTGAAAAACGCCAGACTCCTCATTCCCGTTTTGAACAGTACACTCGATACATGATCGAACAGCTTCTCGCCCAAACTCGCCGCATGCGCATTGCTCTCTTTACTTCCTGACTGTCTTGGCGGCCTTGCCAACAACCTTGACGAGCTCACCGTACGCCTCGTTGAACTCCTCGTCGCCCTCGCCTGCCTTCTTACCCATCCTCTCCTTGCCAATCATGACCACGCTGGTGGGCCTCTTTGTTGCGCTAGCCTCACCAAGCTGCGCGCGGCTCTTGATGTAGATGTACGGTACGTTGTGGTCTTCGCAAAGAACGGGGATATGTGCAATGACGTCCATGGGCGAGATGTCGGCAGCGATAACAACAATGGCGCTGGGGTCGCTGGAAGTACCTGCGCTTGAGGCGGCGGATTTGCGCAGCGCCTTTACGACTTCCTTTACACCACGACGGAGGGTCTTGGATTTGGCGGCTGTAGTGGAAGAAGCGTTAGTTTTTCCTGGTTGCGCCAGATGGCAGGAAGACAAAATAGGAAGAACATACACTTCTTGACAGTCTTGAGGATCTTCTTGACCTCCTTGTCGTTGTCTGCAAGAGGGAATGCAAAGGGAACGAGTGCGCCGCGCGGCTCATCGCTGCCGTCAACGACGTTGACCATGGAGACTTCTGGCTCTTTCTCAAGCTCGGCCTCGAGCGCATCTACCATCTCGACATCGCCCTTGACCTTCTTCTCCTTCTTGTCCTTCTTGCTCTTGGACACGCCATCTGTCTCTGCGCGCTTTTCCTTCTTTTCCTTCTTGTCCTTCTTCTCCTTCTTCAGCCTCTTCTCCTCGATATCTTTCGACATTGTGTAGTTAAACGACTGTAGTTTATCGGTAGGAGTTGGGAATGTAGATGTGTGGTGGTGGCTGGTAATGTGTCGTGCTGTGGTCGGGCTGGTCGCGGAGCTCTATTCGCGAAATTTTGGAAAAGTTCAGACTGGAGCTCAACGCGCTAGTGCTGCAGTGTGGCACGGACCATCTATCAATTTTAGTGCCTTCGCAACCATGGCACAGCACAGCGGAGCACATGCAGACATCACAGACAGATTGCGTTCCAAGTCGTCCAAGTTAGATATATATTCATGTAGTACTGATTGAGATCAAATTGCATTTTCGCTTCATGTCTACTACCGGAATATCCACCATCTCCGTCGCCGCGAAGTCAACCCATGAAATACTGTGGTATATAGAGAAAGAACCTGATGCCACCAGAAACAAAAGGCATTACCAAAGTGGAGGCAGATAACAAACAGGTATTAGCAGAAACGCGTCAAAGGCAACGCTAGTAGCAGGACCGAAGTAAAGTAGTAACGCGCCTAGGGCCAGCCTTCGATAGTCCAGAAATGCCGATGGGTATGAGCGAGGGAAAGATATTAGAAGAATACCAAACGAGAGCATGAGCTCGAGTGTGTAGGATCTGGACCAGACCGCCCTGTGCGCCGAATTACCCCAATCTTGAAAGTGAAATGAGATAGGAATAGACTGATGCTGAATGCGCCAAACTCCTTGCCATGCTCCCAGGTGCGAGGAGACGACGACGACAGGCTGAAGAAAAGCCTACATTCTGTGAAAAGAAAAGAGAGATCGAAACAAGATCGCGAAAGACCAAGGGCAGCGCAAGTGATAGCTCGCGCTTAATAGGCCATTTGCATCTCAAGGACCTGGACGCCGCCAGCAGCCATCGATGGCGTAGCAGACCCGGATCGAGACGACATGGCATCTTCGTAGCCAACAAGGGCTTGTGAATGTAGTTTGAAGGCCTCGCCCATGAGTTTAGTGATACTGTGTTTTGTTAGTGACAAGTCCGAAACATAGATACTAGTTTACATACCCCCAAACAACGACCTCATCGATCATGCTTCCCCAGAGTCGCGCCACTGTGGAGCTCAGCTTTGCACCGTAGACATCTACCGAGTCGTCATCGAATAGGTTGCGCAATTTGTTGTACATTGCTAGCTCCTCTTCGGTAGCTGGCTCTTCGTCGTGCTCAAGGCGGTAAAGCCACAGCGTTAGGATGACCATCAGATCCATACCAGTAAGTGGATGCTCGATGCTCCAGTTGGTAGCAGAAGTCCGTGCGACCCAACGGATGCCTTGCACAGCAGCAACCTCGATACAGTCGAAGCATTCTTGAATGACCTTGATCATTTCCGGAGAGCGCTGAACCTTGTCGCGGGCATTCGTCATGGCAGCAGCTACTTCGTACGAGTCGTGATAGCGGAGGGCTTCCTGAATGGACTTAAGATCGACCACTAGTCGGGCCCTGGTGTTCCTGTACAATGCCATGGCGTTAAAGATGAGTGGGTGACCCTTGTGTGGAGCGCTCAATTGAACAACGACCGTCTCCGGCTCGCATAATTCGAGCGATTTCTCCCAAGTCTCCAGGGCCAAACGCAGCTTGTACTCGGTGACTACGTCCTGAAGAGCTTCAGGGCTGCGCTTGTGGTACCATACTTCGAGGAATAGTGCATTGATCATGACGCGTGTGGCGAAGGCACTGTAGCGCGCAGTCTCGCCTTGGAATAGATTGTCATGTGCTTGACGGAACGTGATAATCTTGGAAGCACTCAGGCTTTCGCGCCATGCTTCGTCGTCAGATACCTCCATGGTCCAGAGCGACTCCGAAGAGGGCAGCTCTAGGGTGTCGAACTCGTTGAAACCCATTGCTGGCGTGTGGTTGTAGGTGAGAGTTAGCAGACCAAAGAAAATGTAGACTGCATAGTAAGTTCTGCGACATTGCTCATCGACGACCCATTCTTCATGGTTTGGTTGAGCGCCATCACGGGCGTCGGAGCGAAGCTTGAGTTCATATCGGTTTCCTGCAACCATCTGCAGTTTGTTAGTGGCTGTGATGAGCAGGGAAGGTAAAAACATACGTTGGCAAGAAGACTCTTGATTGAACAGGCCCACTCGAGTCCTTTTGGATCACCACTCCAGCTGCTGAAGATCATGTTAAGCAGGGTACTCTGCATAGTCCACAAAGGACATTTGCGGGAGCTGAAGTTCTCCTTGTTCTGAAGGAATTGGTTGACTAGGACCTTTGATCCAATGTGCAGCATGTAAGCCTGATCCTGATCAAAGATGTACAAGGCACCTATCGATAGCACGGCAAGTAGCAGCGGGGCAGACACCTCAGTAGGGTTGAAGGTGGCGGGATGCAAGAACGGCAGATGGTGATGGAACAGATCAAAGTACGTCTTCAACAGGCGGTTCAGCGTGTTCAGACTAGGCAGGTGGAACGTCTCCAAGAGCGCGTTTTCACTGTCATACTGCTTGATGTTCTCATATATCCTTGCGCACTGCTCCTCCGAGTCTAGCTGAGGGGCGCGGGTCATCATCAGAGCCTGGTTGGGGCCGGGCGACTTGCGGTAGTCAACAGGCGACACAGGTCCCATCATGGAGGGATAGGGCGAGAGAGCACCGGGGGTGCCCAGCCCGTTGCCGCCGTTCATTGCTGAAAAAGTAGGGGCGAGACTATCACTACCAGACATGGTGCGCTCCATTAGTGGTGGCAACTGATGAGGATGGGAGCCGAGTGCGCTGGCGCTGTTGAAGGCTGAGTGCGTGTTCGGCGAGGACTTGGGCTCTGACTGGGGAACCATTGAGTCTCGCCACGGCATCTGAGGCAGCATGTTCTGGCCTGGAGCGGTGTATGGGATGACAGGCTCCATCATGGATGGACCTGTGGGCGATATGACGGGCTCGTTGTGCTCGGGAATCATCTCGGGTTCCTGACTCGCCATTGCTTTGTGATGGAAGTCGGTCATCAGCATGGCAGCGGCGTTGAGGTCTTCGTCCTCGTGCATCGCATCGTTGTCAGCCTCGATGCGCTCGAGCGTCGTCGCACTCTCGACGGGCGCGGCTTTTGAAGGCCCTTGGTCGGCCGCCTTGGTGTTTGTTCGTCGCTTCTGTTCGCTGGGGAGGGGCGCCCCGCCATCCTTTGCGTGGACGGTGCGGTCGTGGCGCAGGAGGAGATCACGACGGACAAACGTGGATCTGCATTTCAAACACCTGATGCGAAGTCAGTACATTTCTCGCCATTTAGCTCGTACAAGGGCGTCTGCTTACTTGAAGGGTCTCTCTTTGGTATCTGTGGTGAGGGGCAAGTTAGCGATCTTCTTTCTCTTGTCTTCCCCGCAGCGCGCATCCACGTCGCGCATGTCCCGCATCAACAAACAGCCACCCCGCCCAAAACAAGCGCATCTCGATCGCGAATACAGAGAATGAAATAGGGTAATACGAACGCGATCTTTCGTGTCTCGAACGATGCTCTGACCTCGAGAAGGCTCTGTTGCAGAACTGGCATTTGTACTTTTCCCAAGTCAGTGCATGTCTCACACGCATTTCGGACAGGCACAGCTTACCTTCTTCTCGGGCGCGCCCGTCTTGCGGACGGCGGGCGACGAGTTAGACGCCATCTCAATGGATGCGGCGTATGGTATGGAATCGTAGCGGTGTATGGCCGATGATGGGAGATGCTGCGCAATGGCCAGAGGACGCGTCTCGTCAAAGTTCGTTGATGGGTGTGGTGGAACAGCTGTACTCCTCGTTCATCCCGTAAAATTGCTATAAACAATGGTGCAGCACCGGAATGGCCGGTGGGAAAAGGTGATATACAGGCGTCAGCGCCGTCTGGCAGCGTGCGCAATGATGGAATGATAATCGACGTGGGCGTTGAGACGGATTGCGAGTGTTGAATGAGGGGGGTCCAAGGTCCAAAATCAACTCGGGGGGGGGGGCATGGCGCACGGGCAGCCCAGCTGCCAGCCTCACCATCCCCTGCCCAGGTGGTCTTGGACTCATTACAACGCTAGCGCTTCTAACGCGACCTATCTATTAATTACCAAGTCTGCTTTTGCTGGCTGGCTCGCTGGCTGTCCTGTCTGCAGTTGCCATATTAGAAGAGGCAGGCGACATGTTGGGTCAGTCGCCCTTTGCTCCGCTTGACACTGCGACTTCCACAACTATCTCACTTTGTCTATGTAGCTATCAAACCAACGAAACTTGCACTCTGGAAACGCCCTCGCATACAGGCACCTCTTTTACAACCCGGGACATCCCTAACCATAGGCTTCTGGACCAATGTGCAACATGGCGACCGCCTGTCCAATGGTTCTCCTCGCAAGAGCCTCAACGAGCATGGTCTCTCCATCCACCCGCCGTCAGCGGAGTCGACTCTCCATCCACCAGTGACAATGTGGCACGACAGTTCAAACCTCAAAGTGGCGGTAAGTACCTCATGCTTTTACTCTTGGAGGAGTAGTCTAGTAACTGGGGCACCATTTATCAGATGCAGGCCATGCACATGGTGGCTCACCGCCTCACTTCCCTACGCAGGTAGCTACGCCTGCGCCATCGTTACTTACAACAGCTTCCAATACTCACAAAACACCCACACCTCGCCCCTCCGTGGTCTGTGTCGCGCGATGACGAAGGGCGCGGGAAAAGGGGTTGCCCCTCGTCTTTACACACCATGACGCCAGGATGCCTCTCCAACTTCCACCATCAAATGTTGTGGCACGAGTAATTGCGAGACGATCGTCGGCTGCGCTCGTTCCTGGAACTCTATCCAGAAATTCGGGCCAGAAACGCGGTTCCCCGGACCCACCATCTCATGTTAGTCCGGCCCACATATGCAGTAGACGCGACGGCTTGCAGAGAGCTCACATGAACATTGCAACGCCGCGAACACGATGCTTCTTGCGCATGTCGGTAGACATCACATTACCATCGAGCCGTCTGGCCGAGGTCTTTTCGGCTTGAGAAGGACACCTGCGTTCCGAGTGACAGAGCCTCCCGTCAGCAGCAAGGTGGCAGAGTCCGCTAAAAACATGCCCCGCTTGTCTACCTTGAATCGGGGATGCGCGTATGATCCTAGAGCTTATAGCGTTGGCCGCGGCCTAGCGAACGCTTTTGCTGCCATGACACCTAATTGTTCTCACCGTTACTCCATCCAAGCCAGCAGTCGCTACACATGCCTCCTACAAGTCCTCTAACCGCCCCTCAGTGACCATTGTGTCAGCGAGGGGCATTGCTTTTCAATGAAACCCCCCCGCGCTAGCACGTTTCTCGTAATGCTTTAGAAGCAAGGCGGGTTGTGGTGGTTGTTTCAAGTGGCATTGGATGGTCTGTCCTCGTAACACGGACGCGGCAGGGCCGGTACTCATCCGTCTACGCTGTCAGTTAATTTCACTATGATAGAGGCAACCGACTAGCTCATCCCAGTGAAGACGAATGGTGGTTGAAAGCTGACCAGGGCAGTGTAATGACATGGTGTCATGCCCAACACCGTCCACAGCCAAATCGCATATGAAAGGTACGCCCTTTCGGCCCTGCATTACAGCCAACCTACTATTGAGGATGATGATATCTGAACGGGTGGTTGCTGCAACCCCCACACGCGACACGGCACCTATCGCATCCAGCTCTCCGTTTGGCATGTCTCCTACAACTACGCTTCGTCGCTTCTCAACAATACTGTCGTCTCGGGGGCAGCAAAAGATCTTGATCAATCGATGGCTGACCCACCCACCCTCCGGCCCAGTGTCGCAGAACCCAGGAAATGCCATTTCCGCTTCCACGCGATAAACCAAGCAAGTTTGAGACTGGCATCGGCCACTAGGATCCGCTATAATCATCCCGAGCTTCCATCACACCTTCCACGGTGAGATACGCGTGTCAGTCACCGCTCTCGATGAGATGGGCAAGACGACCGCGGACTGTTACTTGAGTGTTATAGGCATGATTTTGTACTATCACAGTGTTCTGCTGTCGGCCTCAACCATTTACTGACATCCTCGACACCTGCAGTTGTTTAAGGGGTCAGCACCAAATCCAAGTGAAAATCGTCGGTTGCACTGCGGGGCAGCAAGCACTTAGGTAGCGTTCCGTGCAAACGCAAAGTGTAGGGACGACAAACGCAGAACGTCAGAAGTTCAAGTCTGGATGGTGGTACAAGATACATGGTCGCACAATCCTCGATGCGCCGGCATCCGCCCGCAACGGGAGGGAAGTCCTGGTTATCCTTGAGGACCACGTTTCATAGCGCAAAGACCCCAAAATATGTAACGAGTCAGACGGTGTTCTAGATGAGCTGACAGCTTATGGAAAGCCTGATGTCCCCGCTCTACCACCAGGCTCTTCGGCATCAAAAGCTCCTGCATACCACATTGAGAGCTTGGTGGGGCCGTATTATCAATTGCAGATGTATACCATGCATGGTCGGTGTAGACAGCTTCTTTGATTTTGACAGCTGCGGCGTAGACAAAGTTGATGTGGCCGGCTCAGTGTCGGTCGCTTACCCACCGTCTGGCTATATTGCGATGCACAACATCGGCTGCAGGCAGGCAGGGCATATAGACGTGCATGAGTTGCAATGTGTAGGCAGGCTGGCAGGTTCCGAGAATTGCCCTATTGAAGGACGGGCCCGGAACTTGACACATTGTTAGCTGCTTTTATCCATAGGTAGGTAGCCCAGCCAGACACGTGATTTCCTAGGTATCGCACAGCACAAGCCAGTGGGGACGCTGGGCCCTCCACCGCTCACGACGGCTGCCAACGACCCGCCCTGGTGTTGCAGTTTCTTTCGCTCGAAACCGTTCTTCTTCTCAACCATATTCATACCAGCGTGCTCGCTGTGAGGCTCTATTCGCTGCGTCGCTCAGCTAGGCGCGCTCCCCATTCGCATGCCGGCCGCCTCTAGCCCAATTGCATGCCCTCATCCACCCCGGCCATAACACGCGGTCATATCAGATCCTCGAAAACGACCGCGTCGTAAGATCAGTCGGCCCACATTGCGACCGCTTCTACTCTAGTCCAGGGTCGCAGCAGAGGGGTCGCGCCTGCGAGGCTGAAGATTGTTGCCTTCTTCCCCGTCCCCCCCCCACACGCCGCCGGTTGCGCCTTGAGGCACCGTGAGAATCACCATGAACGGCTTTAATGGCACGACCGACGCTGGCGGCATGTACGTCAAGGCGCTATACGACTACCAGGCCGACGACCGCACCAGTCTCAGCTTCCGGACGGGCGACATAATACAGGTCATCACCCAGCTCGAGAGCGGCTGGTGGGACGGAGTCATCCACGGGGTGCGCGGCTGGTTCCCGAGCAACTACTGCGCCGTTGTACAGCGCCCCAGCGAGGACATTGAGAGCGACAGAGACGGCATCGATGCCGACGACGACCATGAGACGAGGTCGGCAGGCGGCGCTGAATTCGACACCTCAGACGGCGAGTCCCTGAGCGGTGGAAACGACACCATACTGCCCCTCGAGCGCAACAATGCACCGCACAACAAGGAAGAGGAAGCCGCCTTTTGGATACCCCAGGCGACACCAGACGGCATGCTCTTCTACTTCAACACCCTAACCGGCGTCAGCACAATGGAGCTTCCTCTGGAATCCCCCTCTGCCAACGAGAGCGGTCCGCGCAACCGTACTGATGTCTTCGTGCCCGATGCGTCGCGACCGCCAGCTGAGCTACTAGCATCGGGCTCTGGCTACAACATGGAGGACACAGACGACGAAACGTCAGCGTCCGACTTGGAAGGCCCAGGAAAGAAGGGCTCCTACCGCTCGCGCGTAAGTTTCGCGCTTCTATACGTGGAGCGAATACTGACATGGCACCACAGCACAGGCACCGCTTGTCCGATGGTCTCTCGTCGGCCACCTCGATGGAGTCGATGAACGGTGGCTACCAGGGCAGGTCCTACGATCAAAGTGGTATGAGCTTTGCAGCTTCTGCTGCCATGCCTCCCACTGGCACCACGGCGACTTCCTTCGCAAACAGTCCAGCACTAGGTAGCGACTCGACGCATTCGCGCAAGTTCTACGACGACGTCAGCCCTGTTCCTCTTACCTGGAACAGGATGGTGGAGGACATGCGACGCGCAATAGAGCGCTACAAGCAAGCCATCAACAACAGCGACAGGTCGGAATTCGTGAAACGCGCCGAGGACATTTCGGATCACTTGCGACTGCTGCTCGCGGCTGGCTCGGGGACGACGGACAACCACTCTGGTAACCCCTCCATCATATCTACAAACAAGGCCTTGTATCCTCATTTCCGCGAAACAATGTCGCGATTCTCAAAACTAGTGCTGTCTTCGCATATCGCTGCGTCTGACTTCCCTCCTCCCGATTCCTACTCCAAGTGCCTGAAGGAAGCAGAAGGCGTTCTAAACGGTGTCTTTGGTTTTGTCGAGGTAGCTCGTCAGCAGCGTGGAGAGGAAATCCCGCGCCTTGTGCCTGGCTTTGTAGTGGGCAACAACACTGGAGGCAGCTGGCAAAACAACGGTACTGACTCGCGTGATGCCAACACCTCAATGTACTCTGACCAGGACGACTATGAGCCTTCCATCGAACCAACCCTTAAGCTTGATTCACGCATATTGGAAAGACTGCAAGATGTCAAGAGACTAATCGTTTCCAGTCTCCGGCGGTTGGATGAGCAATTAGTGCTTCGGGATACGGTCATTTCACACCGGAAACACCAGGCGATAGGCGACCACGTATGCAGTGCTGCAGGAAAGGTTCTAGAGGCTTGTCGGCCCTGGATATCCACCATCGAACAAATCGACCTCGCGTCTCTGGACGTGGACGCCCAAGGGCAACAACTAAGCGAATTCAGCGTCCAAAAACAGAAGGCCTACGATGTCGTATCTGAACTTGTGATTGCATGTCAAGGAGTAGCAGCACCACTGGGAGACGAGTGGGCTGAACTACGTGGAGATTCACTTGAGGACCGTATCAATGCTGTGCGAGCGATTGCCCGAGATCTGGAAGCGACGTGCGCCCAACAATACAACTTGTTGCAACAATTGTCGGACACTGTCCCTCTCGCCGACATCGTAAGCCGTACAGACCCAAGAAGAAATACCGATAGCGAGCTGCCAAACCACACTCGGGGGCCGTCCGGACCTGAGAGACCATTACTTGGCAACATCCCCAAGGCAGACACATACAGTGCAGGCACACCTCTCGACGAAGGAAAGGTTGAGCCGGTCCGATCTGCAAATAGCAACAAGAAACTCAAAGACTTCTTTGGTGAAGTTCCAGTGATCCCCCAACAGGCAATTGAAGAAACACCAGAGTATTTGAAGCTCGACCATGAGGGTGAAATATCCTATGATCACAAGTCTACACCACCCCAATTGAAGGGTGGTACTCTGGCTGGTCTCGTCGAGCAATTGACACGTCATGACCGCCTCGACCCAGCATTCAACAACACCTTCTTACTCACGTACCGATCGTTTACCACCGCTTCTGAGCTGTTCGAGATGTTGGTTAAGCGATGGAGTATACAACCACCTCATGGATTGGCCAAGGAAGACTATCAACACTGGGTAGACAAAAAGCAGAAGCCGATTCGATTCCGAGTTGTAAACATTCTCAAGAGTTGGTTCGATAACTACTGGATGGAGGGCAACGACGAGGAGGCACGGATTCTCATTCAACGGGTGTACAACTTTGCAAAAGACCACGTTGCGACCACTAGCACCCCAGGAGCGGCACCCCTGATGACATCCGTTGAGCAACGATCTCGAGGGCCAGACATGCCTACAAAACGCTTAGTTCTCACCTTGAGCGCTCAAACACCGCAGCCTATTCTACCGAAACATATGAAGAAGCTGAAGTTCTTGGACATTGACGCAACGGAATTCGCTCGACAACTCACTATCATCGAATCTAGATTGTACGGCAAGATTCGTCCGACAGAGTGCTTGAACAAGACATGGCAGAAGAAACTTGCTCCAGGCGAGCCTGACCCAGCCGCAAACGTTAAAGCGCTTATTCTGCACTCCAACCAGTTGACGAACTGGGTTGCACAGATGATTCTCACGCAGCAAGACGTCAAGCGCAGAGTTATTGTCATCAAGCACTTTGTCAATGTGGCAGATGTAAGGCAACTAACGGATTTGTTTGAAAATAGTGGCTAACACAATCCAGAAATGTCGCCAACTGAACAACTTCTCCACACTAACCTCTATCATTTCAGCACTAGGAACTGCACCCATTCATCGCTTGAACAGGACCTGGAGCGCTGTTAACCAACGCTCCATGGCAACCTTGGAGAGCATGCGTAAGCTCATGGGTAGTACCAAAAACTTCGCAGAATACCGAGACACGCTACATCGGGCGAATCCACCCTGTATACCCTTCTTTGGTATGTAGCTTTAGATCAAAACTTCTGCATCAACCAGCTAACCTGTCTAACTAGGTGTTTATCTCACTGATCTGACCTTTATTGAAGATGGTATTCCCTCTCTGATTAAACGTACAAACCTTATCAACTTCGCAAAGCGCGCCAAGACAGCCGAAGTCATTCGCGACATCCAGCAGTATCAGAACGTGCCCTACCCACTACAACCGGTTCCCGAGCTGCAAGACTACATCCTCACCAACATGCAGTCTGCAGGCGATGTGCACGAGATGTATGAAATGAGTTTAAGCGTCGAGCCGAGGGAACGCGAGGATGAAAAGATTGCAAGGTACACTACCTATTTCTCCTTTGATCGTACAAAGACTGGACTTGAAGGATAGCAAAAGATATCAACCCGCCACGCGAGGAGCATACGATAAACAAGCGGATATGAATGCGTCTTTTGGAGAGAAGATGGGGCTAACGGCGTTTTAGGCTTCTCTCCGAGAGTGGATTCTTGTGATGAGACTGTGACAAATGACGATGATACCCCACACGAAACACTAGCATTGTTGGCTCAAAGGATTTTGGAGTACTTGAATTGTTCAAGGGCGTTTGCTATATTGATTTACCCTAACGATGGAATGAAAAGAGTTGGATCTTCGTGGAACTTTGGTTTTTGTTCTCTTCGAAACTGGCGTAGAGCGCTTCGAGCGGATGCGTATAATTTACCTCTCCGGTCTGCAGAACCGGTAAGCTCCGTCTTTCACGGCACATTACGATGGGCGATTGCGATTGGGAAAATCTTTACTCGTTATAGGCAGCGGAACGGCATCTGTTGTCGATGATGTATCCGCAGGTTTATAGCAATTCTACACCCTGTAGTGACATGTCGCTCCGTTCAATCAATCAATCACTGTGGCGTTAGTTGTTCGGATTTTGGACCCCGGATCCATACGGTATGTATTTCTAGCCGCGGTCCTCGTGTTGTAAGCTCGTGGCTAGACTGGGGCTCGTGTTTGACTATTGGGCGAGCGGCGAAGAGATGCTCGGCGCTTCTATTCTACCTCGTATCGCCGACAATCCCCTGACTCCGTGACTAGAGGCCCGATCTAACGGAGCGATTCTGGGTCTTGAAGTGACGGTGAGGAAAACACATGTTCACGATAGTTTTGTGAGTTGAGATCGTCGCTTGTGCTGCGGGTGGAAGTCGGTATACTGATATTTGTGCGTGTTAAGACTGGGGGGTTGCGCACCTGTAAGTTGTCATGACCACTCGTACCCGAGAGTTAAGACTAAGTTTATTTTCTCCCGGTGTTTAAACAAGTAGTCGAGCACATATAGTTCACGATCATCACCCAAATTTCTGCGCTTGTCCCCTAAACCACTGACCGTGGCTGCTTGCTCGTGTGACTCTCGCTGCAGAGTACGACTTGACACACTCAGTCACTGTGGGTCAGATTGCGTATCCAGAACATCGCGGAGCGCTTCGTACCCGAGTATAAATATGTCAGACTACTTTGGTGTTGGCGGATTGTTGCTCTCGTGTTCCCTCCTCGGCGGATCATCCTTTGCGGCAATTTCAATTTGGGGCAGGAAGAATATCCACCCGACGTGAGCATCGTGACCTTGAACTAGCAGACTGAGAAATGGTGCTTGCTAATGCGCGCTCACAGACCATGGCAGCTTACAGTAACATGGAACATGGTACACATCCTAAGGTTGCATGCAAACCCCGACTTCGCCTCCGCAACGATCATCAAAGCACCCAGCCCAGTGACCGGCGGCCTTATGGAAGACATGCCCCAGACTTCTATCCTTCCATGGCATCCGCATTTGCTATGCTAGTTCGGCAAGAGCAGGCCGTCTTATGAATGACCCGATTTGTCGATGCCGACCGCCGCCGGTCGAGGATCACCCTCCTATGAAACCTGAAGGAAATTACCCACAAGGGGAAATCGCCAAATGAACGACAGCCGTTGCGCAGTTAGTAGTAGCATACCCCAGCTTTTCATGTTTCTTGCCTGTCAGAAGACACGCGCGCACGGTGCGGTGTGCAACCGACGGTGCTTATGACATAATGCCGAGGGGGTGACAATGCTCGTCGGGACTTGGGTCCACGTATGAAGTTGGTAAGAGAGAGCTTGGGCGGGTTGTTGCTTTCACTGGGCCTTGGTGTTGTGGGATCCGAGGTCTGCCGGAACGGGGAATAGGGGTGTCGTGGTTGCTTGTGCGCCGGTAGTGGGTGGTTGATCAACAACAAACAAGACCAGAAGCACATTTTGTCGATCTATACCGCAAGATAGTCGTCATAAAATTGATAGACACATGCTCTTTGCCCCACGACTCCTCGCGCGGAACCGTTGGAAATGTCATCAGTGATGCGAACAAGGCCTCGTACCCCCTGCTAATCGCTAAGTTCGCTTGATAGTGGTGGGTAATTTCTTGCTGCACAATGCAGGCATCGTGCTGCCCTGTAATCAGGCGCGCACGGAAACGGTGCGGTAGGGGCGTTTTCTTCGCCCTGCGATACGTTCGCTATTTCCCGAGGTATGTCACTAAGAGCGGAAAAGATTTCAAAGGATGCAGAGGATGCATGGCGCTCGTGAGCTGTTACTCGTCTAAGACGCCCGCAGCATTTAGCATGTGGCATCTGGAACGGGAGATTTTGCGACAAACATGGCAGGTTTAAGAGAGGAGCAATATTGCGCAAGCCTTGGGATGATGAAGAGATGTGTTGGGCGCAATCTCGATCGTGACTGGGTAGAGACAAGGGAATAGCCAATCAAGGAGGTCGAGGTAGTGCGACGGCTGTGGTGGACGCCGACCAGTAGATGCACATTCCTGCTCCGAGCCTCTGAGGGGTTCGAGGGATAGTGCATGTGTTATCGCGCCTCTCAGCGTGGGTGACAGGAGCGGATACAGCTGGGCACAAAGGGAAACACGAATGAGGTCTCGTGGAGAGGGTCCTTATCACCCGCCGCCGCCAGCCTTGTCGTAGCAGTAGCTCCCTGAATGCTTCCTACTCAGCCACCCTCTCCCAGCCAAAGTCGATACTGTCCAGCTGATGAAAGTTCGTTCCTGCATACAATACGCCGCTGCTATTGACAGTTGGCCTTGGAGTAGCGGCGCCGGGCCTGCGCTACTCGTCTTAGCCCGGACTTGGTCACTTCTGGCGACCCACAAAGTTACCTCGTACACGTTATTTCGGTGGCATTAACGGTCGATCCCTGAGGAAAATAGCGGAGGCGCCCAGGTCCCAAGCTCGACGTGGGTGGTTCCTGCGTCCGTAATTGCACTGCTTTAGGCGGACATGCCGGACTTTGCCATTCTGCACGAGAGAGGCCCAGCAGTTCATCATCAGCCTTTGCGCTGCCTGCCATCTTGTCGTCCGACCTCTTTTACTTTTGGCCGGCCTCATTACAACCACCCCTCTGCTCGCCTCGCACGCTCTCCAGCTATTTTCTTATTTGTTCAACAGAAGGGTTTCACCCTTTACAGTCACTCGCTTTAATAAACTAATTCCCACGATGTTCTCTCGCGGTACTTGGGGGGCCTCGCCCTGGGTGTTATTACTCGCCATGGCCCGCTTTTGTAAGTAGACTCCTCGCTTGCGATCGCAGAAGCAGTCCTCAACAGGCTCTCGTGCTGACCCGTCATCTTCAATTAGCCAACGCTGCTTGCGAATGTGGTTATTCGGTTAATGCTACAACCGACCCTTCCTATGCCGTCTTCACCGAGCTCATGGAGAATGACTTTCTACATACATCGACCGACGATCTGAAAGAGGTTGGCTGGCAGCCCCAGGAATACAATGTTACCTCGAAAAATGCTAGAGGGCCATTTGGAAAGAGTATGGAGTTGACCAACATTGTTACAAACCCATTCAAGAAAGGATGGTCCGGTGAGGCTGACCACGGTGGAGACGCGGGACTCGAGTTATGGGTACGAGGAGATCACCAAGATGGTCTCGTGAGCGGTGCTGAGCTCGTCACTATGCGCAACGACTCTCTCCTTGGAAGCTTCCGTGTTGGCATGAAGCTCTCGAATTCGTCTGGAACCTGTGGCGCTTTCTTCTTTGTACGTTCCTACTCCACGTTGAACCGCGTTTCAAAGTTGGCTAACAAGCGTAGTACCACAACAACTCGCAAGAAATCGACATGGAATTCCTTTCCCATCAGTTCAACAACTCCCAAGGCGCCGTAAACCTCGTTCTCCAAAGCCCGGAATCTGTTACGCACGGTTATGCTGCTCAAGGAACGAACGGTTTCGAAGTCATGGCTCTCCCTTTCCGTCCGGATGAGATGTTCCACGAGTACCGTTTTGACTGGACACCCAACCGTGTTGCCTTCTACGTTGATGGTAAACTTCTTCACGAGATGACCGAAAATATCCCCACGGAGAGCGGCGGTATCTTCCTCAACCACTGGAGCAACGGCGACCCATCTTGGTCTGCAGGACCCCCGGATCAAGACACGGTTATGACCATCTCGTACATGAAGGCGTACTTCAACTCTACCGATACTGAGCGCTCGCAAAACGACTACAGGGACCGTTGCCCAACATATGACCCTGCGAAAGTTTGCGCCATCCCCAACCAGATGAGCCCGCCGGATCAGAGTCAGGGCGTAGACGCAGCGAAGACGTACTTCTTCTCAACAGACGGAGACGACATGACACCAGGTCAAACAACATTCACTGGCAGCGCGAGCAGCATGTTCAGCGCGTCATCGTTATCGCTCGCAATCCCATTACTCGTCACGCTACTCAGCTTAACACTGGGGTGATGAATTTCTCTGGAATACTTCTCCCACTTCTTGCCAGAAGGCCCTCGTTCTCAGAAGCTATCGACTGAGAACTTTTACGAGCATACGACTACACTTACAGCGTTCTTGGAGTAATGCGACTATTGCAGTCCAATTTTCACTTTCATTTCGACCTCTCACCGAGCTCGTCTTCGGCCACCTTTTTCTTTGATTCGGCAACATACTCATGGCGCAGCACCGCCTATAGTGTCTTCCTTTTTTTCACTTCACTTCTTGTATATACCCTTTGCACGGGACTCTGCGCAGTCAGCCCGTTTGCCTACGTCCTCTGCCCCAGTCCGGCAACGGCCTTTCCTCTACCTCGGCCCATCGTGGCAGAGATTTTTATTGTATCGGAGTGCATTCCGCCGGGTGTTATCCCAACCATCCTATCGGCCCTCATACCCCCAACTCACCATCGGCTGTCTATACGACCGCGTCGCCTGTTTTTTTGCATTGGAAAGAGAAAAGAATCGGAAGATACCATCTTAGACCATTACGCGTCAATATATCCTAGCCTACCAAAGCTACTGTTACAGAAATTACAATTATATCTCGTATTACATTCGTCTCAACTTTTTGCAATGATCCTAGTTTGCAACATGCGTACCTTGCATTCGTGCAAGCACTACTACTTACCTAGTACCGGACGTAGAATATTTCACTTCTGTTCTGTGGAGTTGACTACAGTCGCGGAGCCTCACTCCGGAAAAGTCGGAAGACTCTCCAGCGCCCCTCAGGCGGTCGGCCAACAGCGCCAATCAGACGCGCCACACAAGCCTATCGAATCTCGTGCAGTTTGTCGGGACGCGTCTGTGGTGTTATTCCCGCGACGCGCATGTCCACAAGGCGACTTCGCGATGTCCGAGAGTATAGCCAGCTAGCCAGCCAGACCGCATTATCCGACGCCATTTGCCGTAGCATCTCAGCTTACTTCCAGACCATCGACACAAGCTGAGGCCATGAGGCTGGAAACACTACCAGACACTCCTTAGGTCTGCTTAATGCAGTCCGGCTCCGCGCCAAAATCCACCTGTGGCGTCTGCCGGTGCGTTTCGGTACTTGGGTTAGCAGCAAGTTGGTAGTGTCAGTCCAGTGACGTAAAGCTGCCCTTGCAAGTCGGCGCCGTTGGACTCCGGGGCTTTGACTTCTAGTTCTAATGTTGATGGAGCGACGGTTCCTGAGGACGGTCCAGGAACTCCCGTGATAGTGGGGTACAGAGGCTATTGGCGGCAGTGGCGTGAAGATATTCTGATTCCACTGAAATATTGCTGAACAGACACAATCGCGATGTGAGTTTTGCTATTTTCTGATGTGACTTGCTGAGACCGTGGTTCCGCGGAACTTATGTCTTTTTGTCTTTCTTCGTCTGCAAGTGTTCGGGAGGGGACCCGAAGCCCACGCGCCTTCGGGAAGGCCTGCTCAGGTGTGTGCGCGACCCCCTTCCTCCAATTGTTCTCCTGCATCCTTCGTGCAGAACAAGCGTTCTGTTAGCGCCGGGCTTGCCTCTCCCGGGGAAGCAATAAAAGCTTGTTTGCATTTGGCATTGCTTAGCTTGTCGGTATGCTACTATGAACGGGGCCGTGTTGTCACGACGATCTTTATTGATAGCTTGCGTGGCGACACTACAATCCGTTCAAAGATTATGGTATGTAGTAGCACAAAATGAACACTAGCACTCTGTTTGGCCGGGTCTCTCTCCGAAGCTGGACATGCGAAGAAGCTCCTTCGTGGTCACTACGTGCAATGCACAGCCAGAACACTGCTTCGCGAGTAAGCTATTCAGATATCTTGTAGTTGAACCATTGTAAGACTTTTGTTTGATCTTGGCTTCTGGTGCTCAAGAAGACATGAAATCAGAAGCTGGTGTAGGGGGCATTATTCCACTTCATTCTCTGTAACCAGGCTATCAGTCATGACTTCGGGTGTCACTTCATCGAAATGTGGCCCATCGTACAAGAGCTACACTTTTTATCAGCTATTTCAAGAAGTTGCGGTAGATTTGGAGGTAGTTGTTGCTTACCCGCAAGGAGAGCCGCTCCTTCTTCCATGGCTCAGGGTTCAGTCGTTGCGTTTGTATCCTCGTAGTAGAACTTCAACACTGTAGCCTTTCAGTCACACACTTGCTTGGTTCCACCCTTCTTTTGGATTCAGCAGCTCTCGCACGTCTCTAGGTCCTTGACTTTTGGCTTGTTTACCTTCTACCTATCGCTTTTTCTACCGCTCATCACGATACATTTTCATTTTCAAGTGACATCCCGCCATTGCAAATATTCTCGACACGACTGTGCCGCCGGTGGATCTTTTCCTGCCTGCCTCTTGCGCCTCTAGTATAATTTGTCTCGTCCTGTCGGTCTGCTTAATACCGAGCCTGCATTTCGGTTTCAAGCTCGCACAAACGGAAACGACTCGTGGTCGGTCACTCTTTCGTCCATCTCTCAACCTCCCACAAGATGCGATTCCAGACACCCCTCGCTTTGATACTACCGGTAATGGTGAACGGTAGGCTCTTCGCCGAGTCGGAGTACCTGCAAGACTTTGAGGATGACACGACGACAAGCGCGAGCCCAGCTTCGCTGCCTACGTCGAGTCTGCCCGCTGTGACACCCACGGGCCATTCGAAAGGCATTGAGTAACCACACACTGTAAGAAACTACTACGCTAAAACAGCTACTGACACGATTTAGACTTCGTCAGGCACAGGGCATTGCTCAAGTACGTGGTGCACCACCTGATCAGCAACCGCGTGCCCCGATCATAGTGACTGTAACAGCAACTGCAAAGCCTGTCACTACTGTCAAGCCTATACCACCGCCAGCTCCCGTACCTCCGGCTCTTGTACCGTCCTTCAACGTTGCTGGGACAGCGGATGCAGATGTCACGCGCTTGGCGGTACCTACTAGTACATTCAGCAACGTGCCCTTCTACACCGTAGTATGGGCTGAGACATGGATCGGCGGAACATATTCAACCTGGTGGCCACACACCATATCCCTCGACTTCGAGCCTGCACAAACGCATGCTCCACTTCCAGGAGTAGGCGTGATCGGTATGGGCACGTTGACTGGTAGAACCGGTGTAACGCGAACCGTCGTAGTAAATTCTGCTCCTACATCAGAATTAGGTTGGTCTAAGGGTCTCGCTGCAGTCGTCGGTGTTGGCATGGCGGCAATAGTCGTATAAGATTATGGGATGAACACAAACACTTAAGGGGGATGGGTGGAAGCCCAATACTACTCTGCGGAGCGCAGATCTGGAAATACAGCATCGTCACATATGAAGCACGAACGATTCACGAGACAAGTTTACTATACGAAGTATGATAACGATTATAAGCATGGGAAGCAACATAGAAAAGTAGGCGATTGTTAATGTAAACAACTTTTAGTAACATTGCGAGAATTTTACTGATGCTGATATCAGAAGTTGCCAATGTACTTTCACTACATCACTGTTTGGTATGAAAGCGAGAACTAGGAGCAATTATCAAGGGAGAGGTTGTGTTAAAGTGTCGAGTCGGCGGAAATGTGGTGGAACTGTTTTTTCTGACCATGGATGTACAATTGGTGTTGCGTATGCCTCATGCCGTAATCCCACACTTCTGTCTATCATTCTTTACGAAACGGTTGACTGCTCCTCGGGTTTCCAAAGACTTCGTAAGGAGCTTAGTCGTTGCAGGCTGTGCGCCACTGAGCGTTCCAGGCGCTCACGTCAGAGAACTTTCCACCAGCGTTGCAGCCTTTGTCTTCGAACAGCGGCTTAACGTCCTTGCAGGATGAAGTGCAGTCACCTCTGTTGTCCTGTAATTCTAGTTAGTTTTGTCTTTCTCCTCAAAGGTCTCAGGATGCTTACCGCGATACAGCAGTGGGAACCATCCGAGTACAAGCACTGGCAGTACAAGCCGGCCTGGGTACCAACGGCCATGGTAAGAAGCAGCCCGATGACAGCTGAGAAGCGCATGTTGGCGGTAGGTTGAGAAAGTAAGGTAGATGATGATAGACTTGGTCCCAATGGATGTAGGAACTGTGATTTAACTAATCACTGAGGCTGGGCTGTCAAGGTGTTTTATAGTGTTACGACTACGTGAAAGTGTGACAACATACTCAGTCTCGGTGACACTTGTGTCAATATGTCGGTCCATAAACTCCACGACCCAAGTGTAGTAGTGCGGTAATCGCCATTGTTTCCTTGACACCCCGAGTGTTGAGCAAAATACGAGTGCGCTAGTAGAGGAAGCCATGCGATCAGCAGTGTGCTTACCACATAGAGTCAGAGTATACCTCGTATAACATCTCCACGTGTTGGGTGGGTCTGTTTGATCTTGGCTGAAAGGAGAAGCTCACCTAAGACAAGAGGGCTATTCCAAGGGGTACTCACATGAGTGACCGAGATATCGTCGAGATACTTACCGATGAGGCTTTGGATCACCACCATTGATCACAATGTGCGGTGTGTTCAGCGCGATGAGGGAAGGATGCCGAGATTGGTACCTGGTTAAGCAGGGCTTGGAAGGTCCGAGAAAGGTACACCAAAGGTCCGAAAACAGCCCCATCGACCCCAATCCGGGTTCTCGGCCATTGTACAACACCAGTTCCGAAGTTGATCCGAAGTTGATCGTAGTGAGTGTAGTCAACAGCAACACGTTAAAGTCTCAGTGGTTCCGCGTCTCTGGTAAGGACATCAACCAAATCATCGGTACCTCTTCCGCGACTCTAAAAACACTATTTCAACTACCCCTCGTCTCTTCCCAGCTTTCATAATGGTCCGCATTACCTCCGTCGCTGCGTTCATCTTCGCTTTCGCCTTTGGTGTTCAAGCTTCTCATACCTGTCAATGCTTGTTCTCTGACCGTTCGCACTGCTGCGCCAGCACCGTAAGATACTCGAAGTTATTAAGGAACTAAGGATAAAGCTGACCAGAGCTTTGCTCCTTTATAGAGTGCTTATGGTGGCGCGGAGAGATGCGAAGATGTCTGCATGAATGCTAAGCGAAACAAGGACGGCGCTGCTTGCGCTGCTGGTGGTGCATGGTCCAGCGTCAGCGCCTGGAACGTCCAGTTCCGCGAGCCATGCGAGTAAGTATCCTTTACGCCAATTGCAGTCCTATTGTTGACTCTTTGAAGGGCTGGTTCCACTAGCACCTCCTAGATGTAGAATATGGTATGTGCGCTGTGTATAGAAAGTAGAGCGGTGATGCATGTGGGTCGTTTCAGGAGTAGGGTAGGAACAAATTCCACAACCATAGACAATCTCCCATATCTTTCAATGTGCAATCATAATTGCTATAAAGTACCAACCCGATGATGGTTGCAATCGTGGAGAGTGACGCACGAAAAGATGAGAGCTTTTACTTCTACGCTGGTCTAAAGGAGTTGGTCAGCACACGTGATGTCAGCCTCGGCCCGTTGATGCGCGTAATTGACCTACCGGTGCGCGCCAACACGGATCAGCAACGTGAGGATGCAATGTGTTCTGCTTATAAGGGAGCCCTTGAGACGCCAGCTGCATTAGGGACATGAGTGCAGAAAAATGCATGTCTATCCAGATGGGTCTGGATAATGCAAGGAACGCAGCTCAACAAAGGGCGGTGGAGTGACGCCTAGAAATGTGGCGCGACATTCACGCTACTTGCAGACGATCCAGTCCCGTTTCGGTCCGAACTTTGGAGAGCTTAACGTGACGGCACGTCAACAGCAGTACTGTTGATAAGGTGATTGAGCTGAATACTTCGGATGCTCTGCTTCGTATAAAGATCCAATCCCTCAAATGGAGTCTCTGCACATCATCTAATCGAATCAACAATCTATCAGTCAGTTTAACATCAGCGAAAGCCACCTGATAGCGGAGTGCATCACCCGATAAGGAAAAACAACGAACCAAGCAGTCAGCAGCGAACGGCATACCGTTACAGGACAAGAAACATCCACACTAGTTGAATCAACAGAAGAATCAGCTTACGTGAGTTGTTCACTGCTAAGGGTAAACACTCAAAGACACACCAACTCGACGGAATTCCTCGGACACGGCTACAAATCAACCACATTTGAATTAGCCTCCAAAAAGACTCGCAAAGTAGCGAAATCAAACGACATGGCGACAGCATATTACTTCGCAGCGCACTTCAACCTGCCCGGAAACCATGCAATGAACGAGCCCTGGTTCCCAACCACTACGCTTTACAATGTGCCGCCGCTATCGCCTGTTCTGACCGGGCAAGCGGAAGCCCAGATCCAGCCTACTCTGTCAACACAACTCGCAACGACAACGACAAGAACATCAACAATGAGAAATAATGGAACAAAAAACCAATCGACTTCCATCTTTTTCCGTCTTCCAGCGGAATTACGCAATCAAATCTACGAAGAGCTCCTCTGCCCCAACACACCACATCACAAAAATCTAGCCACGTATTCTACGCCATCGAAGCCACCAGCTGTTTACCCAGCTATCCTTCAAACATGTCGCAAGATACATGAAGAAGCCCAAGATCTTCTTTACACAACACATGTCTTCCACGCCCACCGATCCCTCTTGACCGCTCTGCCACATCTGATCTGCCCAGAGAAGCCAATCTTGTCTCAATCTGGCATCGCAAAGATCAATCGCTGGCAACTTGAACTACGTCTGGATATCGATCCCCGATTTACTAGCAGTCAAGCTACGGCCGCATTCTCCGGTGCTGAGTTTTTAGAAGTGAAGGTTTGGCAGAGCATGTTTGACGGGGCTGATAACTCGCACTTGAGGCTGTTCACTGGTGTGAGAGGAGTAGGGGTTGCGAAGGTTACCGGTTGTGATGATGAGGGGTTAGCGAGGTGGTTGGAGGCGAGGATGATGATGCCGATTGAGCAGGAAGTAAAGAATGAAGGGGGCTGTTGTCAGTGTGGCAATAAGGTGGGTGGGGACATGACATGGTTTGGTGCGGCCAGAGATCCTTGGACCTTTGGAAACAGATAGAAACAAGTCGGAAAGTGTTGGGTCAAGAATAGACGGCGACACGGAAATGGTCATTTAGGTGGAGTGATTTGTGTGGTAACTTCGTCGTTGGTAGATGTCCAAATATAGAGCACTTTGAATAGAGAATCGAACAATTACTTGCTCAGGTCATGAATTTCCTACGGTTTTTCCACAGATGCCTGCTGTGACTGCTGTTCTTATTGATGGGTATCAAGGGGTTGGAGAATGTATAGTGTACAAAGGAAATCTCGCGGAAGCTCACACTTTGATCCGGGATGTTACGTCTACGTCATCTACCGCAGCTCTTCTCTCTCGTCCTCTCCGTCCTCTTCAATCCTGGCACAGGGAAACGCGCACTCCATTGTTCTTTCCCTACTTCCCCTTCCACTCTCGACCCACATGCCTGAGTTGCACCAGGCGTCAGGCCTCAGTCTCTTACTTCCGCCCTCTGTCGCCCAGCTCACGCCATTAGACTCGAAGATCAGCGCATCATCCCCATCAGTACCGTGAATGGTCAGGCTAGTGTCATCCAACAACCCCGCAATGGTGAGTACTTGCTTCGCAGAGATTTTTGTGTACGAGTTGCGCTCAGCCCGTGGTCTTGAAGAGGCGACGTCGATGGTAAGCCCATTGGTATGATCCTCCAAACTGTCAATTTGGATGTAGTTGATCTTGCCCTTGCTTGCCGATTTTGGTTTAGCAGCGGTGATGAGTTGCTTGTGGAAGAGAGTGAAGGTGCATTTATCGGCTAGAGATGTAGCGGATGTCGATAATAATGACTGTGCGTCATCGCGGGAGAGGATGCGCGGAGGTTGGGGAGGTACAACGCGGGCTGCGCATGGCGACAATGCGAGGAAGAGGACGGATGAGAGGATGGCAAAAGTATTGGTGTGCATTGTGAAGACCTGCTTGCGAATGCTTTGTATTGTTGTGTATTGGGTTTGTAGTTGTAGAAGCAGAGTTGATGACACAGTCAGTCAAGAGATGGATGACACACGGATAGCCGGATCCAAGGCCAGCTGTGTGATTCAAGTAAGATGCGCAGAAGGTGAAAGTGAATGGAGATGGTGGTAGCGCTGAACAAAGGTACCTTTGTACCTCACTGCAGGCTGTGGAGAGGTATTGTTTCAGAACAACTACGGCGGTCTACCCGCCCTTCACCCTGTCTATCGCGTTCATCACTGCTATTCTTGCTCGGCGGGCCCCGCTTGAGTACCTGATGCGGTCATGCGGCGGCTGGGTGCAAGGCTGATGCGGGGTTGCGGCGCAGACGCGTCGGATAGAGTGCTTCAGCAGGAGCCGGGCGGCAAGCATCCACACTGTGCAATGAGATGGATTCTTGAGCCGCAAGGAATGCGAAGATGTCCAAAACTCGATGTGTGCGGGCGGCGCGGGTTTCTTTGTGCTGGGCAAACTTACGTGAGGTCGGCTCGGTACAGTATGAGCTGATGCGAGGGAAATTAGGAGCGACGCGATGAGGTCACGATCGTCAGGGAAGGCAGAAGACGTTCAATCTGTGCGAAAAGATGACTGTTTGTGCTGTTGCATGTGTCATGGCGCAGGGGCAATTCGGTAGGCGTGGGGCCGAGCGTCCTGGACTCTGACGTTGAGCACACAACAAGGTGCAATTCGTCATCCCGCCTGCTTCACGACCAAACACGGTCGTTGCAATGTCGCGCCCTTGCCAGCAACGGCGCTCGAGTGCGGCTGCGAATCGCAAATCCAGGGGCTCCAAGCCAACAGGACCTCCCCCCATCAGACACAAAGCACGGCAAAAGGCGATACACAATGCTCGACACGGGCGCGGCGGAGGACGCGGCGGAGCGCGAGGTCGAGGCCGCGGCGGACAAGCAGGCAGTCGTGGCGGTCGTTTTGCACAGAAGAATGGCAGGAACGACTCGGAACAAGATTTCATCCCTCTGTCCTCTGGTGGGAACAATTTCGAGGCGCTGTACCGGTCCAGCAGACGGGACGACGACTTCGATCTGGAAGTGCATGGCGACAGCAGCGACTCGGACGAGCTCCTTGACGAGGACATGTACGACGCCCAAGACATCGCCATCAACGTACAGGCGCCACCGCCTACGATGAGTAGAGGGAGACAACCAAGAGCACAAATCATGTTTACCGAGGCCGCCGCCGTTGCCGTATACCATCACATCTATCTGCGCAACTTCCCACTGACTACGACGACGACCCGAGTGCGCTACCTCCTCTACCAGGAAGACACTTCTGCCGATTCGAGCGCATACATCTCCTTCGCGCCCTCCCCACTGTCCCGTCGATCGAGCATTAGCAGCGCCACCAGCCACGGTTCTATCAACGAACCACCAACACCCGAGTACAACCCTGCCCGCGACTACGTATGGACATTTGGAGCGCACAGCGGCAAGCGCTTCGCGGATGTTCCTGACAACTACGTTAAGACGATTGGCGGTCAGCTCTACAAGTACATAGACAAGCACGCGGGTCTCCTGGAAGCATTCGAATACCACAGGCCGGGACAAGCACGTCTTAAGCCACCACAGGCCGACCAGCCGCAGATCCAACCCCAACGGACCCAGCCGCAATCATCGCGGCCACAGCCACAGCCACAGCCACAGTCACAGCCATCTCAGTCACAAGCTCCTTCGGCGTCAGACACGTGGAGATTCAAAAAAGGCATTCACCAAGGAAAGCGGCTCCACGATGTCCCAGAAAATTACATACGAACGCTGGAGAATAACCCGCTGGTTAGAAATGCCTGGCCTGGATTCAAGCAAGCAATCGAGGATTTCAATGCAAAGACTGGCAGACGGGGCCGGGTCTGATTGCACAATAGCTGCACAATAGCTGCACAATAGCTGCACAATAGCTACCGCCTGGACGCACCTTCTACGAGCGTTTGTTGATGCGGCGGTCCAAGCGGCAATTTTGGGACTCACCTTACTCACCTTTGCGGCCAACACCCTGCAACACCTCTTTGTCCGCATATCCAGATTCGTCTGACTGCGACTTCCTTGTACCATACTCTCCAATATCTGTGCTCGCGAATGCCCACAGCTGTATCACATCTCACCCCGTCATGGCGAGTCACGGAAAATGCGTGCAACCAGATTTAGAAGCATCTCAGTCCAAATCGCGACGCCATACCAAGCGAAGGAGGGCAGCGCGATCCAAGGCCGCGGGCAACACAACTGCGCAGATCGACGTGCGATACATAAAGACCCAGCCAAAGATCCAGCAGCCTACCGAGACCTCGCGAGCCAAGTCCTTTCCAGGCCAGATATCCCAATTCATTAATCTGACATTGAGTGATGAGGTGGAAGAGGGTTTCCCTACGTTTTTATCGAAATCTAAACCTCTTCAACATCAAGCCGAGGAGCAAAGCCACTCAAGGTACGCTCTGCGTAGCAAGAAGCTCGGAAACACTCGTGAACGCTTTCCAAATCCTCCCTATATGACATCTGCACGGCCATTGGCTCACACGATGGCAACGCTGGAGCAGGAGCAATCAGAGCATTCCAAATCGGCAGGACAGCACTGTCCAGAGAGAATCATAGATCAGAACGAAGGCGAAGAAAGATGGACCTTGCCACAGAAGCCACAGGTACTTACACACCGCTTTAGTAAGCGTCCGCAAAAGTGGGAACAATCGGAACAACGGGTTTGGAACGCAGAAAGAGAAGCGACGAGAGAGGAGGGGACAACGGCAAGGTCAGCCAATGACACTTGGGAGCCATCGACTTCTACAGATATTATGTTCACAATCCCAGAAGCAATGACCGCACTTGTCCGGCCCCAGCTTGCAGATAGCATCGCCTACAACCTGCCAACTGGCGCATACATTTCGTATCCCATTAAGAGGTCGTACCACCTGGGCGCCATGGGCCGGTACACCTGTCGCTCTGCATACTAGCCTTTTCTATTGCCATTCCGGTGCTGCTAAGCGCAACTCTCGTTTTAACGAACCCAGGTCAAACTATACCAAGGCCACATCCGTCTTACTTGGTTTCAGGCCGAGCATGCGCGTTGATTGGGTACGATGAGGTGGACATGTAACCTTCGCCCATTTGCCGTTCAAGAGGCGGTCTTGAGTCTGACGTCTGCATGCTTGAAGATGGCAGTATGATGGATGGACAGGGATTTGAACATGAACCTAATTTCTGGTCCGGAGTCGGATACTGTACTGTAGTCTCGCGGGCTACTACCATGGCTTTGGCATATATGCAAAACGGTCTCCCATCATGCTTTTCGATGACGAGCAAGGCCAAGCTTCAGAAAATCAACTCAAATCATACACTTCAAACGAGTGCGCACGTTTTAGCCATCTCAAAATCAGTGATCATTTGGATATGGTTCACCAACATCCCACAAGAAAGCTTATTCTGAACAAGCATGCAATCCATGTCGGCACCGAGTATAATATACCCACAATTTCCAGATGATGTTCGTAGTAGCTGTCAGCACTAGCCCCCTCGATATCGCAAGCGCACGGTTCTCCACCCGACTTCCACCAACCAAATGAGCGCAATTAAGAGACCACCCCACAAAGTTCGCCTGTAGCCTTGACGCCCTCGATGTGGGATGCGGCCTTGTATGTTATTTCTAAGCACTTTGAAATACTACTCGGTGTTTGTAAATAATGCTTGGAAATGCTGCTTTTCAATGCTTTTCAATGCTTCGAAGCTGAAGAAGTGGTGTACGAGATGTGACTATGCTGGATTTGGTGTTGAACGATAGCAGACCGGAGTAGGGAGGGCAAAGTATCGAGGCATATAAAACGGGATGCAGGTGATGTATTGATCATCAGCCAATTGTGAAGACAGCGAAGATTCGAACGACAACAACCCTTTCGGATCTTTTCTTGCAAAGCTTGTTCAACTTGAATCGCATCTGCCAACACATATTATTAACATGGATCCTAACGCCTTTACCGCACCTTTTCAGGTCACCAAGACGCTCCGCCGTGATATCTATCCGGCAATCGACCCCAAGAAACCCGAGTTGAGTGCCAAAGGCAAAACCATTCTAATTACTGGTGCTACAGGTGGACTGGGTGGTGTATGTCAAAACCATAAAGCATTATCCCACATGCTCGCTAACGTATGCTTCAGGAAGTTGCGCGAGCCTGGGCAATTGCCGGCGCAGGGGGCATCGTGCTCACAGGTCGCAATGAAGAGGGTCTCAAGGAACCGGCAGAGGCCATTGCATCGCTCAGCCCTTCTACCCGGGTGCTCTGCCTATCCGCCGACTTGACCAACGAGGCTGATGTCGAAGCGATGTTCACCAACGCTATAAACCAATTTGGTACCGTGGATGTGGTACTACACGCCGCTGGGAGCATAGGCGGGGGACCGGTGGGTGACTTGCCTCCCAATGCTTGGTTCAGCGACTACGAGGTCAACGTCAAAGGCTCTTACATCCTTGCGCACTACTACCTCAAGGCTGTAGCGGCTGGCACCCTTATCTTTGTTGGTACACTGGGTGCATCGTTCACGTTTGCTGGTATGAGCTCGTACTCTGGAAGTAAGATGGCGTTGCTCAAGCTGGCTGAGTATCTGGATGCTGGTAAGATCCAATTGATCTGAAAATCATATCGTCACTGACTCTCTAATAGAGAAACCAAATCTCCGCGTCTTCACTGTTCATCCAGGAATCGTCGCCGCAACAGAGACGCAGCGTGGTATGATCGTTGATTCGCTCACGCCCTTCGCGCTTGACAAAGGCATTCAGACAGGTGGATTGTCTTTGTATCTTGCCCAGCCTAAGGCAGATTACTTGAAGGGCTCTTTCGTCAGTGTGAACTGGGATCTTGACGAACTGGAGAAACACAAGTCGGAGATCACCGAGCAGAAGCTCCTAAGGCTTGCTTTCCTTGGTGCTAAGCTGGGAATCGAAGGCCATCCGTGGTCCAATTGACTAGAACGTATCTTATGAGGGGGTATGTGTTGGCTCCTGGGTAATTAGCGCAACCTGCTACGAGCAGAGAGCGAACAAATCAAGGCGCTATCCACCCAACCCTCGCCATTGGCCAGCTTATGTATGCTTTATGTTCGATAGGTAGCGCTTCGTAGATGCCACTCATAACATGATATGTCCACCCTTTCATATACCAGAATTTTTCCAAGTCGTGCATGAGGACGACAAAGTGAGCGTAGACGATGAGCGGCAGCGGGTCGCATCGTTGAAGTCGGTCGAGAAAGTCTTCGCTCATGCGATAGAGCCACCCAAAAGCGACATGATATTCTCCATCTTTGCCACCGTAACGATTGGAGTACATCTCCTGCAAGACCTCAACGCTGTCCACGTTGTCATCACGGTCAGCGGGCTCGGAGACGAACTCAACATGCTCTTTCAGCTCCTTTAACTGCTTTTCGTACTCGAATGGCCCGTCCCAGGGTGGTAGAAGTCGACCTTTGCCACGAGTATTTGGCCCATGCGTCTTAGAGAAATGGTCTCTCGGGAGCGAAGTCAGTGTTGTACGGATTCCACGAAACATGACCAGCCAGTCCGATCTTCCATGCTTGCCAAAAGCAAGGTACTCACCAGCCTGCGGTCCTCTTGCCCAGCTGACAAAGCAGATCATCTGAACAGATTGAAGGACCGCGTCACAGTTATCAGGACTGAGGCTGGCTATCTCTGGAGTAACGAGTGCGAGCGCTCGCTCGTAGTGGTAATCTGCAGTGGCGGTGTAGTATTCTTTGCGGTTTGGGCGACAAACGGCGAGATGAAGAGCCGTAAACGCAAATATGAGGTGCAATACGTGCTGGTTTTTCATCGCGACTTCTTCGGTTAAAGCTTGTACACGAGCCACGCCAGCAGGCCATGCTGAGAATGAGTGACATGTCGTCGTTGCCCAGTGGTATGTGAGTTCAATTTCAGATATCGGAAGGTCACCTGGCTCTCTTGGATCCGCAAGTCCTGATACGGCAGCGGAGATCGCGGGATTGGCGGGATATTCGCAGCGAGCTTGCCTTCGTTTACAGTTGGCACAAGATGGCTTGCCCTCGTCACACTAAGCATGTTGTTAGCACGTTGAGCATGACGTCCAACTTAACCCCACGTCCAATACATGTTCGCCATGTTGTATACATGCTCTGGAATTTCTCTCGCTTCTCGAGAAGAGTGTCGCGAATGATTGCGGCCAGCACATAATATACGTACCTTGATGCGACGTGACTTGCAATTTACGCATCCAGCCCGTGACTTGCGATGAGACTTCCTTGTTATCTTCGATCGTCTTGACGTGCCCCTTCCACTGTGGTCGGACGGAGAAGGCTCGCGTGAAGTCAAAAGGGACGCTCCCCTCGAGTCCGATGTGGCCTCCGTGAGTGGCGAGTCTTGCTGCATGTCTATGGTGCCGTCGCGTCGAAGACGTTGAGGCATCGGAAGGCGTATTCTGAGCGAGGAGCGCGTATCTTAAGAGAGACAACGGCCCCAAAGAGGCTTCGGCTAGCGGCCTACATCATCGCTTCTAGCGTCCTTCTATATTGCGTCGCTGGCCGCAGCATCGCAAACATCTCCAGGGAAAGACCTCTCCGAACACTCACTGGGCCGAAGCCGCTCGACTCTCTTTCCCTTTTCAAACATCCTCTGCGTTTGTAGCTTCGCAACGAGTGTTCAGATCGCGCGTCGATCGCCCCTCATGCGACACGAATAGGCCCGGGCTCTTCTCTCCGATCGTGTTGCCAAGCCGCTAGTACTCGCATTGCTCGTGTTCTCTTTGAATACGCAGTTTCTAGGTATAGAAGTTTGGTGCACTCCTATCATGCTCCACTTAGCAGGGCTAAATCTGCAGAGAATGACATGCCGTGCTCCTATTTATGAACTGCGCCGAATCTTGCCTAGGGCCGCGTCGGCGGTTTGAGAGCACATATAACCATAACATGGCCCGCTGCTCTGATCCACACTAACCCATTCACACCACTTTCCTTGCGACTTCAATCCCTAAGCCCCCAAACCCATTCGGACGCAACACAAACCATGGGTCGACCAGGAGATATCGAAGCCGTGTACAATAAACCATCTTCATCAGTTTCATCTTCATCACCACCCTCGATACAGTCGGTACCATCCGTGCCACCACCGCCCTACTTCAAGTCACACTTCATCTCTCCATCGTCTTTCAAGTCGGCCGTAAACGAAAAGCTCGACAAGCCTGTCGTATCTCTCTTCCGTCTCAGCATCCGCATTCTCCAGTTCGTATTCGCCCTTGCCTCAGGCATATCCTATGCCATCGAACTTGGCCATACAACAAGCGATGCGAGCTCAGACTTCATATACGCACAAGTTGTGTTTGGTCTTACCCTCATAGTCTTGGTCATAGACAGCATAACAGCACGGAACTACCGTATGACCTGGGTGCCGGAGTGGATCTTGGCCATCCTATGGATCGCTTGTTTCGGCCGTTTCTACACAATTTATCTGCGTAGCGATATTGAGCAAGGATACGACAATGTGGATGAAGGACGCATGAAGAGAGCTGTGTGGTGCGACCTCATCAACGCATTACTGTGGATGGGAAGTGCCTTGTTCTCTTCATTCATGTGCTACGCTGGAATCAAAGCTGCCATCAAGGCAAAGTTGCAAAAACGGAGGCAAAGGAAGGAGGGGAAGAAGGCAGTTAGAGAGATGGGTCAGATGGAACAGGGCGTTGTCGGACGGTGACGTTGAGTAATAAGTCGGAGGCAATATAAAGAGAGAACATATAACGTTCATTACTAGTAGCGAAGGACATGCGTACTTTGGGTATCGCAAATCAATCCACTACCACTCTCACTCCCCAAACAGGACGCACTAATTAGCTAGACAAAAGTGATCAAAACATCTAAGAGGATGAGCGAACTTGCTCAACGTGGACGTTGTCATCCTTCTCGTAACCAGAAGTCATGACGTTCTTCTCAACCACCTCAATGTCGACGTGAGCAACCTCAGCCTCATCACCATCGAAGATCTTGGCGACCTCTTCAAGAGTGGGACCACGGGTCTCGACGTAGAAGACAGTGACGAAGACGAGTTCAAGGAAGATCCAGCACTAGTTGTTGTTAGTAAATGGTATTCAGAAGACCAGTCGGTGCAAAACTTACAGCGTAGATAGTGTAGAGCTTCCAAGTGGGGTGAAGATGGTCGAATCCCAAGGGGTTGACGTATTGGTTGATAGTCAGAGCAACTTGGATGAACAAGTTCATAATCATCAGACCCTTCGCACGGATCTTGAAGGGCAAGATCTCAACTGTGTAGGCGACGAGCAGACCAGACCAAGCCAACGCGTAAGCAACAGAGAAGATCCAGATCATGGCAATGACAGCCTGACCAGCAGCCTTGCTCTTAGTAGCCTCTTGCTGCGACGAAGCAATCGTCCAGACGATGAAGGTGACGCACATGGCTGCGGTAGCGGAGATGAAGAGCGGGCGACGACCAACGCGATCAACGAGTAGAGCACAAGAGACTGAGACGATGAGAGAGAGGATAGTAAGTCCACCATTGATGCCAAGCTGGGTGTCAGGGTCGGTGATACCAATGGAGTTGTAAACATCGGTAGCGTAGTAGGAGACAAGACCGTTGCCGGACCACTGAGAGAAGAGACCAAGCGATGCGAGAAGCATAAGTCTGTACCGGTTACCCTTGGTCTTGAAGAAATCAAGGTAGCTGGAAGTTTTCTGGTACTGGAACTCGAGGCGGAGGGTCTCTTTGATCTCGGCGTATTCGAACTGAACTGTAGCGTTGTTGGCATCACCGTTTGCGTGGTACTTGGCAAGGATTGCAAGGGCCTCCTCGTTCCTCTCCTTGGCGATCAACCAACGCGGAGACTCGGGGATAAACCAGATGGCGGCCAGCTGAATGATGGAAGGTGCAGCCTGAGTAAGAGCGGGAACGCGCCAGCACCAGTCACTGTCGATGCGCTTGGTACCAAAAGTCAACCAGGTGCAAACAATGGCACCAACGTTCCACAAGCAATTGTAGACCGCAGTGACACGAGCACGATGTTGAGGGTGGCAAAGTTCGGTGAGAAGTAGAGGAGAAGACAGCTGAGCTAATGAGTTTCCAAAACCCATGAGGAAACGCCCACCCATGAAGTAGTCGAGGTTCTTAGCAGCGGCCTGAATGCAAGCTGCAACGATCATGATAACGCATCCAAAAGTAATGCATGCTCGACGTCCGAAACGATCGGCAACAAAGGGAGCGACAGGAAGCGAAGCGATCGAACCGATAGAATAAAGAGCAGTCAAGAGACCAAGAGTGTCTCCCTTCGGATCGTTGAAGTAGTCGGTCCATCGGGGTAGGATACGCAGGTTGTTCAACATGGAACTGAAAAAAGAATTAGCCTTCAGTTTTAAGAGGATTGTTGCTAGATAGGCTTACCCATCGTAACCGGTAGTCGCAGAAGCGATACAGATGAAGAAGGCGTAGAAGTAGAGCTTGCGGAGACCAGCATCGGACCTCCAGTTGACCTGCTTCAGATGAGGTGCTTCAGCCTGCGCGGCTTCGACATCGGCCCTGCTCTTCGCAACGGCACCCATCTTGGGTGTGAACTTCTGGGAGAGACCCATGATATCCAACTCTTAGTCCGGAGACTGCTTGTAGAATCGAAACAACGAAGGAGTGTGTGTAGGTTGGTCTTGAAACGCACAACCGTACACTGTCCTGAGCAGCAGGGTATATAAGCTCTTGACTTGTCAGGTTGGGCTGATTGCAGCTGAGCCTGGATAGATTGAACATGTTGGTGCTTCATATATATGCCTCCCAGCCTGCGAGGTACTATGCTCGCATAGGCTCTTGGCTCCAGAACTGCGTTCTAGCGGACCGGTTAAATGCGTCTGGGGAATTGTGTGGCTCTCTACGCGGATGAACCGCCGTATGGGGTAGAGTGGGCGGCAGATGGCCCAAAACGGTGGGGTCAAGGGTAGCATGCCCAGACCACAAGCTTCGTCTTTACAATGAACGGGTCGCCTTACTACCAGTGTCAAGTCGGCCTCGGCGTGCGGGACGGCCAGCCGTCAAGAACAACAAGAAGCCTAAGCATTGAGGCTCTCTCAGCAACAGCCATCTCGTAATGAGAATGTTGGTTCTGGCTGAATCAGCCCCGGAGGCATACGTTCGGTGCCACAAGGCCCGTCAGCCCGATATGCCTCCGGAGGCTCGAGGACAAGCCTTCCAAGCTGGCAATCTTAAGACTCGGCCATACAACCTTCTCGAAGGTTGTGATCAGCTGCGAAAGCGTCGCATGCTACGGTAGAATAGATTAACCAGCCTCTAAAGCTCACGACTCCAGAGACCGAGAACGTGGGTCTGACGACCGCTTTTTCAGGGTCTCCCATGAAGATTGGGGCTAGTCTGGGGAATATGCCAGAGCACGCGGTGCCCAGGTGATGAGGCGTGGCTGGCGGAAACAAGGAGCCGCTCTTCCCCCAGCTTGCTAACTCGGTGCCACCCGAACACGTGAACGCAGACAAGCATGGGCTAGCGCCTAACGGTAAAGAGCTTCATCTATCATGCAAACTAACCCATTATTTTGCTTTATTCCCACCGCGGAAAACTCCACATCTGCAACGCAGTATCCCGCTTTTCTTGTTGCGCCATCAGCGCCTTGAGCCGTTCCCCAGAGATTTCCCCAGAGATCAACAACTCAAGCGTCTCGAGGAGACTTCACACAACATGTCGCAAATGCTTCACCATATCTATCCATCCCATCCTACTCTCGTATTGCTTGTTAGTATGTGCTGCAGCAGGGTGATCCTTGGCTAGCATCCTGTCGATATGATTCGGCCACCGTATGGACGGGCGGTCTCGCTGACACCTGGTCGATGTCTGCAAGCCTCCAACGGGTGGCTGGTTCTTTTCTCCATGCTAATTTCTCGACTACCACGCTCCAGTCCTCGATCAGCGGAATAAGTATAGGGCGGATGAGATCTAAGCATCCCGTCGCGCCTTTTGCACTGGCCAAATCGTAACAATCAGTTGGGTGCATTGCTAACCGCTCACCATAGCGCTGAATGCCATGGATTCCTACGCTGGATGCTCTGGCCGCTGTGCCCCCCCCCCCCCCCNCCCCTTTGGATCCTGCAGGAAGCCTGCATACGCGGGTGGTGCGGCAATTGCTTCCCCAATGCTTGTTCGCAACCCCGAACAGGCATGCAGCAGGCCTGGCTCCTCCTGCATGCCGTGTCTGCCCACACCCAAGCAATCTTTGCCTGTGTTGGCAGTCTGTCCTATCGAAAAGTCGAATCTGAGTGCTTCCAAAGCAAGCCACGCCCAACACACCCTCAAAATTTGTGGGTCGTGTACATTGAGGGCGCCTGATAGTCGCGCAGCTGCATCGCTTCGTCTTGCGGATTGACCAGTATCGCGAGATGGGCAGGGTACTCTGGCTTGACTGACCCAAACAAAACAGCGTAGAGTTAGCCCGAGTATCCACAGCAACCACCAACACTGACCTTTACGGTCTCGCATCCAGCCTGATGGGTCACCAGAGCTTGGAAGCTCCGTTTATAGTAGTCACGACAAGGTATTGTACGGATGCTAGTTTAGTGTATACCGACTCCGATCAGTCGCAGCCATACATTGGGATCCCACGCTCGGACCGTCATGATTATCGGCATGTCCAGCCGTTTCTTCTCTCATGGGGAAAAAGTCTGTGGACGACAATTCGAGGACGCACGAGCGTAGGATCCCCGAAGCTTCTACCCGATACCTCTTCCCGTTTGCCGCCGTCTGGACACCACAAGCGCCACGCCACAAAACAATACAATTGCGTTTGAGCCTCGCCACCGGGGTATTAGGCTAAATGAATTCTTATCACGAGTCGGTGGCTGCTCTAATTATGTCACTTGGTAAGGACGTCTAAAGAGAGAGCCAGTCAGTTGAGTAGCGCCTATTCAAGGTGTGATGGTTCATCGCATGTCGTGGCGATCAGGAACACTTACACTATGGTTGGTCAAATGCCAGGTTGATCATGGCGTTGTCCTGCGTACACGATTCTGATTCACATAGTTCACCCATTTGTGTTCCTTCTGGTTGACTTGATAATAGGCGCCTGAGACGTTTGCCTGAAGTCTAGATGCAAGGCGAGAATCATCTGACTCCAACAACGGCCACCCTCCGATCCTTTACTGTATCCTCTCATCGACGCGTGACAAAAGCAAGATAGATACAATCTTGAGCATAATTTGCTGATCAGCAACGTCCTGTGGCTCCACTTTGTCGATCAAGGGAATACGCTTAGGTACCAGGCGCTTCAAGTGGCTGTATCATGCGATTTTGTGCGCATCAGCTGATGCTACTCCTTCGCGTGTACTGACATTTCGTTCGACTTCCTAGCGTTGAGTCTGAGTTGACAGCCGTGCCAGTACTTCAGGTTATAACACAGGAGTTTTCGAAGTCCGACATGTGTCCCAGGTACTCCTTAGGTCGCCCGATAGCCTGCTTGCTGTCTCGAGTAGGAAAGAGAAGCTGCGTCATTACTAGTACGGCTATACGTCCTTTGTATAACAATACGTATAGGCTGACACTGGTACCGAGAATTGCTATCATCCCAACTCCTTTCTTTCGTTCTGTAAGCCTTGTAGCCACGTGCGCTCATCAGCGATTGAGAGAGCTTTTTCATTTGAACCAAGAAACCTGGAACTAACCAGACAGGTCTCTATGGGCTTTGTATCCAGGTCTGGCGGCAGTGTTTCAACAGGTGCATAGTTCTGAGGAGCGGAAGATGGTGCGATGCTCGTCGTGGTCAGCTAAGGTGGGTCCAATCAGGTTCCGTGGAGCTCCGCAGTGCATGGCATCATGACTACCCGCGTGCACGCGCCGTCATGCTTCGCATTGCATAGCCACAGTCGCCCAATGGGCCCTCTCACGCCCAGGACGTTACGACCACGATCAGCAAAATGTGGAGCAGCAACGGTTTGATACGAGGAAAGAAGTCTTGGGCCACGTCTGAAATCTTGGGCGTGCCACCAGAGGCCGACGCTGGATTCAACATGTCGCACTCGCTATCCAACTTGACAACAGTGTCGTCCGGTCTCTAGCCTCGTCGCACGTACTTTCGCCACCACTCAGCGCATCCGATACTGCAAACATGTTCGCAAAGACTGGGCTCCTTCTGCTGACGGCGGCGGCGGGCGTCGTGGGCGACTTCATGGTCTACACAGAGCCGCCAATCCCAACGTCGGCCATCCCAACCTTCGCCAACCCATCCGATGTATGCTGGGCCCATGCATAGCATCCGCCGCGGCCGTACTGACAACTACGCAGGCCTCGAGCTGGACAACCTCCGTCTTCCTCAACGCGCAGATAGCTTACGGCCGCTTCACAGGCTCACTCGGCGAGCCCTATCAATCCTCCCTTACATCCGCCCGCTCCGAAATCGACGCCTTCGTCCGAACCGCCACAAATTACAGCATCCCCGCCGAGGTCACCATGGCTGACGAGGTTCGTTGTCATGGCACGACATGCATGTGAGACATGGACTGACTTTGCATCTCTGCATCTGCAGACGCCCACCTACTTCTCAAGGCCAGATTGGTACACAGCCCTGCCCAGTGCGGCCAGGTCCTTCAAGGAACAGCAGGTCAGCGACCAGTTCAGCATCGTGAGGAGCGTCATTGCCGCGAGGGCTCCTACTTCCACGACGGGCTCTGAGGGAGCCGCCATGCCCACTGCACTTGCTGGACAGTGGCTCCCGGCCGAGTTTGGCGTCATGGCGGCTGCGGCTGCGGCTGCCTTTTTGTGAGGTACCATCAGATCATAGTCTACATAATACAACCCAAGCCATCACCACCGTAAGTAGGCCAGGACAAGTAATATACTCGCGCATCAAGCCAGGTCCGAATAACCCCACCCAATCCTACATGAATAACACCAATGGCACGCGTCGCTGTACGTATCTCGTATCCACCAAGCGTCGCCTATTCTTGGCGACCATCGTGTGCCTGACTTAACACCAAGATTGCTATAAGAAACTTTGTTACAAGAACCGGAATTGGGTCACTCATGAACCAACAGACATCTTGTCTACGAAAATGTCAAATTATGATCAAGCCCACTCTTTTCCTGTCTGCGTTCATCCCATCCCTCAAAACTACCCTACAATCTGCGCCTATGAGCGCCGCCATTCCAACTCCTCGAACTGCAAGCATGCTGTGGTCTTCATCGGTGGACTAGGTAGTGGTCCGCATACGACGCATTACCTTGGCGCCTTGAATGCCATGTTGGAATGTGCTAGTCAGAGTAGCACGGATAACGTCAAGTACAATCTGTGGGAGTTGAGAATGAGGTCTAGTTATACCGCGTTTGGCTATGGAAGTCTTAAAGAGGATGGCGAAGATATTGCGAGTCTGGTGGGACATCTCAAGGAAATCGGAGTGGAGAAAATCGTTCTGGTGGGCAGCTCAAGTGGTAAGATGGTTCATGTCCAGCCTCCTTTTCTCTTCCCTTGAAATTACCAAACTCCGCTGACATGCCCAAAGGCTGTCAAGCTATCATGACTTATGCCAGTACTGAGCCGGCGCCACCTCCAGTCGACGGCTATATCATGCAAGCCCCAACTTCAGATCGCGAAACAGCAGGATTACTCATGCCACAGGAACTGCTTTCCGCTAGTCTCGAATACGCTGGAGATCTTGTTGCTAAAGGCAAGGAGAAGACCATCATGCCAGCCTCCTTCATCCCATCTATCATCACCTCGCCTGTGACGGCATACCGCTGGTACTCCTTAGCCTCCGTTGGCGGCGATGACGACTTCTTTTCGTCTGATCTACCGACCTCAGCTCTTCAGTTTACCTTTGGCAGACTGGACAAACCAATGTTAATCTTGATGTCTGAGAAGGACGAGATGGTTCCGCTTACGGTGGGTAAGGAGTTGTTGCTGGGGAGATGGGTCAAAGCCATCCCAGAGGGCTTGACGAGTGAGCAATCACAGATTATTACCACCGCTGACCACGAGCTTCGCGAGGAAAGAGTAGCTAGCTATTTCGTAGGGCTGGTTGTTGAATTCCTAAAGGAGCTCAACAAGGAACCCGCTGGAGCGCCCTTGAAGGTCTGCCAACCATGTATTTGAGAATTCACATTGTTCACATCAGAAGCGTATACAAAATTTGTAAGCCTATGCGTCAGCCCTCCGTTGCTCTACTCGCAACATCTCTCCTCGCCAAAGTCACCGCACTACTCATCCTCTTCACCCCTGTCCCCCATGGGCGGTAAGAATGACGTCAGCGGCCCCATCTGCAACCCTCCCGTGTCTGCGCATGTAGCATATAGAAACCCCGCTATGTCATGCGTCTATTTTCCAGTTTTCTGGTTCATGATATATTCCCGTTTCAAATCCTAATGTGTAATTCAGTATTCTTTGCTTTTTGAACAGTACCCAAATTCAGCTCCAACAACCACACCATCGCGCGCTACTACAAGTCTACAAAATGGGTATCCCCTATTCCCGCCAAATCAACGCCGCCTTCGAACAAGTTACACCCCTCGTAGCTGCAGGTTTCAAAGTCCTCCGTACAACACGCGACATCTCCATTCTACTCGCTGTTATTCAGGTCTTGACTGTTTTCTTACTGGGACTTATTCTCATCGCGCTCGTTGTCCTTCTGTATTGCGTGAATCCAGATTTGGAGGTTCGCTTACACCTTGACGATGCTTGTAACACTCCGTTCGATACTGATGTCTACCAGGAAGAAAGGCAAGCTATCATAACGCCTTGGTTGCGGTACTTTGCTGGTATAACGCTTTGGTCGGTATTGAGAACTCTTCTCTCCCTTCTAGCGGTAGCAGGGCTTGCGGGGGCAGCGACATGGCACTTTTTCTTGGCGAAACAATGGGTCGAGGATGTGGAGTATGAGGGCAATGTCGATGCTGATAAGGCGCTGGAGGATCTAGATGATGATGCTCAGGCTGAAAGCGGTGGGAATGGTGGAGACAATGGAAAGGGAAAAGGGAAGAAGTGAGAAGAATGTAGTCATTGGAGGCAGAGGAAGATGGCGCCGACCATAACTACTAGCACAATTCATTACCGTTACCGAACCAGCAAGTCCTACAACAAACAAAATAGAACTTGCCAGTCATCTGACGTCGTAAGAACACTACTATTACAACAATCTCTGCCTTGGACTATACCCCTCCCAATCAAGCAAGAGTAACGCAAACATACCACCCATAACCGGCCTAGCCTTGAAATCAATTCCATCCGGCTGTTTTCCATCATCTGCCTCGTAAAGATCGCTAAAGGCATGCGAACTGGTCGTCTCGCGCACCCACTTCGCCAGTTTCCCAATGAACATGTCGCGCGTTTCTTGGCTCGCGATGGCAGCGCAAAAGACCTCCCAGTCAGACTTGGTGTAGCCATGCCGTGTATCAAGGGGAACGCCATAGTTTTCGCTGATGGTCGGGTAGAAGGCTGATTGAATGTCGTAGATCTCCTGGGGAACGAGAGTGAGATTCAGCAGGCGGTCGTTGTAGAGGTTGTACAGCAGGCCATGGGTGTCCTCGTTGCCGTAGTTCAGGATGGCGTGCGGAGGAGTGGCGTTCTTGTTCATACCCAGGTCTACCCATTTGGTAATGTAATCGTGGGCTACGGCGGTATAATTTTCCGCGTCATCGGTCTCGCCGACGATGCGCGATAGTTGCGACATGGCTTCGAGTCCAATGATGCCTTTTAGTGCGAGATTGGTTTGATTAGGCAGATTACCAGCGAAATCGTCGGTGGAAAGCTGCAGGGCTGGGTAGAGACTGTCATCGACGAGGTATTGAGCCCACTGTTTGAGGATGGGGTAATGTTCCTTGATGTAGTCGGAATCGCCGGACAGCTGAACGTACGCAAGCATCATGATCACATTGTTACCGCATTCCTCTAGTGGCATAGGCTCATCAGCACCGTCTGGATGTCCTGTAGCATTGGGATAGTGCGTTCCCAAATCGTGGATAGCGGATTTCTTTGGGTAGTGCCCACTTTCTTGGTTCTCAAAGTGTGGATCGAGCATCAACTTGACCAACTCGGGGTTGGTGTAGAAGAAGATCGGAGAAGCGGGATATATGACGTCGATGGTCTGAGTATTGCCGTTAGACGAGATTTCTTTGAGGAACAAGTAGTGCTTCTTCTCAGTTCCAACGAGTTGAGTAGCCCCGAATGCCTGGCGAGCAGCCAGTGTGGTAAGTACGGCATAGTCATCTCCTGCTATCGTCTTAGAATCCTTCGAAATCTTATCATCGAGTTCAGTGGAGAGTTCGCTAGACTCATTGTAATCGTTGTAGAAGAAAGACAACGCAGAGATATCATCTCCAAAGTAATCCCTCCATAATGATGGTAGAATCACAAGGCCGTCCGCACCCAGAAACTGAATGGCGTCGTCCTGACATAGACCGATCGTGAATAACTGTGACTTCACGTCTGAACCAACGGAACCCATAGCTAGGGCGTATCCAAACACAGGCCAGCCGGTGTTAATGGGTCGGAACTCTGGGTCTTCCCCATTGTCAAGTCTTCCGTCGTTGTCAAAGGCATCGCGGACTTCAGAGTCTGCGCCCGACTTGTGCGTAAGACCTTCCACTGTTTTAGTGGAATAATACCAGTTACCCCATTGTGCTTGGTCGTTGTGCTCGTTGAAGACTTGTTGGTCTTGCTTCCAGACCTTGTGGTAGTTGACGCCATCCGACGTAGTACCAAAGCCCCATTCAGCTACGGCAGTGAGATCTCCAGACACCCATTCTGACTCGGTTTAGCGCACACACATACATAGGGATAAGCTAGATACTCACCAGCGCTGATGTCAGTGTAGATCTGCACATCATGTTCGGAATTGTCGAGGGATGAGACCTCGACGTCCATGTAGGAGAAAATCAGTGATTGACGCTTGTAGTCGTTGGGAGTAATTGGCGACAAGAACGTGACCTTGAGTTGAATCTTGTCGTCGGCAGTAAGGGTAAAGATACTCCTGGTCGACGTGTACTCGTATGACGTTTGATTAGCCAGATCGTTGTAGCCGTCCGGTGCACCCATCCAAACGAACGTGTTCCCATCGACTCGGACTAGACCAGTCCACCCCAGCGTCTGTCCACTGCTTTCTATTAGTATGTACTAAGCAAGTACCGTTGAAGGGCGACCTACGTCCAGAACGATGGCCATTGACCGGGCAAATATCCTCCATCTCCGCCATTACTGCCTGCAGGAAACCATGCGCTCAGATATGGGTTCTTTACTGCCAGAGGCAAAGACGGTGGGCGCGTCGGGGTGAACTTCGAGGCGGACTGGGCAGCAATGGTAAGGAAGAAGTTGATTAGTATGGCTAAAAAGAAGAGAAACATATTGGATGAATAAATGGTCGGGGAGTGGGTAGGGAAGAGCATTAGAGAGCTATGAGATAAAAGAATCATTTATATACACTAAGCATGGCTGCTCGTTCGTTTTTATCGCCTCGTGCTCATTGCAGCTAGTTTTCACGGATGCAGGCATCGGTGCATCGAAAGAGTTACTACCACCACTGGAGGTCGAAGCTTTCTTAAATTCTAAGATCAGCACTAACTTGATCTAGTACGCAATCGAAGGCTGCTTGCCCGTTTGTATTGTATCGTGGTCACTGCAGCAGTACGCCTGACTTACATGTGGAGGCCATGCTAGACTAACTAGCAAAGGTCCGTGAGCACGAGGCTGACCGGCTCTCGAAACATCATATCAAACCTTCTGCAGATCAGTCGGCCGTAATCAGGCGACCGTTTCCATCACCCCATAGTCGTTTGGTGCAGCCTTGCCTAATTTGGCAGAGCATCCTCTGCGCGGACCTGTATGCGCTACAGGCCGGTTTGTTTCCCGAAAACTATGGGTGGCGAGGTAGAACGGTGTTGGCAGAGTTCACGATCCTCGTGACGCTTCTGCCTCGGTGTTGAAGCGCGACGAAGCACTTGTGTCCAGTAGTCGAGGGTACAAGTGACGTTGAACTCCAGGCTTGGAAGAAGCGCTACTCACGCGAGCGCACTGCTGGCATTGGATTTGTTTGGAAGAGGAAGGAGCCAAAGCATTAGCGGCGCAGCGACACATGTGGACGTCAGATACCCGAGAAGACATAGACGAGATACTACAAAGCCGTTTGTCTTGGAGCCCAGTGTATGGACACGACGGATCGGATGGGGTGTCGTACTGCGGGGAAGGCTTGCAGATCCGGAAAGTGCCATCGACATGCTTGCAGCTTATGTTTTTGGGGGCACACCCGCCGCAAATCAGTAGCACGAAAACCAGGACTACAGATTTTTGGGTAGCATTGCCACGTTGTTTATATTAAGTGTCAAGTCCCATGTGAGCAACACGATCATGAGGGCACACATGGCTTATGAGTAGTGATAATTCATTGTAGATGCTCATCAAAATATGAGGTCGCATAAGCCGCTAGTTGTCGCCTGCAGGCATGACAAATGCTAGGATCCATGGTAAGGACCACGCGCATCAGGGGGCCAAATAGAGTACAATGTATCGTGAGACTGGCTGGCCTCTCGTGAAGAAGAACGCCAGCAAAAGTAGGATCGTGAGTGGAAGAACAGCGTAGGGTATCCAAAAGCCAACGGAAGTGACCGAATCGCAAAATGCCCGATGATAAGAGAAACCCAAGGGCGAAATATAAGCAAGGAAAAGAGACGCAATGTGAACCGGGTATCCAAGGATGTAACGCAAACCGGCGCAACCAACACCAAACGTTACTCGTACAAAATATAATCATCGCTTCATGACTCAGCGACCCAAGGGCGAACCACATGCTCGAAGCGTTGCTCGCATTCGCGCAGCCACGCGCACTCCAAAATGTCATGGACATTCCAGCGCTTTTCAACATCGACCTCGAGACAGCCCCTGACAAGTGCGAGGGCGTCGTCGATGTTGCTTACTTGGGCTGCCTCTGCATTACGGACGAGCTCCGCATCCCACTCGCAATTTCGGATCTTCTCGATCGTCTTGATGTCCAGACCGTCATTGAAAGGTAGAGTCGCGGTAAGTAGAGCGAACACAACTACACCAAACGCCCAAATGTCCGCCGCAGGGGAGAAGACTGGCCCAGTTGCGTTGAACAGCTCAGGAGCCGCATATTGCAGACTGCCGGCGATAGACGTGCTAGTCTCTGCGGGGCCTATGTTCTGATTTTCACCAATCGAGTGGGGCTCGGGGCCGTCACGCTGGTCGCTAACAATAAAGTCTGCCATGCCGAAATCGCAAAGCAGAAGATCGCCGCCGTCCCTCTCAGCATCAGCTACCGTCATATCAAGAAGGCAGTTCTCGAGCTTGATGTCGCGGTGTACGACCTGAACGTCGTTGTGCAGGTAGCGCATAGCCGATGCTAGCTGGTACGCGTAGCGCTTCACCAAGTGAGCTGGCAGACCATTCTTCTTGAGGCGGCGTGTGTCGCGGATCAAGTCGAAAAGAGTTCCACCCTTATTCAATCTAGTGATGCAGAAGGTAGCGTAGTCGGTGGTGTAAACCCTCAGGAGAGGAAGAATATAAGGGTGACGCAGGAAGCGCCAGATCTCCACCTCGTGATCGAATTGTGTCTGAATTTGTTCGTTCTCAAGTTCTGATTTGTCCTGTTGCAACTTGCGCACAATCTTGACAGCATCGGTGACAGGCTTCCCATTCTCCATGCTTGTGACCTCCTTGACAACGCTAAAGCCGCCATAGCCAATCTGCTTTCCAATAATGTACTCGCTGTCGTACCCGATGCCTTGGCCTTCATCATCTGGCTCAGGTGCTTTGATAGGGGCCTCGGTGGCTTTGTAGCGCGCCAGGAAGGAGGCAGCCGGCGACATGGACGAAAGTGACCGACCAGAGCGGGCAGAGGATCGACGACTAGCCCTCTTGAGGCTGCCGTCTTCGCCAATCTCCGATCTCCAGCTCTTGGTCCGAGGTGGGCCCACGCGCCGAGGGGAGGGCGAGAATAGCGGGAACTCCATAGGGGACGTGGCGGGCATTGGCGAAAGCATGTACTCGGAGGGCGTCTCGAGGGGAGTTTGGGCCTCGTCTAACGGCGGCGAAGCGGTGGCATCAGAAGTCAAGGATGCGACCTGATCGCGGTACTCGGAGTCGTGGGCAAGGTCGTCGACGGTGGTTTGGGCAAGGGGGTACCGGGGCTCTCCAACGCGGTACTGCATGTTTCTACGCATGGTGTAGGGCATTTCCATGTAGTCTTGCTGTGAGCCATCTGAGTAGCTTCCACTCTCGGTCGTGCGTGAATGCGACTGCCGTGAAGACTTGGGCACGGGCACCCCTAGGCCAACGCCCTCTCCCGTGTCGAGCCGAACCTCATTGTTGAAACTAATGCTCGTCTTGCGTTGCCTGAATTTGGCTACGAAGTCCTCGTCGCTTCCGCTGCTGCCCACTGCGAGGGACCCCTCATCGTCGGATTCAGTGCGCGAGTGGGCGCCATGGTGGTCACGCTTGTTGTAGGGACCGCGCGAGATGTTCAGCGGTTCTGCAGCAGCAAATCCGGCAGTTAGCTGGGACTGGCCATGGTGGTTGTGCGGGGACTGTTTACGGGCTAGAGGCGCGAAAGATGCAAAGGTTGAGGCGATGGGTTTATGGGGCGTCGAAGTGTCGAGTTTGAGCTTCTGGAAAGTGTGTGAGGGTTCTGAAATTGGGGCCATTAAACCGGTTCACAGTGGTGCAAACCTCTTCTTACAGCGGCGACCGGGTGTATTAATGTGTGCGGCGATCGTGGGGTGAGGGTCGCGCGGCGAAGGGCGAAACCGGGAAGTAAAGTAATAAGATTATGTTCGGGCTTGGAGACAGCGGAGTGCTAGCGGAACGTTGAAATTGCAGGCGCGCCGAGCAGCGGTATGCCTGGAAAGATTTCTCGCAGCGGCAATCACTTGATGGATCTGGGGTGCAAAGAATTGGGATGAGAGGGGGCGGGTGCGAGAAGGAGTGTAATGTTCTTTGTTTGAATATTGCTTCTCGTTGCTCAATTTCCGGCCTCCCCCACGCACTTTGTTAATAGGCGGCAGTCAGCGGAGGCGCGGGCGCAGAGGCACGTGAGCGACCGGACCAAGCCATGCAACACGTCTGCACCTATAGGACGCGTTCCCAGGGTAATCTGCTGCTTTTGAGCATAGCGAGTGGGTGCGTGGTGAAGGCTCTGGGCAGTCTAACGTGGTAGGTGTGCTGGACGATCCATGGTAAAGCAGATAGCCAAGCAGCCGTCGTCGGATAGTGACGCTCAAGGGAAGGAGACGAGTAGGGCTACCCCGCGCGGAGGTGCTAGACTGCTAGGCATGCTTTATAATAATTGTACTGATGAAGGGCTTTGCAGAGTCGTGGTGATGGCAGCAGCAGGCGTGGGGCGCGTCAGGCAGATGCTGCATGGCCGAAAAGCGGCCCGCTCGACCGTACATGACGCCGGGCGTTGCAAAGGCGAATAGCGAAGCATGAGGACCATAATTGTGAGCTGTCCGGCGCATTGTTGGTTGTACACGTCAAACGGCCGAAACATGACGTCGACGCCGCGATGGAGCTCAACGCGGTTGGCTCACGACGGCGACAAGTAAGAGACATGTTCCAGGGTCCCTGTTCCTCGCAGCTGGACCCTTTGAAGTTGCTCCGGCGTGGTGGATTAATGATACTAACCTTGACGATACTAAGCCTGAAAGCGTGGAATGGGGCAGAGATACACGGGTGACGCGGTTCTGTAGGCTGCGGGCACGGCAGCATTGAGACGTGGCTGAGATGGCAGACTGCGCATACTGCACCGCAAAGTCTGCTGTCGCGTCCACGTCGCCGCATGCAGCGACAAGCTCGTCCAAGCTCGTGGAGCGGCCAAGTACTTTGTTGCTGTGCATGCTGCATGTCAAATCTCGTTTTCACGTGAAGCTGCTAGCCTCGCGCTTGTTGCACTGACTGCATGCTCGGGCGACGCTGCCGCCCGCTACTGCTAGCTAGCACACCTCCAAGTTCCCTTTGCCAAGCTCTCTTCACTACCCTGGGGCGGGTGACAACATCACCAAGCTCATCCACCCATCGCACCGGCCCAACCCCAAACCTCTGCCCGCTGCCCGCATTCTTCGCTGCGCCACTGCATTGCGACTCTGAATCTGCAGAGCCGATAACAAGACTGATCGGCCGGACCGCGAACGTCTGCGCCTCCAGCCATGGGCATCTCCGACGTCTGCTACCGTTTCTTCTGCTGCGGCGGTCAGTCGACTCAAATCTCTGGCATTGGAGCTTTACTGACGAATCATCTCCAGGCCGCTCAAGAGACAGCATATATGACCCGGTGTTGGCAGACAGCGAACGGGAAGCTGTCGCCGACCTGCTGGGCTTCCTCGAGAACGTACTGCTTCCCACCGCCTCTCCGCAGCCATCCCGCATGCTAACTTGCGCAGCGAGCCGAAACCGACTTCTTCTCAGGCGAACCTCTCCGCGCGTTGAGTACTCTGGTATACTCGGACAACATCGACTTGCAGCGATCGGCAAGCTTGACCTTCGCCGAGATAACAGAACGAGGTACATACCTGACACTACACCATAGCACATGCAGCCTCTAACAACCTTGGACAGATGTCAGAGAGGTCGACCGAGACACCCTGGAGCCTATTCTGTTCCTGCTCCAGAATCCCGACATCGAAGTGCAGCGTGCGGCGAGCGCCGCCCTGGGCAACTTGGCGGTAAACAGTATGTTCGCACGGCACGGCTTTGAGACAGACACTAACTCCCGCAGCCGAGAACAAGGTGGCCATCGTCGCACTCGGTGGTCTTGCGCCATTGATCAAGCAGATGAACTCGCCTAATGTCGAGGTACAATGTAACGCCGTCGGGTGCATCACAAACTTGGCTACGCACGAGGACAACAAGGCAAAGATTGCACGGTCCGGCGCACTGCAGCCTCTCACACGGCTAGCCAAGTCAAAGGACATGCGCGTGCAGAGAAATGCAACCGGCGCACTGCTGAACATGACACACTCAGGTACGATGTTCGTTATCTCGACAAAGTTTGTGCTGACATGGAACCAGATGACAACCGACAACAGCTCGTAAATGCTGGCGCTATCCCCGTCCTTGTTCAGCTACTGTCTTCATCTGATGTCGATGTCCAGTACTACTGCACCACCGCCCTCAGCAACATTGCTGTCGATGCAAGCAACCGCGCCAAGCTGGCACAGACTGAAGGCAGGCTGGTTGGCTCTTTGGTACACCTTATGGAGTCGTCCTCGCCCAAGGTGCAGTGCCAGGCCGCACTTGCTCTTCGTAACCTTGCGTCGGACGAACGCTACCAGCTCGAGATTGTACGCGCTCGTGGTCTGCCTTCCCTCCTCCGCCTTCTGCAATCGTCATACCTACCGCTGATTCTATCCGCCGTCGCGTGCATACGAAACATCTCCATCCACCCCGCCAACGAGTCGCCTATCATCGAGGCTGGCTTCCTTAAGCCGTTAGTTGATTTGCTCGGCTCCACCGATAACGACGAAATCCAATGCCACGCAATCTCCACCCTGCGTAACCTTGCGGCAAGCTCAGACAAGAACAAGCAGTTGGTTTTGGAGGCGGGTGCTGTGCAGAAATGCAAGTCGCTCGTGCTCAACGTGCGACTTCCAGTGCAGTCTGAGATGACAGCTGCGATTGCCGTCCTTGCTCTGAGTGAAGAGCTCAAGCCTCACCTGCTCAACCTGGGAGTCTTCGATGTACTCATCCCACTTACCGAGTCGGAAAGCATCGAGGTTCAAGGTAACAGTGCGGCTGCTCTCGGAAACCTGTCGTCCAAGGGTAAGTCTGACTCATCGCTTGTTTGTTCAACATCCTCACTAACGAATCTAGTCGGCGATTACTCGATATTCATCCAAAACTGGACAGAACCCGCAGGCGGAATTCACGGCTATCTCCGCCGCTTCTTGGCGAGCGGAGACCCAACTTTCCAGCATATCGCTATTTGGACACTGCTACAGCTACTCGAGTCGGAAGACCAACAGCTCATGGAGCACATTGGCAAGTCGAACGAGATCATCGACATGGTCACGGACATTGCTGAGCGCAACATCGAGTCAGATGACGAAGACAATGAGGACGGCGAAGGCGAAGTCGTCACCCTCGCACGCAGATGTCTTGAGCTGCTGGGAAAGAGCCCCAAGACTCTCGTCGAGGGATAGAAAAGCGTTGGATCGCATTTTATACCCTGTTTATCGGCTGTTCATCGCGTTGACTCTCTTGCTCGTACCCACCATATTCCGGTTTTCTGTTAATGCGTTTACGTTACACTGCTTTTGGGCATCTTGAAGGCTGGCGTTCAGGGGCACAAGTATCCTCAGTATCTCTAGCGAGCATTGGCGGAGCGGGCTTTCACATACATTGGCATGCACTTAACTTACCACTACTCTTTTCCGAGCATTCGGCGTGGACGAATTTGTAATTGATAGAGTTGGATGGAGGTTTCCGTGGTCAGGAAATGAATCAAATGATGTTCGGAATCTTATTGGCACTTTGATAGTGATGTACTCGACTACTCAATGAGTCTTTAAAACTATTGCCCAGAATGTATCCTAGAGTGAGAAGTAAGAGCATACAGCCATGCCCACTCGATCTGTGGAAGATCTTAATCGAGACCCCTCACCTTGACATGTGACGTCGCGTCGGAGCTAACGAGTTTATCGATAGCCAAAATATTTGCGACTTGCGCGAGTCACCACGCACCACCATTCCACACGATCCAAACAACAGCAATGCCGCCAAAACCAAGAGGACGGGGAAGCACCCGCGCTCGCGGAAGTGGAAGAGGAGGAGCCGCAGCAGGACGAGCTACCGCTGACACGAGTGAATCCACGGATGCGATCCCGCAAAGCACAGCTCCCGCTGACGCCTCGGAAGCTCCCATTGAGCCCGTAGTACCAAAGCAAGAAGATGGCGATGCGAAGCCAGTCATTATTGGTCAAGGCCCATTGGCGACTGCAGAGCCACAGGCTTCCGAGGCGCCTTCAGCGACTGTATCGTATGCTTTGCTCCTCTATCTACCTCGACTCTGGTACTGATACGTATACAACAGTGCTGTCGCATCACCTCAGCCTGACGCAGAACCAGCAGCTCGCGCTCCAGTACAAAGGCTCGGCAGTCTTCAAGGCTCTGTACCTCCTTCACGATCAGCATCACCGTCTGTACGCGGACGCGGCGGTACAACTCGAGGCAAGAGGGGCGTCAAGACCCCCGCCTTCACAGGAAGAAGGAGCAAAGAAGAGCGAGACGCTATTGCAAAAGAACTGGCAGCTCGCGACCGAGAAAGGACAAAAGAGCAGGTTGCTGCGGACAAGAGAAGGGAAGCGGAGGCGGCAAAGGCAGCAAGGCGAGAGGCCAGCAAGCTGAAAAATGCCAGAGGTGGTTTCAGTGGAGTCGCGAGTGGACCCTTCTCCTTAGGCAGCTCTAAAGAAGGTAAGCAAGTTCGTTTGGCTATGGTTATCTGTACTGACCTTCACGACAGACAGGAAGAACAGCTCAAATCGCGGCTTCTCTGGCTTCGGATCTGGATCTGGCTCTCGAGCAGAGCGCGTCAAGAACGAGGACGGCAGTTACGGAGGGTCTGGTTCCCGGTCAGGCGGAGGTGGAGGTGGAGGAAGCGGAGGAGGGTCATCGATCAAGAGAGAGGATGGTGGGCTTGTGTCATCTGATGACGAAGACCTGGCCGACATACCGCGTAGGGATATCGATCTGATCGAAATCTCCTCAGACGAAGACGAGACTAAAGCGAAAAGTGCGCCTTCACAACGCGGGCCGCGAACAGCTTTACCCGTTCGCATTGGCAGAAAAGAACACCAGGAGCGGACTATCGGTATCAACACAGAGGCAAGCTCGGAAACTTCAGCAAAAATACTGGAACAAGCGGAATCGAGCGGCCAGGCACCAAAAAATGTTGCGTCTGAGCAAACGAGCCGGAAACCAAAGAACAAGTCAAAGGATGTAGAAATCACAGGTTCGCGGAAACAGTTCAAGGGCGTGTGGCACGACTCAGAAGACTCGGATGTTGTTGTCAAAACCGAGCCTACGAGCGAAGACGAGAACATGGTCGATGCTGAGCAGGTAGGTCTGTCCGATGCTCCTGCTCAGTCCTCAGAAAAACAAGAACCGTCGTCACCAAATGCCGAGCGGAAGCCAAAACTTAAGAAGAAGAGTATAGCAGAACCAGTGCTCCAGACTGACGAAGATCGCGCCGAATGGGCACGTTTTCAATCGAACCTACGCCATATCCGAGCCGAGTTGGGTCCAGAGGAGATGCCACAAGTCGATGGATCCGGCGACGTACCGATGACAGACGCAGCTAACACAGAGAAGAAGCCTACAGTGCGAGATAACAACGTCTATCTGTTCCAAATACCGCCCCTTATGCCAGCAGTAGAGCCCCCATCGATCAAGAAAGAAGCACCAGACCCTCAGTCTGCGTCCCTACCTACGCAGCCATCAGTTAAAACGGATCCAAAGATCAAAGTCGAGGAAGGGAGCTTTTCCGATCCCTCTGCTAGGCCCAAAGAAGGTGTTCGATTTGGGAGTGGATTGGTTGGAAAGTTGCGGGTACACGAATCTGGCCGCACAACGCTGGACTGGGGCGGTACGAGCTACGAACTCACGCCTGGCAACAAGGCCAGTTTCCTACAGGAAGTTGCTAGCCTTAATATGCGCCCCGAGAATGAGAGAGCTGCACCGGAGGACGCAGGTGAAGCAATCAGTCTTGGTAGAGTGAAGGGCAAATTCGTCGTGGTGCCAAACTGGGGCGAGATGCTCGGCTGAGATTGGGGCAGAAATAGGCGTTCATGACATGCATCTATTGGCACTAAACGGATTAATCTAGGTCCGTGGTTCATAGTTGCATATTTCAAGTGTGGTCTTCAGGTCCGCTACCAATGAACAACACGAGAACAAAGATCGAAATTCATACATTCATGCAAAAGCTAGCGTTGTGAGTGTAGACCGCATCTCGCTAAGTCTCACGCTTTGGTTCTTTCGCCTCGGCAAGACCATTTAGGCATGGATACCCATGTTCTAGACAAACAGATGTGCTGTGGGGATAACAGGGCGGGCCGCCAGTGGTCTAGGTCATTGGTACGTACGGTAGTCGTTCGGCGACGAATCCCATGGTGGCAATCAGCGAAAAGCGAATTGCCCATGACCGATCAACTCGTGCAACTACCATCTACTACAACGCCTACAACTTCGCGCATCATCACGGGTACGGACTCATCGCCGCTATTGTATGTAACAGAACCATTATACTTTTCGCGGCGCGCTTTCGGCGCCTTTCCCGCGCTGATTCCCACCTTCTCCACGCGCCGTCCAATCACAGCATCGACGACGCAGATCCGCCATGGAAGTGGACATCCGACAGCTATACGACAGCGACCCACGACCAACCTTCATCGTCGACTGCGAAGCTCAGACGACGACTATCTGTCATGTCAATACCGCCTTGCTTGCCATACCACATATTGCATCGTCGCTGCACTCGCCTTCATCGCTGAGAGACTGGTGGGATCCCGCAAGTAGGGTCGCAGCTTGCCACCAAGAGGAATTCCTGCATGGACGATATAGATGGGCCAAGTTCACTGCATGCAAGCGCTGGCTAATTGTCACCATCGTCGAACATTCAGCACCAAGCGACGAGCAGTCTGGTCGTCTGCAAGAGCCTACACAGGTGGCGCGAGGGAGATTGTCGTCGCCTCATCTGCAACCAGTGCGAGACAATATCTTTACTGTCAAGATACAGTCGCCAGAGCTACGCGAGCATGTCGAGAATATACGGAACGTCAACTGGTCTAAGACATCGCTTGGCCCGATCAGTTCTTGGAACTATGAGCTCAATGTTGTGGTCACCACTTTAATGCTAGAGACACGCCCTACAGCCCTCTTCCTTGGCCCCGAGCACACGATCTTATACAATCTCGCGTATGCCGCAGTCAGCGGCTCGAGACATCCTGCGATCCTCGGTCAGAGTATTATTGATGCCTGGTAACTTCTTACGCCTACCTATGGGAGTTTAACGTCTAATTTGCTGCAGGCCTGAACTCGCGGACCCTGTAAACGCTACAATGGCTCGCTCGGAGAGCACACGGTTTGCAGACGCCCCCGAAGAGGAGTATCATTTCATGGTCGAACGTTTCGGCTTCGTTGAGGAAGCGTTCTTCAAATGGAGCCTTGTGCCGCTTGTTGGTGTTAAAATAGACGGCATGTATTCCATCGTCACTGAGATTACGAAACAAAGGTAGGAGAGCCTGATGTTTGACATGGTGAAGCCATTGACATGACGTATGCAGATTGCTGGAACGCCGCGTTGATGCTCTACTCAGAGTTAGTCAGATGACTAGCAAAGCGAGAAGCACCAAACACTTTTGGCAGAGTTTGGCCGACGCTATCAGGCCTTACGAATACGACTTTCCAGCTGCCGTTTTATACTCTCGGTGCGAGCTTCTCGATCCGATAGACTCTGCCTCCCCACCGAAAGGGCCACTAAATGAATGTACGCTAGAATGGTCTATAGGCTACAAACCTAATCATCCGGCCATACTTCCGCATTTGGACCTGGACAGTGATCTTGGCTTAGCTCGCGCCATGCGCGATAGCGCCAGAGGTGAGACTGCACTGTCGTATCAGGAAGAGGAGGGCGTGTTGCCATCTTCCTTATACCATGACCTTGAACAGCGGGCGTTTGGGGATTCATTGAGGTGTTTTCTTGTTACTCCAGTTAGGACTTATGACGAAACTATCGTGGGATACCTTCTAATCGGCTTGAACACGCGACGACCCTACGACAACGAATACAAAGCTTGGATAAAAGTGTTCTCGAATCTGCTGGGTGCTTCAGCGGCCTCAGTAGCGCTTCATGAAGAAGAGATCCGGAAGCGCAAACGTCAAGAGGCTCAGGCCGAAAGAGACCGTGCGGCCCTTAATGCCGAAGTTGCAAACCTGACACAAGAAGCTAGTCACGTAGCTGAGAAGCTTCGCAACTTCCACGATATCGCAGATGAAGTCGGTCTAGGGTACTTTGAGATCGACATTAATGGTATACTACTACATGCTAATGTAAGGGCATTGCAGCCATCATGTCGAATAAGACTGACGATGTACCAGGAAACGTACTTCACTCAAACCGGACAACAGAGAGACCTCCTCAAAGTGCCTCCGTTCGCTTACAAGGAGTATGTCTTCGAAGGAGATATACCCATGATGGATAATCAATGGAAAATATTGGCCTCTGGTGAACCAGCGACGTTCGAGGTTCGATGGAAGAAGCAGCCAGAAAAACACCGTGATGGCGAAGAAACTATCGACAATTATCTTTGGACATTGTCAGCCTGTGTGCCGATCAAAGGCGTAAACGGAACAGTTACAGGTGTCTTCGGATGCAACACAGACATTAGTGCTCAAAAGGAGGCGACAAAAGCTGTCCTAATGCGATCGGAGGCAGAGCGACGTTTGGCCAGCTTTACGGAACTCGCGCCTGTGGGTCTATATCACCTGAATCCAGATTTAACGATGAAGTACTGCAACGACCAATGGTTTCACATCACGGACCACCCCAAAGTACCGATGGGCCAAGTGGACTGGCGAAACATAGTCGACGAGGATATGATAGACCGTTGCTATCATGACGTTGAGGTCACAAAACGCAAGCAGGGGCCGCATACTTTCACAATACATCTCAAGAAAAAGTGGACGGGGCCCGATGGTATTCAGACACCGACCTGGATTCTTGTTAGCGCTACTGCCTACACCGACGGGACCATCATGGGAACAATGACTGATGTTAGTCAGATGGCATGGGCGGAAGCTATCCAGAAGAATCGGGTTGAAGAGGCTCTTGAATCAAAGAGACAGCAGGAGAACTTCATCGACATGACGTCTCATGAGATGCGAAACCCTTTGAGCGCAATGGTGCAATGTGCAGACTCCATCTATTCGTCGCTGAACGACATGAAAGCTCTCACACGTAAAGAAGCTCTGACATTTCAACCCGCTATTCACAGTCAGCTCAAAGAGTTGATCAGCAATAGTCTGGATGCGGTAGAGACGATACAAGCTTGTGCTACACACCAAAAGCGTATTGTTGACGATATTCTAACACTATCAAAGCTCGACTCGAAGCTTTTGGTCATTAGCCCCATGATACTACAACCCTCGGTGTTTCTGCAAGACGCTTATAAAATGTTCAAGGACGAGGCGAACAAAGCTAAAGTCAGTCTAGAAGTCAGATGCGATCCGTCCATTGAGGATCTGAATATCGACTGGGCGATTTTGGATCCGAGCCGAGTCTTGCAGGTCCTTATCAACCTACTCACCAATGCCATCAAATTTACTCAAGGCCAAGAAGTCCGCAAAGTCGAAGTAGTCATGGGAGCATCACGAGAGGTGCAACAGATGCGCGATATTGAGTATGTGCCACAGGAATCCGTGCGGAAGAACTTTCTGACACAGGCTGAATGGGATCATGCTGGAGAGGTATTTTACCTCAACTTCACGGTCAAAGACACCGGATGTGGTCTTTCTCCAGAGCACAAAGCCAAACTATTCCTACGGTTCTCGCAAGCAACACCAAAGACACATGTTCAGTATGGCGGTTCTGGCTTAGGTTTGTTTATCTCGCGCGAGCTCACCGAAATGCAAGGCGGCAGCATCGGCGTTTCCTCCGTCCATAACGTAGGATCAACATTCACGTTTTATATCAAATCAAGGAGAGCAAAAGCTCCGGAAAGTGCTCTCGCTGCAACTGTCCTTGATTCGACTGGCGATCTGCCCCCTCGCACCAAAGCTCAAATCATTAGAGAGGACAGCAAGAACCCTGACGTAGTTCCACTCGCTGCGATACCCCTGGAAGAGCAAGGAAGAGCAAAAGACATAGAGAGCTGCAAATACAACATCCTCATCGTAGAGGATAACCTCATAAACCAACGCGTCCTGTCCGCCCAACTAAAAAAATTGGGCCATACAACATACGTCGCAAACCACGGCTTCGAAGCTCTCTCCCAACTCTCACGCACAGTGTTTTCTGCTTCCCCAAGCGAATCCCCACCTCTGCCTCTTTCCGTTGTTCTAATGGACGTCGAGATGCCCGTCATGGATGGCTTGACGTGTACGAGACGGATACGGGACATGGAGAAGAATGGCGAACTGAGCAGGCATGTACCGATTATCGCTGTTAGTGCGAATGCGAGGAAGGAACAGATTGATATGGCGAAAGAGGCTGGCGTGGATGAGGCGATCTGTAAACCGTTTCGAATTCCAGAGTTAGTGGGATTAATGAGGGGAATGGGGGTTAGGGGGGAATAACATGTGCATAAAGCGGCGTTTAATTATATAGATTGATTTGATGCGATTCTAGCAAGGACTAGATCTGACCCGCTGGTCAAAGGTAGATATGCCGCGGATGTATGAGCGTCTTACTGTTACTGCCGCATACTATGGCGGATGATGCAATCATATCGATCAGTGATCGATGCATTCAAGGTCTTAGCGGAACGCCCCCAAATTACTTTCAGCATGTACATCTAGTGTACCCTGGATTTATGCATGCCTTCGTCAGTATGGTGAGCCAGATGCTCTTCCCCACACCTAGTGCGACTACTCTCAGACGCGTCCGAGCACGCGTCGTCCAGTCAACTAGTGGGGTGAACTCAGATAGCAACGCCATCGAAATCGCAAACCGGTACAAAGCACGTATGGATTAGGAGACCAATTCAGGAAAAGATGACGAGGGTGGGAGATGGGACGGCTCCAGGCGCGTCGAACACGGTCTCACGACGCGTTCTCGGGGCCAAAACATAGGCTGGTCAGCGTGTGACGAGCTGGGTGGAGCCAACCAGCCATCAGTGCCTGATCATTATCAGAGAAAATCTAATCTGATCCGAGGCCGGCACGAGCACGGTCAGCTTGCAGCCAATGCAAGCGTCGAGTCTGGCCTCGAGGCGGGCCAGTATGGGTTTCAAATGCATTTCCAAGCCTTTGTTCAGCCGACAAATGCAGGACTAACTAGTCACGGAAACGGTCCTTGCGTGTTGTGGTGGGGAGAATCGAATCATAGCGCGTTGCGACGCGTCTGGCACAGACGGTTTTTTCGTGAGAGCTCGTGGCTGGGCAACGCGACGGGCAACATTGGACGAGATTCTCACCACACAATAGATGAAAAGACGACGATATGGGTATCGTTGAAATCCGCGCAGTCGATTATGTAGCCCGTACAAATTGAGGATAGAATCGAGTCCCCGTAGAGCAGAATAGATGTGATGATCCAAAGCGCGCATGGATGAGATCATAGCGTCTTTTCGCGAGCATGGCGCGTTAGTGGCTGGCAGAACGGATCGCCCAGTCACGTGTTAGCGTCGAGACGCGGATTTATAGTGAAGTCGCGTCTGCTCTTTCTCTCAGCACACCACATCCACCACCATCTTCACATCAGCGTTTCCACGAGTATTCTTGACCGCACACTCGTCTCTCTCTACACCATACAACGCTACATTTTAATCTTCACCTCACAATGTCTGCCGTTGAGTCTACGCCTTCCAAGCAGGTACGTTGCGATAAATCCGGTACTTATACGCGTTGATACTAACGCGTTGAATAGATTTCATCTGCCATTGACTCACTCAAGATGAACGACTCTCCCGCCAAGAAGCTTGACTTCTCGCCGGTCGAGAAGGAGAACACTTTCAAGCCCATCGTCGGTATCCCAGATGATTTCGAGGACGACCTAGAGGAGGCCAAGCCTACCGTCGCGCCTACGATCAAGGAGGAGGAGGCCATCGAGCCAATCCTCCAAGAGAACCCTGGACGCTTTGTCCTGTTCCCCATCAAGTACCACGATGTAAGTCTTACCCTTTTGATGTTTTCACGTGCCTTCCGCGTGGCTTTACGCGTCAAACGCGTCTTCATGAACACCCTTGCTAATTATATATCCACTACAGGTCTGGCAGATGTACAAGAAGGCCGAGGCTTCTTTCTGGACCGCAGAGGAGATCGACCTCTCCAAGGATCTTCACGACTGGAACAAGCGTCTCAACGATGACGAGCGCTTCTTCATCTCCCACGTCCTCGCCTTCTTCGCAGCCTCCGATGGCATTGTCAACGAGAACCTTGTTGAGCGATTCTCTAGCGAAGTACAAATCCCCGAGGCACGATGCTTCTACGGTTTCCAAATCATGATGGAGAACGTTCACTCAGAGACCTACTCTCTGCTCATCGACACATACATCAGCGAGCCCAAGCAGCGCAGGTATCTCTTCAACGCCATCGACAACATCCCCTGCATCCGCAAGAAGGCCGACTGGGCCCTGCGATGGATCTCCGACAAGAACTCCACATTCGCCAACCGCCTTGTTGCATTCGCCGCTGTTGAGGGTATCTTCTTCAGCGGTTCTTTCGCCTCCATCTTCTGGCTCAAGAAGCGCGGCCTGATGCCCGGTCTAACATTCTCCAACGAGCTCATCTCCCGTGACGAGGGCATGCATACCGACTTCGCCTGCCTTCTCTTCTCTCTTCTCGAGAACAAGCCTAGCCCAGAGTCTGTCAGAGCTATCATCACTGAAGCCGTCGAGATTGAGCAGGAGTTCTTGAGCGACGCACTACCATGCGCTCTGCTCGGCATGAACGCTACTCTCATGTGCCAATACATCGAGTTCGTCGCTGACCGTCTGCTGTTGGCCCTCGGCAATGTCAAGGTCTACCACGCCACCAACCCCTTCGACTTCATGGAGAACATTTCTCTGGCTGGTAAGACCAACTTCTTCGAGAAGCGCGTCGGCGACTACCAGAAGGCCGGTGTCATGGCCAGCACAAAGAAGCACGAGCAGCAGAAGGAGGGTTCATCGCCCACACCTGAGCCGCAAGGCCAGTCTGGTGATTTCTGCTTCGATGAAGACTTTTAGATGCTTCGCTTTCACTTCTTTCTCAAATTATCTGCCATTTTGTTTTTGTACAACACGTTGAACGTTTGGGTTTGGCACGGGTGCCGGATGTCTTCGTTCGCATACCCCCTTGCATTGATGAAGTAACCACTCTTCGCATTTTGGAGTCATGGCGTTGCTAGTTAGCTGGGATAGGCCTCTTGGATGAGTGACGCGGTAGGATAGCTACGGCATGCGGCAGCGATGGGATCAACGACCTATATATCATACCACTTTGGATAATCACGAATACACATCTTTCACACACATGTCTCTTCTTGAGTCATCCTTGTGATGGTTCTGCTTGTGCATAACGTGTGCATGTTCGGTCCGACACGCCACGCGACAGTATGCACGCTTGATCAATCAAGCTTTTCTGAAGCCTATCCACTTCCACCCTAACATGATCTATGTCCTGCAGGAAACATGCACCAGTCCCCAGGATAAATCCCGTGCGCTCGACACCCTCTGCAGATGTTACGCGCCGCCCAGACGAGCAAGGATTGATTTCAGGTACCGCTAGCCATGACGTCAGCAATGCGTGCGGCGTATCCGAGGTTGCCATCTTACGAAATCACGACAAGCGAGCTGGCTACTTGCAGACCGTCGTGCGCCTCTTTCAGCTTACACACGCCTGAGTTACTTACCCCGGACCAATTGCGCGATATGGGGAACTTGATGGCACTGTCCCTGCATATACGTCCAGACTTGGTGCGCCAGACAACAAAACGCTAGTTCGTAAACATCCGCGACCCTCCGCAACAAAATCCGACTCTCATCGCTAGAGTGCAGTGTGCACATTACGTGAATACCATCCGAACAAATTCACGGCATATAGATCTGTACAGTCATCGAGCGCTGTCAAGTACGACCAAGGCGGCGACGGGGTAGATCCATGTCGCTTCGTGACATGTCAACATGGCAGACACCCTTCCCAAGATTAAGGTGACAGACCCGTCCGTCGCTGGCAGAAGCGCTTTTCAGATCCAGGAGAATGGATCGTCAACAACAGTAGATGGTATGCCGTACATCACACCTATTGCTTTGTCTCATCACACCGAAAACTCCAAGATGCTTACTCCAGGGTTCATAGGCCCGTTGTCCAACAAGAAGCTCGTCGCAAAGCTTCGAAGCCCCACCTCACCTTCCGCGCAACCGACAGCCGATTTGCAAAACGGATACGTTGGCGATGGGACAAGATTGTCCGAAACGCCCATAGACCCGCTCTCGCAAGTATGTACAGATAAGGTTCGACATGCGGGGACGGACGCTAATCGCGCATCACCGTATAGCAAATCCTCCAGAGAACGAACACGTCGCCGGCTGTACAGAAACTACGATCGCAAAACACCGAGCCTCTATTGAGCCAATCGCCGACTTCGCCAAACGATGTAAATGCGGATAAGAAACTAAGCGGAGAGACGCCGCGCGATGCAAGCGGGGGCAAGGCAGACAAGAAGTAGGTCCCTCTACTCTGCTGTTCGCAAAGAGCATACGGAATGTGACGGGGCTGCTAGCCAAGGATTAGCGCGTACCTCGTATTAAGGCCTCCGGACCTGCGTATCGAGGTCATGTATGCGCTTGTTCCTCTGGTTGGCCTGAACATGCATATCCACATTAGCCTGGGGCGCAGTACAGTACGGCTGACTTCATATCTAGGAAGGTTTCATTTCTTAGTCGCTTCATCGGCGGCAACAAAAAGAAGAGCAGTACCCTCGATGGCGCAAGCGAGAATGGCTCTGAGGCAGACGATCTTCGATTGGAGGGTATGGACGCCCAGCTTTACGTCGACAATTTCAGCTTCAGTCCGAAGGTACCTCATCCACCGGCATACATAAAAGTGAGGACGAAGTTCAAGAAGGAGAAAGAATTTGATCGTGTTTTCCTGGCGCAGGAATTACGTTCTGGGTCGGATAAGAAGAGTCCGCCTGCGGCTGGATCAAACCCTGCACCTCAATCTGGGTCGGCAGCTACACAGAACCCCATCTGGGCGGTCGAGTTCAGCAAGGATGGGAGGTATCTTGCTGTCGGTGGGCAAGACAGGGTTATCCGGGTGTGGGCGGTGATTGAGAGCTCAGAAGGACGCCGCGCGCATGAGAACGCTGATAATGGAGAGGCAAAGTACCTGAGTGCGCCAGTCTTCCACCAGAAACCCGTTCGCGAGTACCAGGGACATACTTCAACTATCTTAGATTTGAGCTGGAGCAAGGTAAGTTGATATTGCTTAATATTTTCATGCATCGACTGACAACCATAGAACAATTTTTTGCTATCCTCTTCTATGGACAAGACGGTCCGTCTATGGCACGTAAGCCGAGATGAGAATCTATGCACATTCAAGCATTCCGATTTTGTTCCTTCTATACAATTTCACCCTACCGATGACCGATT